AATGCAACTATACAAATCAGTCACTTCTCCAGTGAATATCATCAGGTAGAGAGGAAACATATTGCAGTTGCCTTACTGACATAGGACAGCCAAAAACAACCGCTAGTCAAAGAGCCAGTCTGCTATACTCCGTCAGATTGCTATACCCCGTCACTTCCGGGGAGGGGAATCAGCTGGATCCTGTGCTGCACATGCGTGCTAGCACTCCTGCTACTCCTCCACAGCAAGGTCCTGGAAGGTAAGTAAAACTAGTTTTACACTTTCATTATAGTTAGTGCATTCACTAAGCTTAGGCACACGGGACATTTAGGGTTAAGTGAGGGTACAAATTAGGGTTAGGTAAGTGCTTCTAACCTCTCTCACACTCTATTCTTACCCTAACCCTTGGGGTAAGGGTTAAAATAAAGTGTGAGAATTCACAATTTAGTGATAGTCCCCTAATGTGAAATATCACTAAATATGAACAAGTCCCTAATCCTAACCCTAATTTGAACCCTAACATTAACCCTAAATGTCCCATGTCCTAAGCTGAGTGAATGCACTAACTATAATGAAATTTTAAAACTAGTTTTACTTACCTTCCAGGACCTTGCTGTGGAGGAGTAGCAGGAGTGCTAGCACGCATGTGCAGCACAGGATCCAGCTGATTCCCCTCCCCGGAAGTGACGGGGGTATAGCAATCTGACGGGGTATAGCAGACTGATAGAACACCGGCACCATGATGTAAAATGTATCAATATGATGTAAACATCAAATGACTGCCAGTCAGTCTGTGGGAAACCAATATGTGTTGTCTGAGTGTGGTTGTTAGGAGATGCCAGAGTGTAATTGTATATGGGGTTTAGCTGTGTGCACTGGCGTACATCGCCCCTGCGACCCGGTATGTACCCACAGGGCCAGCCTCTTCCCCTGGGGGGCCCAGGAGCCGACCACCCCAGGGCCCCCCTGAGGCTGGCCCTGCTGACCCCGGGTGGCCGGCCGGGCAGGCAGGCGGGCGCGCGAGGGAGCACTCAGTGCTTCCTCTTCAGCTCCCTCGTGCACCGCAATGACACCGGAGCCGGAAGATGACGTCATCTTCCGGCGCCGGCATCCCTACGCGGCGCGCGAGGGAGCTGAAGAGGAAGCACTGAGTGCTCCCTCGCGCGCCCGCCCGCCTGCCTGCCCGACCGGCCACCCGCCCAGGAGCCCCACTGGACCCCAGGGAATAATCCCCCCCAGCACTCCAAGAGGTAAGGAGGCTGGGGGGATTATATTAAAAAAAATCATGTGTGAGTGTTAGTGTGTGTGTTAGTGTGTGTGAGTGTTAGAGTGAGTGTTAGTGTGTGTGTGTAGTGAGTGTTAGTGTGTGTGAGTGTTAGTGTGTGTGTGTGTGAGTGTTAGAGTGAGTGTTAGAGTGAGTGTTAGTGTGAGTGTTAGTGTGTTAGTGTGTGTCTGCTAGTGAGTGTCAGTGAGTGTGTTACTGTGTGTGTCTTACTGAGTGTGTGTGTGTTAGTGAGTCTGTTTGATGTCTGTTAGTGAGTGTGTGTTTGTCAATGAGAGTGTATGTTTTGTAAGTGAGTGTGTATGTATGTCTGTCGCTGACTGTATCTCTGTCAGTAAATGTGTGTGTCTGTTAGCTAGTGTGTATGCGACTGTAAGTGTGTGTGTGTGTGTGTCTTCAGCACTTACCTTTCTCCAGCGCCGGACTCCCTTGGCGCTGAGGATCCCTCAGCCTCTCAGCTCCGAATGCGACCGCGCACGCATTCAAACCGCCCATAGGAAAGCATTACTCAATGCTTTCCTATGGACGTTCAGTGTGCTCCTCTAGCGGCTGTCCGTGAGACAGCCACTAGAGGCAGGATTAACCCTCAGTGAAACATAGCAGTTTCTCTGAAACTGCTATGTTTTCAGCTGCAGGCTTAAAACTAGAGGGACCTGACACCCAGACAACTTCATTGAGCTGATGTGATCTGGGTGTCTGTAGTGGTCCTTTAAAGGACCACTATAGTGCCAGGAAAACATACTCGTTTTCCTGGCACTATAGTGCCCTGAGGGTGCCCCCACCTCAGGGACCCCCTCCCGCCCGGCTCTGGAAAGGGGTAAAACTTACCTTTTTCCACCACTGGGCGGAGAGCTCTCCTCCTCCGATCCTCCTCTTCTCCTCCCCGTCAGCTGTATGCGCACGCGCGGCAAGAGCTGTGCACGCATTCAGCCGGTCACATAGGAAAGCATTCATAATGCTTTCCTATGGATGCTGGCGTGCTCTCACTGTGAAAATCACAGTGAGAAGCACGCAAGCGCTTCTAGCGGCTGTCAATGGGACAGCCACTAGAGGAAATAGGGGAAGGCTTAACCCATTCATAAACACAGCAGTTTCTCTGAAACTGCTATGTTTATGAAAAAATGGGTTAACCCTAGCTGGACCTGGCACCCAGACCACTTCATTAAGCTGAAGTGGTCTGGGTGCCTAGGGTGGTCCTTAAGTGTGTGTGTATCTGCATGCACTGGCGCATATTACCGCGGGCGTCGCAGGGGTCGCAGCCCCTGTAACCCCTGGGCGCACCAGGTGCCCAATCAGCCATGTGTGTTATGCCCAGCCCGCTGCTAGCCCACGGATCACTTTTCGCACCGGGGCCCCATGGGTCATGTGTACGGCTGTGTGTAAGTGTGGAGGGATTGGCCCTGCTTGGGGTCGCTTCTCTAAGCAGAGCAATCGCCCGTGCTAACGCTAACATGCTGGTTTCATGGACAGCACATTGTCATCAGGGCATCCCATGCTCCCCCAGCAAGCATGAGAAATTCCAGCTCGGGGGTTAACACAGTGACAGGGAGCAAAAAAACCACCGATCACTCAACTTATAGCGTTAGACCCTGTGTGCCGCGAACACACAGATCTAATGTTAAAAATTTCATTGACAGGTGGGGGTGGTACCATGTTTTTTTTTTAAAAAAACTAAAAACTTTAAATTAAAATCTATATATTTGGCAACATTTCTGCTAGCACAGTGTATAGAAGGATTTTTTAAATATATACTTTCATAGAATACACATTTATTAATAATGTGTATATATATATATAGGTATATAGTGTGTATGTGCATGCATATACACACACACAAATATTACTATAAATCACATGAATTGAGTGCAACTATATTGTCATTGAACATTTTAATCCCTTTAAACATACGCACTGTCACTGACCTATGCACACACATATTCTCACACACAGTTTAACCAACACACAGTTTCACTGACAGACACTCACATTCTCTCTGGCAGACAAATATTCTCACTGACAGACACACACATTCTCACTGACAGCCACACGCACTCACTGTCAAACAAACACTCTCACTAATACTGTCACACACTGACAAACGCTCACTGACACACATGCAGTACATGCATACTGTTCTCTCTCTATACTGCCTCTCTTAGCAAACTCATTAATTAATTTGGATTCCGCTACTACCTGTACGCTGACGACACCCAGATATATCTCTCCTCCCCTCACCTCTCCCCTGCCTCTCTTCTATCTTTGCTTGGATGTCCTCCTGCTTTCTGAAGCTCAATCTCTCTAAAACTGAGTTCCCTGATTTTCCTCCTCATAACACTGATCCTCCTCCTTCACTCTCCCTGCAGGTTGACGGTACCCATCTCACCCCATCCTCTCAAGCTCGATGTCTTGGTGCCCCTTTATTACGCAAGATGCTGCCAAGGAGCTTGTTCACGCTCTAGTAATCTCTCGCATGGATTACTGTAATTCTCTCCTAATTGGTCTCCCCAGAAGCCATACTGACCCTCTACTATCTGTGGTGAATGCTGCTGCCAGGCTGATCTTTCTCTCCTGTTGCTCCTCTCACACCTCACCCCTCTGTCGATCCCTACACTGGCTTCCTGTCCTCTACAGATGTCAATTTAAAATACTAACCCTTACCTATAAAGCTTTAACCAACTCTAGCCCCTCTTACATTTCTTCACTGATTCATAGGTATGCACCCTCTTGGCCCCTCCGCTCTACTGATGACCTTCTACTGTCTGCTGCTCGCACCCTTACTGCAAATTAACGCCTTCAAGACTTCTCACGGGCAGCTCATTTCCTTTGGAACAGCCTGCCTACCACTGTCAGACTCTCCCCATGTCTCTAATCCTTTAAGAAGTCCCTCAAAACCCATTTTTTCAGGAATGCTTATGGCCTCCAAGAGTAACTTCTATCTCTCAGACCTTCCTCTTGCTCTCTTCTATAGGGCCACACTCCACTCTCACCTACAGTTCTGCTACTTTCCCACCATGTCGATTTGCTGTCTCTCTCAATACCCTTCCTATTGTGTTTTTATACCCCACCTCCTCTAGGGTCCTCAGCTACCTATTGTTCCTGTTACATTTTGTTATTGTCTCATTTGGTAAATTCCCCTTTTATTGTAAGGCGCTGCGGAATAAGCTGGCGCTATATCAATACCAATAATAATAATATTCTCACACATATTCTCTCCCACACCTCACAAATTATTTTTTTATATAGTGGGAATTTTTTATTTTTTTGAGGCCCACCCAGTGTCCTTACCTTTGGGAGAACTGGAGTGGATCATCTCCCTTGAATCTATTGGTGCTGCTCTGATCTCCATGTGTTACCTGCACAGCCCTCAAGTGCGATGTTTAGTGATGTTAGGTCCAGAGTAAGAAGATACGACCTCCCTCACTGCCCTCCCACACCGTCTGCAGATTCCACACCTGCAGGGCCTACTCTGCCTTAGGGCAAGACGGCTTTTGCTCCTGCCTCATGGAGCTACCTAAGGTGGTTGGCCGGCTCTTGGGCCCCAAGTGACATGGAGAACACTGACGGCCCAGTTGTCCTTTGCGACCCCCGATGTTCCGCCACTAATTCTTTCTGTTTTCCCAGACACATTACGCATTGCAATATGCAAATCATGTAGTAATTGTTATTAATTAGCAGCTATTTTAGTTTTATATGTGAATTAAATAGGAAACAGTTAACTGACAAAATAAAACCAGAGAAGATCAGATTTGTAATTTTAATTGTTTTAAACTAGCTACAAAATGTCAATCACTTCACAAACTGACAGGAGACATAAGGAATTTAATAGTACATGCTGCAATGATATATTGATATCACAGTTTAATCTTGATTTCATTCATTTAAGTTATTGTATTTGTTTTAAATCTACTTAAACATCTCAGCGATTTGGTGTGCATAGCTCTAGGTAAGCAACAGAGAACATTACTGAAAATAAACCACGTGGGAATAAGTGGTTAACAGGACTTAGCAATATAAAAATTACACGTCTTTTGTGCCATTTAACCCATTGAGCCCCTGGGAGGGCGCGAAATGCGTTGACAAGCAATGCTCTGCACGCCGCCCCTATCTCTCAAAGGGTTAAAATTGAAGTCATTTCCTCCAAAAGAGGATCCTCATAAACATTATCCAAACTCTTATATTACAACTTTTTTTTTTGTTTAATATTTTATATATTACCAGCAAAAAAGAATAATTAAAATTCAAAAAATAAATAAATAAATTAAAAAAGCACATTTTTGCTGGGAACATGTGCCAAGTCTGTCCTTATTTTTTATTTTATTTTTTCGAAACAATATAAAGCATGATCATGTATAAATCTAACGATGTATCGACAGAAAAGTGGCACTACTGCAAACTTGCTGGTATAACATAGTCCCAACAGTGTTTAAATACTCAGCATGCTTTTATTTGATGTGCTACCGCCATGAAAAAGATCTTTATAAAGGCATCTAAATGTCTATTTATTTTCATGCATAAATGCATAATTCACATCACTCGTGGTGCAATGCTTATTATAGTTATATAGTTTCACGTTCTAATCATGAAATTATAACACATGGAAAGCAATGGAAAACCAAAGACAGCCAAGTTCAACGGTATTAGTATCATTTATGACATCAAAAAAATAATAATCCGGCAGTAGCTCTGTGGAATGTCACAGTTTTACGAGAACAATACTGTATAGTTCAAAGACAACAGCACGTTTAACATTCCTTACATTGTTGTCATTCAGCAAACATCATAAAAAAAAGGAAGGAAAAAAATGTCATAGTGAGATATATCACTATATACAACCTTTGGAACGGAAGATATCTAGGAAAAAAAATTATAATTACAAGTAGATTTTTCTTCTGGAAAGCTGACATACTACACAGGACAACATTTGCAATGGGAGCTGACATGTGCTTGTGTGCAAACCTATTATGGAAATACCATGATAAAAGCATGAAAGTACTGTCTGATGGGACAGTTTTGGGCAGTAGAGATACTTTGTTGGTTCTTCTAACCACTGCCGAGCATCTTTGTTGCACGTTGATTAGCCTCGTCAATCCGGGCTTTGTTGGAGTCAGCCTGGAGAAGAGATGGAAATGTAAGATGATGGTCCATGATAAATATTAACAAACACATAAACCATATATGTGAACAATCCTTTTATTAATATCTCATATCTAACAGTGTTTTCAATTTCGGTTAACTCTTTGAAACAGATCAAGACACTCTCGTGTGGGTCTTTTAAGGTAATACCCAAGTAAATATTTGTATTAATTGATAACAAATGTATCAAAATCAGGTTGTATTTCTCAAAAAATTCCAAAGTGTAATACATAATTTATGAGAAAAGGCTCATGTGCTCGAGTCATTGGTTCCACTATGAATAGTATATGTGGAACTGCACTCACTCCCACAAATCTGAGCCAGGGTGCTTGCTGAGCCAGAATTAAACACCAGATTTCCTAACATTAGTAAAATAATAGGGGTCCATTCCCTCCTTGGTTCAAGATAAGCACTTTATTGAGAACCACAACAGCAAAGTTTCGACCGCAGAGTGGTTCCACTATGACATCTGCAGCCTGGCTTGTGAATTGGCTTGATGGGTTTCCATTCCTTTTACAGGCTGCAGTTGGCATATTAAGAATAGCAAATTCCCTTTCTGGACGATTTTGCCTCGACTCCACTAATAGAGTTGTCTCATTTTGCTTTGAGGTTCATAATGATTAACTGTCACCACCTGGGGTCAAGAAAAGAATAGGCTATCTCGGCCCTGGATTACAAATAAATAAAGGGTTGTTTTACATTTTAATTTTTCCAGAAAAAAGGGGGCCCTGACATGTAACTGGCCCAACTACCACTTGAATCTAGAAATTAAAAACCTATTTTTACACCACAGTGTTTTTTTAAAGCAATGCCTCTCAACCCCGTTATGCATTTGCAGGTTAAAATAGAAGCAGTAAACGATTTAATGCATTTATAAATGTAATGGCTTTCTAATACCAAGATGGTCTAAAGTTTGGGATTTTTCTCATACCTTGTGTGCTGTCAATTCATTCTAAAATAGCATGACTACTTACACAGGGACACAGAATACTCTTGGCACCCTAATTACTATAGGGTGTTGTAGTGGTTATGGTGCTTAGCGTTCTCCTTTAACTTACCTTCTAAGCTTTTGTGGCAAAAAAAAGTGGCCCTGGCAATTACCAGCAACCCCATGTAAAATAAATAGACAACTCTTTCCCTATACTTAAATTTTTAGTTGACAATACAAATTCATTTTTGTCTAGATTTTTCATCTGATTATATATATGATATATTTTAGTGTGTATTTTCAGGGTTAATACAACTTTTGATAGCCATTTCAGCTTACCTTCTCCATGATCCTGTCAATCTGGCGGTTCTGTGTGTCAATCTCATTGCCCATATCCAGAGCCATATGACGTAGGTTTCCAATAATGCCACTGACTTGTTCAAGATTCTCATCCATTTCATTCTCACGAGCATCATTTGTTACCCTAAAAGAAAAATATTGCAAAAGCTGTGATTGTTGGAAATGTTCAGAAAAAAAGTTTATGGGAGTTTTAATGGGTCTCTTTCCCAAACAATACATGCCATGTGAATGAAAAAATGTTCACATGACAAAATGCCAATCCTTGCATATAAGAAATACACAATTTGAATTTTCGCAGGACTTCCTTAAATAATAATTTATAAATATTAACACTGGCATAAAAAAAAACAACAAAAAAGAAATTAAATGACTTTAATGGCATACTATACTGAACAAAATTATAAATGCAACACTTTTGGTTTTGCCCCCATTTTTCATGAGCTGAACTCAAAGATCTAAGACTTTTTCTACATACACAAATGGCCTATTTCTCTCAAATATTGTTCACAAATCTGTCTAAATCTGTGTTGGTGAGCACTTCTCCTTTGCCGAGATAATCCATCCACCTCAGAGGTGTGGCATTTCAGGATGCTGATTAGACAGCATGATTATTGCACAGGTGTGCCTTAGGCTGGCCACAAAGATGAGGTGGACATCTTGAAACATCTGCCTGTTTAATGTAAAATATTAACACTGCATTGCAGCTGTAGTTGAGGCAACAAGAGAATGAACAAACGTGGAGCAAGGTCAAGCGTAGAACAAGCTGCACCCACCACTATGGGCTTATGTTTCTATTTGCAATACTTTCAATTTTTTTAAAGTGTTGTTTATTTTGGAGTTCAATGCAAACTTGCAGAGCTGTAAATTCTATAGGCTATGCCACATTAGTAAAAGCAAAATATAAAAGGCTGATTGGCGCTGTCTCTTCCTCTTGTTTATTTATTCCACATTAGTATTCATGTTTTTCAGCCTTACACAAAGTCATGAAAAAAAAATTTTAGAACTAACTCTGATCCCTAAATATAAAACCTGCAGGAAATATTGAATGTCACACCATCTCTTAGTAAATATCAAACACTGAGGACATTTGTATGGAAGTTCCAAGAATGCTGATACATAAAACATTGAACTTTTTTAGTAAAAAAAAAAGTTAATGAAAAGACATTCAATAAAAAAAAAACAAGACTCTCCTCCCACTCTAAAAATGAGAAGAAGAGAAAATCTCACGAATACTATGCTTACTACAATAGTTTTTTTTTTACTAAGTATCAAGAACAAATATTTTAGCATGACACATACATCAGCTCCAGGGGGTTTCCGTCTTTGACCTTCCCCATCCCAGTGATTCAGTCCATGACTGAAGATGGTAGATAGATTTCATACAACTGCCCATAGGCTTTCACTGCATAATATCCGATTCTTTAAATAGACACAATTAATTTAGACGTACAATATCATTACGTTGTAATTACAGAGCAACGGCATTGTGCCAGCATGAAGTATACAGGCGGTGTATCATTATAAACAATGCTACTAAAGTGTCATACAAATAATTAGAGAGGCAACACTGTCACCTTTGTGCTTAGCAGCGTATACCCAAAGGGTAATTCCAGAGGTACAAAAGGCGTTCTTTAATAACTTTATGATTTTAGAATCTATGACTTTCCGTAAAAAGACAATTTAATTGTGGGTCCTTGTCTTAAAATGTTGATATTAAAATTATTCATTTTTCAAGGTTGATTCTTATCCTATAAGGTCAAACTCAGAATTTTTACTCTTATATATATCAAGGGTAATCAGAATTCTATGTACCAAACCTCCATAATTCTCTCTCCTATCCCTCTGTCTCACCCATCGGCAATCTCTTTTAAGCCACTACCAGCATTTTAACCTGTTCTCCATGCGCTCCAAGAAGACCATGTCTTATAAAATGTTTTTATTGGTGTGTATATGGTGTACTTGGCCTCATATATGTTCTGAATGTTTTATGTTCTATGTTGCTACACTGTTAATAGTAGGTGTAGAATACATTTTAGAGATGTTTTGGGGTATTCCGATTCAAACTATGTTAAAGGCATAAAAGATAATGTAAGACCGGTCACCTCAGTAACCTTGTGATGGATAGCTTCCCAAAATGGTTCAATCAGAGAACAGTTCCACCAAATATTAATCATGCAGCCTTTGTCTTAACCGCATCTCAAAAGAATGGAAGATACGGTGGGGTATATTTTGTGTAATCTCAGAGAAACCATGTAACGTAGTTTTTTAAATTTATTTTCTATATAGTGGTTTCTATATATTGTTTTCCTGTGTTGTACCATTAATGATGCAGATCGTATCATGCACTTATGTACTGTGAGTATTTTTGCTTGTGTTGATGAAATGTCAGTGCGTAAATCAGATTCCCAACTGCGTGCTATATGCAATTCAGAAAAGGGCAGATCTATGGTCATTATCTTGTAGCACATGGAGACAGGTTTATACTTGTGCACCATGTTCTTGCTGTGTATAGAACTGGTATGGTAGAAGAACATTCAAAGTGTATGGGTCATAACTCACCTACGGACAAAGCCACCACTAATGGCCATTTGCTCACGTTCATCCACAACACGGGCAGGCTGACTTGCTACCACTCCATCTTGGTTGTTTCCCCAGGCTTTTTTGTAAGCATCACTGGATTTAAGCCTATGAAAAAAATATAGTGAGTAACACAAAACACAGAGATTATCAGTGACAAACCACCTTTTCATGGTAGTCACGGGAAGAGCCGAGCTTTTGACAGGGGGTGTCATTTTATACCGATATATCATGGACCCACTCTAGTTATATAGTGCTGCCAATATCAGCTATGAAACATTGAGATAACTGATGACTTTATCACAGTGGAATAAACACATGTAGTTGTTTTTTTAAATTGTTTTAAAAAAAATTGAAAACATTCAGTCATTTGAATCACATAAAGGACACAAACGAAAGAAACACATTGGCAGACATACATAGAACAAAACTGCCACTATTAGTGTGTACATCACATCACATGAATATGCTCCTAGAATTGTGATCAATTAATTTAGCTACATAATGTTGGCGCTATGCAACGATTTAGTATGGTTCATATTGCATAGCGCATGTATAAATGCAATTATATATATTTATTTTTTTCAAAGCGAGTGTAGGTAACGTTAATAGCAGCCAGAGTAAATTTATTTTTTCAATTTGTAGTGATAATATATCGGTACTTGAAAACAGTAAACTATACATCGAGAGTTGATGTACAAACCTTTGTCAACAAAGACAAAAAAAGTAAAAAATTGCCAACGTGGGATGAGCGCAGGAGCAAATAATACAAGCAAATCTAGCATTGATACAATGTTATCCCATTCACCTTGTTCATGCACAAGCTGCTGGCATGAAAAGTGGGTGAAGCACTTTCACTAAGCACAACTGCTCCACTGACTCACTATTTAATGCACCATCGTTAATAGCTGTTACAGAGATTCCAAGCCAGTCAAAAGTGGATCTTCTACGATGCCCATGAATGCAATGAAGGCCTCTCTCTCCAGCCATTTAATGGAGCCATTATAAAGCCATTTTTGACTGAATTGCCACAGCAAATATGATTAAAATCTAGGCATGCCTGCAGTGGCAGATGTAAGAATGTGCAGCATTAAATGGGATGTTGTTTTATTAATCTGAGCCAACATGTGATTTCCCTAGTTAATATTTAAGTTCTCTTATGCAACGCCTAGCAGCCTTTGCTTAGATCAGATTTCATAATAGCTTCCTTCACTTGAAGGCTGGAGGCTAGGTCGAGGCACCCCTGGGATTCAGGAGCATTGGAATTCAGTAACACAGTAATTCGGTACTTGTAAAGAATTCCAAGGATGTTTCGTTAATCGTGAGTTATCCATCTACCTTCGATGACAGCAAGTCCAGGAAATAATCAATGAATAATAATATTCTGTTTGGCTGCTTCAGTAATGTTTAACAACGAGGATCTGTGGCTTTTCTAGATAAAAATGTGACGGTCACTATACTGGGCATTTTTTTTACACCGCTAGATAAAACTAGAATTAATTTGTTTGAGTTGGGTGGTGGACTTGCTCTTGAACAGAAGGCACAATATAAGCTTCTACCCACGATGCTGCACATGACCTGTTAGTTATATCACTGTATAAATCCCCATTCCATGCAGAAATTTTTTTTTCTGATTCTATATTATCAGGGTAAATAGCCTAATGTGTAACGCGTTTAGTAACAAGCAGACAGATTCCCATCAATAATATTTTGCCAGTTGGTGTAGCCAATGGCAACAATTCTAATTAATATAAAACATTTTTTAAAAGAGCAGAGAGGATTAAAAAATATATATTTTTTTTTACAAGGACAAATTTGCAAAAAAACCCCCACCTTTTTAAGCAAATGCAAACCTAGTTTACCTCTGGGTAAAATATAGATTATTTTTGTGAAATAATTCTTGTGCGTTACAACATAGTCTATTCATTGCCTGTTAAATGCATAAAATTGGTTCTAGTATATTTTCACTACTAAGGAAGACCTAAGAAAACATTTTAGGAACTGAAGAATAAATTCTATGAGTTTTTAGGGACCATAGGGGGTACTATTTCTTCATGCAAAACTACTATATTTCAACATTTCTGTCAGTGCACTTACATAAATGAGAGATCACGAGAGTTCATTATTATATATATTTTTGAATTTTATTTTATTTAACCTGTATAAGGTAGCTATTAAAGCATAGCCTATTTTAAACTCTGGTTCAAATTTGTGAATTTTATTGTACACATTAAAAGAAATGTTGAAGTTTGTTTGTTGTTGAGAGGGGGAGATGCAGTGCGAACTAAACTGCAGTATGCCTGATTTTAATATGTAGAATTTGCACGGTGTTGACTATTCTATGAGATGGGTGATTTATAACCAGAATCGATCTCTCTGCATGCCACATGCTCATCTCCTGCCTATGTTTCTCGCAGGGACGATTTCTGCAAGGCTTTCATTTCAGCCTCGGGTGCTCAAAAACTTTAGGCAGGCAGGCAAGACCTACTTGTTACATGGGCAGACACATAGACCACAGAATTTTCCTAGGTCCGTCAAATTCTTTTCTGCTTCTTTCATATCCTTATTGATTTGTTCCATTCCCTCCTCGATGCGCTCCAGTTGTTCTGATTAAATACAAGCATTATATCCCCACAGAATGAAGCAAATGGAAAAGGACAAAGAAGAAAGACAGGAAACATCAGACATCACTGTGACAAAAACCGGACACTAGACAGCAGAGTCGGTACCCAGTACCTACTTGTTACAAGGACATATGAAAAGGCCACAGCATTTCCCTAAATCTTTTAAATTTTTCTCGGCCTCCTTCATGTCTTGGTTGATATGATTCATGCCTTCTTCAACACGGTCAAGTTGTTCTGGTCAGGACAAAGGGATGTCAGTGTGGAATGAATTTATTTGTCTTGAACAAAATATGAAATAGGACTATGTAAGAATGTATCGATACCTCAATGCATTGCACAGAAGAATGCATTGATGATGGGTAGTCACTGATGTGAGATGTGTTTTTAATAAGAAAAAAGGTTTACAAAATATGGCAAAAATCAAAAACCCAAAAAAGTGAAATGATGATAAGATTATGCTATTTTTCCTAACGTGGTGCAATGAGGTGGGAGACATTGATTACCGTCCGTAAAAATGCAACAAATATCTTATTCACAAAGACTTCACAACATCCACAAAATTAGAGCATTTGTGTGTTAGTCTCATAGGTCATAAATGTTAATTACATTTCCTTCTTTTCACAGAAGTTAAAAATAATATTCTTCAATATGTTGAGTTAATAATAATTAAAAAAATAAATTAGTTATAGTAATTATCAATGTACACAAATAAATTCAAAGCATAATAGTTTATCATGAGGAATAATCCTTTGGAGTAATTAAAGGGATCAGTTTACAAAGCATCGAAGATGGCACCAAAATAATATTAAAATTAATAAAATGTGACAGTTACTAACTTGGACATAAAATCACATTAACTCCCGTTATCCTGGACTTGTAAGCTGAATTTGGCAAGGTCAGATTGATAACAGAAACAGAGAGGCACCATTTCCTTGGGCTGTTTTTATTTAAAGAACTTTGACCTCCAGCCTTCATGCTTTAATTTTATTTATTTATTAATATACTTTCACCTCCACATATAGCCTCAATGTTTGTCCAATACAAGATCCAGTTACATTTCCTTGCCTAACCATTTTCAAGCTTTCTAAAATGGGCTTTGAATCTAGGCCATATTTTGGTAACTAACACTGCTGTGTAGGATTAGTAGCATTGATCTTTGCCAAATATATTTTTGGTTCTCATTACGATTTTTTGTTTTGATGAGAAGCGCACATGATGTCTGTGTTGGCCTAGATAAACACAAAAGGTACTGGCTATTGTCAAGTCAAAAACTAAAGAGGGCAGGGGAACTCTGCATTAATCCAAATGTGAGATGGGAGCACAAAGTTTAAAAATAACAGTTAAAATTGGCCATTTTGGTGGATAATTGGTGTTATTGTTAAAGTTACTGCAAAATGAAATAAGTGAAAACAAAATCCGTAATAGCAAAATGTTGAGATTGTGATTCAGTGTGACTGCTTCATAATGCTTTGCTTTTGAAATATTCCATTGGTACGGCTCTGCTATCTAAGTAGTTTTGGTTTTTAGTATACTTTCCTCAAACTTGTCTAGTAGCTTTTTTTTAAAGTTTACCTGTGATTAGACACATGCAATTCATTTCGGTCCAAAATAAAATTCGGCAGAATTTCAGGTAATTCGGACATTCGGGTGCTTCTGAATGTCCAAATAGCTGAATTGCAGAAAGTCCCGAAATTACCGAATTTTCGATGTGTAGTAGTGCCGAAGTGTTGAAGTGCCGAAGTTCAGAGGTGTCAAAGTGTCGAAGTTCAGAAGTTCCGAAGCACAGTATTGCCTAAGTACTAATATACTTACCCAGTGAAAGAAGAAGAATGTTACACTGTATACAATTTTAAATAAAAAGTATACAAACATAGCCAGGATTTAGCTGTAAGCGTTTGCAACACTTACAACAATCAAGTAACACACATTCATATAAAATGTAAGTTACTTAGCCAGTCATGTAATGACAGGAATGAATAAGTAGATAACTACCTAATTCCCATGGTATTAGGGAGCTATCTACTAAAAGGCCAAATTTACTAATACTAAGTAAAGATTACTTAGTATTAGTAAATTATGCCCTTACTCGCTATATCGCGAGTAGGGGCATGTCTATTAAACAGTGAGCCACCTGTGGCTGCTCACTGTTAAAAAAAAGTGGTGGGTGGGGGCCCTAAATAAAAATTGGGGGTAGGACCTAATGTCCTCTACATGACCCCCACCCCTGATCAGTGGGTGGGGGTCCTAAACAAGAATAAGGGGGGGGTGGGAAAACCTAATGTCCTCCCCCCTGGCCCCCACCCCTGAGTTCTTTGGAATTTTCCCACGCTGTGTAATTTGACTCATAACACTCTGATTGGTGGATTAAGTAACCAATCAGGTTATATATTTTTTATTTTTTTGCGCTCAGGGTTTTTTCTTTTCTTTAATTGTGTCGGGTATTATGGATTTTTATTTGGCCTTTTTTTGGGGGTGAAAAAAGAAGATATTAGAAGAAAGTAAACATCAAATGGTAAGTTTATTTTTATTTTTACAGATACTTAGTTAAAGGTCCCCCCCTCATTATTTTTAGGGTGAGGGGGGTAGGTAGGGGTTCAGGGGTGGGGGCCAGGGGAGGACATTAGGTCCCCCCAATTTGTATTTAGGGCCCCCACCCACAGCTCAGGTGGTGGGGGCCAGGGGGAGGACATTAGGTCCCCCCCCAATTTGTACTTAGGGCCCCATCCGCCGCTCAGGGGTAGTGACCATGGGGGGACATTAGGTCCCCCCCAATTTGTATTTAGGGCCCCCACCCACCGCTCAGGGGTAGGGGCCAGGAATAGGACATTAGGTCCCCCCCAATTTGTATTTAGGGCCCCCACCCACCACTCAGGAGTGGGGGCCAGAGGGGAGGACATTAGCCCCCCCCCCCAATTTTTATTTAGGGCCCCCATCCGCCACTCAGGGGTGGGGGCCGGTGGGGGGAAATAGTTTAAAAGCCCCCACTCGCGCATCGCGGGTGGGGGCTCAGGAGGGGGGACCCTTTTTTTTTTTTAAAACAGTGAGCAGCCACAGGCAGACAGTCACATACACACACACACACACACAGTTAGACAGTCACACACACAGTCACACACACACAGAGGCAGACAGTCAAACACACAGACAGTCACACACACACACAGGCAGACAGTCACACTAATACTTTGTACGATCCAAATAATTGTGTTAATACCCACATTGTTACTTATTATCATTAAAGGGTCTAGCTTATACCTGTCTGGTAAACTAAGAAATGCATCAATTAGTGCAAAGCACACTTTCAGCAGTTTGCACAGCATTCTGTGATGGCACTGTAAGCCACGATTCTTGCCGAGCCGTTTTGAAAGACAGCTTCAAGCAAGTATACATAAAGTAAAAAAAAAAAGTCAAATATTTTTTGGTAATTGTGTCAGTACTCTCTATAGATGATAGTTAATTTCCTCATTGAAGTAGAACTGGACTAGCTAATTTCTGCGTAATTTTTTTTTTTTGCAGTGCCTGTAAATGTTTTAATATTTGTTATATTCACTCTGATGTTCGTGTGCGTGTTGACTGAGCTTGCTTAAAGTTGACATGGTCTTTGTGCACCTTAGATAAAAATAATTTTATTTAATTTTTTTCCATTGTTACCCAGCATTTTTAGTTTGTTTACACAGCGGGCTAAAACTCAGTGGACAGAGAGAAATTGTTAACTAAAACAATTTTCTCTTTTTTATGCCTCTAAAATCTCATGTTGGACAACTGTCACGTTAACCCCCCAAAAATGATATAATCACTAGTTTCAGAAACACATGGTTTCATATACTCCTATATATTCTTTGCTATTTGTGTAAGATTGTAAAAATGAAATATGAACATAATATAATTAATGATAAAACAAAAATAACGGAGAAAATTCTAAGTGCTGCAAATTATTTGTAATTTCCACGAGTAAACCTTAAATCACCTACATAAGTAAATGTTATGAGTATAAGTATTCATTTTAAAATGATCCAGCGTATTTTATTACATTGTTAACAGGGCCGGCGCTACCATTAGGTAAATAAGGCATTGGTCTGGGGCGCCAACCTGTTGGGGTCGCCCACCGAGAGGTTTCCTTGTGGGCTGCCCTGCTGCTATCTGGGGCTGGTGTGCTGGGCGAGCGGCTCCTTATCAACCCCCAGCGCAACCGTTCACCTGCTGGGCTCCCTCTGCAGCCAATTACCTGCTCAGGGAGTGGGGTTTATTGTAACCCCAGCACCTGAGCAGAGCACACTGCTTCCTGCAGGCAGATAAAGTCGGGATGTGACTTGGTATCCCGGCTGCCCCTTGACTGTGAACAACGGAAACTCTCTGAGGGGAACAGGAAGCAGCTGGTGCACACAGTGCACAGCTCCCCTGCTCCCCCAGCAGGCTGGTGGCTGGACCCCTTCTCCTCCATTCACAGCAGTAGGACAGGTATGTCATATCTGGGGGCTAAGGGAGACTGGCTATCGTGTAAATGGTTGTACATTGGTGTGTGTGTGTGTGTGTGTTAAATGTGTGAATAAAGTGTGACTTTATGTAAAGTGGTGTGAGTTTGTGTTTGAGTGACAGTGTGTGTGTTAGTGACACTGCGTATGTCAGTGAGTGTGTGTTAGGGATAGTGTGTAAGTGACACTGTATTTCAGTGTGTGTGTGTGTGTGTGTTTTAGTGAGACTGTATGTGTTAGGGAGACTGTGTAAGTGACACTGTGTTTGTATATCAGTGAGACTGTGTAAGTGACTGTGTAGGTCAGTGAGAGCGTGTGCATGTGTGTGTGTAAGTGACACTGTAGGTATGTCAGTGAGAGTGTGAGTGTATAAATGATAACGTGTATATCAGCAAGAGTGTATGTGTTAGTGAGAGTATGTTAGCGAGTGTGTGTAAGTGACACCATGTGTGTACGCCACTGAGAGTGTGTGTGTGCTAGTGTGTGTGTGACCATGTGAAGAGATTCTTATACTTTAAATTATAATTATAATATATTAATCTAATTCCATTTTAAACCGGAAAACCCCCCCACATAAATTAAGTCTCACCATTATTATAAATTAAATCCCACCAAATGCATTGATGTATGTTTTAGGCAGTATGAATGTATGGATGTATGTATTGGGCAGTATGAATGTATGGATGTATGTATTGGGCAGTATGAGTGTATTGATGTATGTATTGGGCAGTATGAGTGTATTGATGTATGTATTGGGCAGTATGAATGTATGGATTTATGTATTGGGCAGTATGAATGTATGGATGTATGTATTGGGCAGTATGAGTGTATTGATGTATGTATTAGGCGGCGTGTGTGTGTGTCTGCTTTCACTTAATGTCTACCCAGTGCGTCTCCTTTCCTAAATGTATACTCACTGCAATTCAGAGTTTAGTGAATAAACCTCTGAGGGAATATAGTTGCATTCATGAGGGGGCGGCAAAATGGATTGTTGCTTAGGGCAGAATCTCCTGAGTGCCACGGCCTGGCAAATTGTCCGTAAGATAATTATGATGATTTTAAGGAAAATCTACATTGAAAGGGAAACTTCCTATTTAATTAACAAATTTGACCAGACAAACATAGTCAGTACTGGTAATGGCTGAATAATTGCTAGCATAGCCTGACTTTGTCTTTTCCAATCATAGACATATCACTAGTGATGCATGTCTTACAAACAGACATGAGTGCCCAGGTTATGAATGATATATATCAGCAATAATAAAATCACTGCAATGGCTGCTTCTCAGACTTAAATCAACCATGATGTTTATTAAGTTAGAATTAGCATCACTGTTCATTTGGAGTTATATGGGCATATAACAATTTAATATAGTACTAATCAAACTACAGGGCAACAAGAATGTTGCTGATATTTATTTTTAAGTTAAATATGAATAGAAAATCTGAAAAAATTGTATTTGATTTGGAAGATTATGAAAATTTGAAGATAAGAATTTTTGTGATAAAGGCACTTAGTGGAACAGTATAGAAGTATTGAAGTAACAGAAGTAACATAAGGATCGTGTGCTACCTGAAATCGGCACTTCATACTTGTATACCTGGAGAAAGTAAGCTAAGACATGGCTCCCTAAAAGGTGAGTGACAACTTTGTAAACCATATACTGTATCTAAGTGTGTTACATCAGAGAATATGGCCCTATTGGGGTTTTCCATTTTATACTCCCCTTTTATGCAGGTCATTTGTAGGTCATTACTTGGAGAAAAGGTGGGGCACTACCTGTAGAAAGTACTAAACTCTCATGTATTAGAGCCATTCAGTTTCAGTCTCCATCAAATGTGAGTGTACACTAACTCCCAACAGTAAATAAGTTGTATCATAGCATATATTTTCCTGTTACAGTAAATTGTGTCCCTGTTTCTCGTTTTTCATTTTAGGTTCCACCTTTGACAAAATTCACCTCATTATAAGGAGTAACCACATTTTATTATTTGATTAGAAGTTTGACTTTGACATATTATTCAGTATAAAATAGTGTTAATTAACCCTGACACCACACGCATTCTCAAAAACTGCACTCACGAGTACTCAGCATTGTGAATATTCAGTGCAAGCACCTGTCATTGTCAGTCCTGGCAACTTGGGTCTGGACGCTAACTGGGTTACTGTCCTCTTCTCCAGGCTGGTGTATAACCCTGCCCAGTTTTGGATTGTCTCAACTAATTTCTAACATCAGTGACACCTATTTTTATTTGGGTTGTTAAAAAAAAAAAAAAAAGGAAAAGGCAAAAGGGAAATGACTAATAAAAGATAGGATAACTACAATAGATGTAAGATCCAAGGATAAATGTGACTGCCATTCTGAGATCAAGAAATAAATTTTTCCTAGTTTGTTGGGTGTTTTTTTTGCCTTCTTTTGGATCAGCAGCATAAACAGATGTGAGTAAGGCTGAAATTGATGGACACGTCTCTTTTTCGCCTATGTAACTATATAACTATATAGGGAGTGGAAAGAGAAAATTAAGGAAAACGTGTAAGAAAAGCGTTAAAGCTACTGTTAAGTGCGATTTATCCAAGAATTTTCTGTAAATATTATAAAACAAGTCATGGCTAATTTAGATATTTTGGATGCATTATGGTAACGCGTGTATTAAGGAATAAAAACACCATCAATGTTTTCTGGAGACATTATAATAAACACGAGTCACCTATAGTTGAGTACTCTATGAGTGTCTCCAGAACCCCAATAATTTCCAAGAATAATTTCTCCCTGATACATGCTGTACAATGCTTCTGCATTGAGAGGGAATTAATTAACGGAGCCAAGTGCTAATGGCAGCTGGTACCTGGAAATTTAATTCCCACTAATCTCAGGTGGGCTGGGACATGTATGGGTCGACCGCACTGCATAGCGTCAGTCACGCCCATAGAGGATTTAAAAACATGTTCTGCCTATTGGCATAATGAGCATACCATGTCATTTTTATCTGTCTGTCCATCCGTAATCTCTCTATCCATCTATACGTCAAAACACAAACATGCACAATTTTGTAAACGGAGGCAGCAAACTGAACAGCCATTTTCCCCAGACTGAGAAAAGGCGCACAATACATTTTCTCTCTTCTTCATGTGATTTCAGAATAAATTGAATCCCCTGGGAAACAGCAGCATCTAAGCGCAGACTGTGTTAAAAACATATTAGTCATCCTGACAAAATAATTTCAAAGAAAAGCCATTGTACAGTACTAGACTCTAAACGCGGAAAGTAACAATGCCCGGCTGAGCATCATGAGAATGGTAGTGTTCTGCAGGTGAATGTGAGGGTTTAGACATCACATATGTAAAGCTACATATGCTCTACATCTGGAAATTGGAGCATATTGTATTATAATGAAAATTCCATATAACTAGCTCAAGGATCTAAATTGAAGATATTAGTGGGGATTTTTAGCCTCCTGCCTTACAATTCTCACTTAATCACTGACACTGGAATAAATGGAAGTTGAATAAGAGAATTAAAGGGACACTATGGTCAACAGACCACTTCATCTCAATCATTTATTCTAATTTCATGTCGCCCACACAACCTCTTCTCAATAAAGTGGTCTGGAAACAGTGACCCTGTATCAGTGTCTCTCTTTAAAATGTAACTGCAACTTTGTTTCTTCGATCAGTATTAATAGTTTGTGCATCGATGAAATTAAACTGCAAATGGGAATGGAGCACAGATAGGAAAATTCTCCAACAAAATAATACAAAGACCAACAGGGAGAATTACTAAATAATGAAGCTCATATGATTTGCAAAGGGAAATGGCTACAGTAATCTTCATTTTAAATAGTGTCCCCTTAGAGATGTAAGCACAATGATTCTTTCATGATTTATTACATCAAATTGGTTGTGGAAGATTAAACACGAGGGAATTAATATCCCAATTAAAAATATCAAAAGGACAGAATTTGCAGTAAATGACTAATTCCACTTCACAAGGGGACAATGAAGCTATATTGGATGTGATGTATAGTTTATGAATAGATATAAGGACTAACCGGCACCGAAGATCTTTCTAAACTACATTAGAGCTGAGTAGCTAAAAAGACCCTTTTGAACTGAGACACCAGCTTCCTGCTCTAGGAAGCCACCAAGATACCCTGTGTCTTGTTGTATGGCTTAATGACCAGGAAGGGTGCCTCGTGCCCACAATGACTAATTGATAGGGTCATGATTACATTTTGGATCCCACTACCAGGTTTTATGTCAAATACTTTTATGAGCAGTTTGACTAAAATAGGGTTCTCTGCTGAGTCTTCGATTATGTGAACTTTCAAATCCTAATTATTGGTTCGACCTTGCTCGCCAATGATAAGCTGGGAGTGCTGGGCCGGGTTAGCCTAACACTCTCATCATTGCTGTCCGAGTTTGTGTTGCTACAGGTTTTATTCTACAGAGTCAAATTCTAACATGTGTGCTTGAGTTGGTTTGCAGTGCTTTATACATTATATTTTATAGCCGCAGGCTTCCATTTTCCCACAAGACTAGACAAATAATGAATCAATGATAAAATCTAGAGTAGCTTTTATTCAAGTGCTGTTTTGCTATTGTGTTATTTGTAGGATCGCGTAATGGAGCAAACCTTTCAATACCATGAAGGAGAGGGAACAAATAGATTTGGCACTTTGGACACTCAGAGGATTAACGCCTTTGTCAATATATCAATAGTAATTACACAATCTGTGATTCTGTGTATAATGCCAAACCTGTTAATTCTGAAAACATGTATGACAACAGATGTATAACAAAGTTTTGCAAGCTCTGTAAAGCTGCAGTAAGAGGGTTGTATTATATTTATTTATCTATTTAATCCATTTTCAAACATGGAGTCGTATTAATTCTCTGTTAGCTGCTCGACAGTGAGCAAAAAAGCTAATCAAAACAAAAAAAAAGAAACAAAATAAGTGGTAATTCAGGCTCATGCTATACAGGGTATCACTGTTCCTCTAACTAATATGAGTCTTTTTTTAAAACTATCAAACTACATAAGGCTTATCATCCACTCAACTGGGGCCAAAATGTACAAGCAACCTTTAGAGATTACATGTATCCTCTAAGTTTATTATTTCTAATGAAAATATGTGATTGTTGTTGTGGATGGTGATTGCTGCGTCACAGCAGCATAACAGAATCAATTAGAAGCACTAACGATCCCCCACCGACAGAGGAAATTCAGTTATTTTATTTCTTCGTGAGCCACGTACAGGAATGACCTTTCCATTATGTGCAGAATCATGTTTCAGTTATTTAAATAATGCTCCTGTAACTCACAGATAAGTGCATGGCATCTGATTCACGCAGAAAATACAATTTAGTCTATAATTTGTGCAAGTTGAATTACTAGCAAATATATGTCGTACTGTGCTTTTCCATTCTCTTCTCTCCCCACAGTGTCTTCATGTGCTAAGCAGTTATACGCCTCCCCACAATGTAGTCATTGTTGGCATGAGAATCATTTATAGTTACGTGCCAACTGCATAGCATCCGACACCTGCCAAGTCCACTGACGAGTCTTTGGGTTTATTGACTTTATTGACTTTAGGTCTATTATTATTATTATTGCCATTTATACAGCACCAACAGATTCCGCAGCACTTTACAATATTATGAGAGGGTGGATTTAACTATAAATAGGACAATTACAAGAAAGAGAGTTTGATGGCAGTAGGCAGGCTATTCCATAGGAAGGCAGCCGTCCGCGAGAAGTACTGCAAGAGCGAATTGGCCGTACGAGTGCGAGCAACGGACAGGAGAAGGTCATGGGCAGAGCGGAGAGACCGAGAAGTGGCATACCTATGGATCTGTGAAGAGATATGAGTGGCTATAATTGTTCAGTGCTTTATAGGTATGGATTAGCACTTTGTTTTGACTCATATATCATACAGGAAGCCAATGTAAGGACTGACAGAGGGGTGAGGTGTGAGAGGACCGACTAGAGAGGAAAATCAGTCTGGCGGCAGCATTCATTACAGACTGTAGCGGGGCAATACAGCTTTTGGGAAAACTAATTAGGAGAGGGTTACAATAATCCATGCGGGAAATTACTAGCATGGACAAGCCCCTTGGTAGCATCTTGTGTAAGAAAGGGGCAGATGCGGGCTATGTTTTTAAGATGGCATCTACAGGATTTCGCAACATACTGGATGTGAGGCTCAAATGTGATGCCAGAATCAAGTATAACGCCAAGACAGCGTGCTTGCAAGGATGGACTTATGTGGATACCACTAGCTTGAAGGGAGAGCGAAAGAGGAGGATCAGTATTAGGAGGAGGAAAGACAAGGAGCTCAGTTTTAGAGAGATTGAGTTCCAGAAAGCGAGAGGACATCCAGTTGGAGATGGAAGAAAGGCAAGCAGTGACACGTTGCAGGATGGCACGGGAGAGGTCCGAGGAGGAGAGATATATCTGGGTGTCATCAGCGTACAGGTGGTAGTGGAATCCAAAAGAGGTAATACGCTTGCCAAGAGAGGCAGTATAAAGAGAAAATAGAAGGGGACCAAGGACAGAGGCTTGGGGGACTCCAACCGAGACAGGACGAGGGGAGGAGGAATCATTAGAAAAGAAGACACTGAATGAGCGTTAGTAAGAGATAAGAGGAAAACCACGAGAGGGCAGAGTCACAGAGACCAATTGATTGAAGAGTTTGAAGAAGGAGAACATGATCAATGGTGTCAAAGGTAGCAGAGTGATCAAGAAGAATTAGTATGGAGTAGTGGCCTTTGGATTTAGCTGCGATTAGGTCATTTGATAAGAGCAATCTCAGTAGAGTGGAGAGGGCAAAAGCCAAATTGAAGAGGGTCAAGGAGAGAGTTGGAATTGAACAAGTGAGACATATGGGTAAAGACATGTCTTTCCAGAAGCTTTGAGGAAAAAGGGAGCGGGGATATGGGATGATAGTTAGAGGGGGAGAACAGGTCAAGGGATGTTTTTTTCAGGATAAGTACTACAGTGGCATGTTTAAGGTCAGCAGGGACAATGCCAGAAGAGAGAGAGCAGTTGAAGATGTGTTTTAAGGAAGGCACAAGACAAGGGGATAGATATCTGATAAGGTGAGATGGGACAGGATCGAGCAGGCAAGTGGTGGGGTGAGAGGAAAGGAGAAGCGCAGCCACCTCTTGTTCAGTAGCCATGGAGAAAGTCTGAGGGGTAGGAAAGGAATGATCTACTTGTGGTTAGGAAAGGGAACAGCAAGGTGGGGAAAATTATTTCCTTAGCTGTTCAATCTTGTCGGTAAAGTAGCATGCAAAACTATCGGCTGTAAGGTTAGTTTGAGGGGTGGCCACAGCAGGGCGAAGAAGAGAGTTAAAGGTGTCAAAGAGACGCCTGGGATTTCGGGAGCATGAACTAATGAGAGAGGAAAAGAATGACTGTTTGGCGAGGGCAAGGGCTGCGTTGTCTGAACACAGTATGAATCTATAATGGATAAGGTTGACTGGGTGCGAGACTTCCTCCAGGAGCGTTCAGCACAACGGGAGTAGCTTGGCAGGTAGCGTGTTGATTAGTATGCCACGGTTGGGGGCGTGTTCTCCTTTGAGGTGCATGTTTGGAGCGGGGCTGCAGAGTTCAAGGCAGAGGTGAGGGTAGTGTTATATGTGGACATGGCCAGTGAGGGACAGGAGAGGGAAGGTGTAACGGACCGTTTTGCCCACAAGAGGTTAAAAACCGTTTAGGCGATATTCCCCTTTTTCAGCTGCACAGGCAGCTACTGCAAGCACCAATCTCCCGAACTGCAAACCCACGAATTCACCAACTCCCGAACTGCAACTAAGGGAATACTCGAAACTCCCGAACTGCATACCAAGTAGCACTCCAAACTCCCGAACTGGAGACACACGAATAGCTGCTAGCAGACGAACAGGAAAAGCCCCCAAGCGGCTTACACTCCTGGCAATCAGTCTCTAACAGCATACAGTAAATCCTCCCCAATAATGAGACGACACTTCACTTTGAGGGTTAAGCAGGAACTGATTTACTGGGGCTAACTGCCCGGCTTTTATGCAGGTCTCCCACCTGGTGGACACTCCCCTAGGGGACCAAATGGGAGACTGGGACACAAAGGGTAAAAGGACCAATCACAGACTTACACATTTCAACCATCCCACAATGCATCACAATCCCTCCTCTCTGCCCTGGAGATAATTGGGAAGTAATCCAATTATCTCCAAAGACAGAGGCAAAACTCCATTAACCACATGGCAGAAAACAAACAGTAAAAGACATAAAATTACCTACAGTACATAAAACATATACGTTCTACATATCCCCAGACAGCTCAGATCTGAGCGCACATTATTACCGAATGGCGCTCAGATCACATACATACAGTTCAATCGCCATGGAGCCAAAGTCCTTCATAGTCTTTTCGTTACATGAACAGGCTCCATGGCTTAGCTATCTGGGTGATGCTGTTCATCCGGTTAAACTACCGAATGAACAGTCATTCGGTTCCGCTCTCGAATGGGAAGGAAGGAGGCTGGTGGCTTAGCGGTGTTCGCGCAATTAAGTGTCCGTTTTCAGTTCCATAGTATAGGCGCTGAACACCGCTGGCCGTTCGGGAGGTAAAATGGCCGCTGCCACGTGTTCGGCAACCGAACAAAGGCCTCCCAGCGTTCATCAATTAAGCTGCGGTTAACCGTAGCTTCTGGGCTGTCAATTGACGGCACACTCCAGTTCCCAGGTGGTCCATCGTTCGGTAGTTTGTTCGGTAGATTGAATCTACCGAACACCCTGGCAGAAAGGCATGAATAAACCATTCAGCAGGGAAAATAACAGGTCTGAACTGCAGGGCCATAGTCTAAAGGGAGCAGGCGAGCAACCAGGCTTCTCCAGTTTACAGTGGCGAGGTTGGTTTCGCCACAGAAGGGATGGATAGCAGTTGTGAATCAATATCAGCTGACAGCTGCTGGACGTCAATAGAATTAAGGTTCCTCCTGATTTGAGGGGGGTTAGGCTGAGGTTGTTGGGTGAGGGGATACTCGAGAGCAAACGATAAGAGGTTGTGATCAGAGAGAGGAAATGGAGTGTTGCAGATATTAGATACTGTACGTGTAGAAGTGAAAATGAAGTCGAGGGTATTGCCAGCTACGTGGGTGGGAGAATTAACTTACTGCAATAGCCCGAGGGAGGAAGTAATTGAAAGTAGTTAATAGGCTGCGGAGGTCAAAGGTGGGTTAATGGGAATATTGACGTCCCCGAGAATTAGGGATGGAATATTAGAAGAGAGGAAGTAGGGTAACCAGGCAGCAAAGTGGTCAAGGAAGAGGAGAGGGGAACCAGGGGGGCGATAAATAACGGCAATGTTAGCAGTGAAGGGTTTGAAGAGGAAAATCAAATGAATTTCAAATGATGGGTAAGAGAGGTAATGGGGGGTGGGTAGAGGTTTGAAGGAGCAGTGAGGTGAGAAGAGAAACCCTACACCACCACCTTTACATTCAGAGTGTCTTGGGTTGTGGGTAAGTTGAAGACCACCAAAGGACAAAGATGCAGGGGTAGCAGTGACAGATGGGGAGAGCCATGTTTCTGCTAAGGCTATTAAATCTAGGGAACGAGAGATGAAGAGGTTGTGGACAGCAGTGGATTTTGTAATATTGCAAATAGAGTGTGCATTCTAGAGGGCAGTATTGAAGCAGGATTTAGAGGAGGAGTAACATGAGATGGGTATGAGATTGGTGTGGATCCTTGAGTTAGTACATGGTGGGTTTGCCGAGATGGGACCGGGGTTTGGAGAGACATTACCAGCTGCTAGGAGCAGAAGGATAGAAAGAAAGTGAAGGTGGGAGAAGTATTTGAAAGTTTTGTAGGAGGGCATGTATGTAGAGGATTTGGGAGGAGTTGAAGGAGGCTGGAAATGTATATATAGGGTGCATATGTAGATGTCTAAGATCTCTACTTTTACTTGTTGTGTAGATTTAGTCTTTCTACAAAGAGTAAGTAGCACTTAATGTAGGGAGCTGGTACTTTACCATACCAGTCTTTTTGTTATATATTATATAATCGATAAACCCCATTAATTTTACATGTGAAACTAGTCAATTATGTCTGCTCATTTCAATCAAAAAATAAATTTTTGCCTTGAATTTCAGTAGTGTAACAGTCTTTACAACTTCTGCTGGAAGGTTAATCTATGCATCTACAACTCATTGTGTAAGAAAAATATATATATCCTGTCATTGACTCTTAAAGGACCACTATAGTGCCAGGAAAACATACTCGTTTTCCTGGCACTATAGTGCCCTGAGGGTGCCCCCACCCTCAGGGCCCCCCTCCCGCCGGGCTCTAGGGGGTGGAAGGGGTTAAACGTAACGCTTTCTCCAGCACCGGGCGGGGAGCTCTTCTCCTCCTCTCCTCCCTCTTCTTCCATCACCGGCTGAATGCACATGTGTGGCAAGAGCCGCGCGCGCATTCAGCCAGTCCATAGGAAAGCATTCTCAATGCTTTCCTATGGTCGCTGGCGTCTTCTCACTGTGAAAATCACAGTGAGAAGCACGCAAGCGCCTCTAGAGGCTGTCAAAAAAGGTATGGAAGCAGGGGGGTGGCCAAAAATATGTAATGTGCTCTTTGGGTGTATGCTTGTGTATGTGTTATCTGGGTGTGTGCATGTGTTATCTGTGTTTGTGTTGTGTTTGTGTATGTCTTAACTGTGTGAATGTGGTATATGTGTTTGTAAGTGTGTTACCTGTCTGTGTAGCTGTGTCTCAGTGTAAGCCCCTGGGTAAGTATGTGTCTGTGCATCTGTATGTGTGTCACTGTATGTATCTGTGCATCTGCATGTATGTCATTGTGTGTGTCTGCATGTGTCAGTGTGTGTGTGTATTTGTATGTGTGTTAGTGTGTGTGTGTATGTATCTCTATGTCCTTGCCTGTGTATTTGTATGTTTCTCAGTGTGTGTCTGTGTATCAGGATGTGTCAGTGTATCTGTGTGTGTGTGTGTGTATACATCTCAGAGGCACTAGAGGCTGGATTAACCCTATTATAAAAATAGCAGATTCTCTGAAACTGCTATGTTTACAGAAGAAAATCCCAGTGAGAAGCACGCAAGCGCCTCTAGCAGCTGTCAATGAGACAGCCACTAGAGGCTGGATTAACCCATTTATAAACATAGCAGATTCTCTGAAACTGCTATGTTTACAGAAGAAAGGGTTAAACCTAGCTGAACCTGGCACCCAGACCACTTCATTAAGCTGAAGTGGTCTGGGTGCCTATAGTGGTTCTTTAACTCCCTTCTCTCCAACTTTTATGCTTTGGATTTTTTTGTCTTGTGTGCAATCTTACCTCTTTCTATATAAATGTTGCTCTTTTGGCTCCTTAATAAAAAGATCTGGAGCTGTATCTAGTGCTCTGTGACATTGAGCATTGTAAATATCTAATTAACTGGTACACCATGCATAGAATATATGTGTTATCCAATTGTAAATTGGCATTTTTATATCATGGATATTGCACAGTGTGTGTTGTATAATTTATCATTTTGAAGTTGACAAGTAAACATATAAAGTTCAGTAACGCTAAATACTGAGGGCGATTTGATAAATGGCTGTAGTAGTTTGCTGAAGGATATATGGGAATTGAGAAGACATGGTGATACAATCACAGATTTAATAGCTTCATGTTTCCTTGTTGTCACAGAGCAAATGAAAGCTACACAAGCCCAAATAGAAACAAACCAAAAATAAAATAAAATCACCGTATGCTAAAATGAATGCTTCTAATAAAAAAACTGTTTTTTTATTTTATTTATACTTTAATTAAATGGCCTGCGGTAAGGGGATACCTATGTGCATAACATGTCATTTTAAAATCATGGTTATTAAAAATAAGTTAGTCATTTCATGACTGCTATTAAACCACCACTCTCTCAGACCGACTGTCCACTGTATGTTGAAACATTTTGTCTTTCTGTAACAGCACTGTTTAGGTGCCTTCCAATCAAAACTGGAAGAACAAGAGCAATTATGTCAGAAAATGCTACTTGCAGAAAATGTAGTGCATCCCTGTTCTTGTAGCGGAGATATTGAATTAATGGCACACACATTTGTCTTTAGACTTGTGCGCATATTCCTTTCAGCTGTGTTGAACGAATCAAACATCTGCTAATCTATGGACGAACAAATTGATTTGTTAGGTAACCCACGAACGAATGGAAGGCATTTGTGCACAAGTCTATTCGTGATTGTGCGCAATGTTAATTAAAGAATGTGATAGCCCAGTCTGTCTGAGCTTTCATGATTGTTAGTCTAATAATGGGTCACGTGGCTATTTACTGAAATTAGACTGGGGTTTATGACCACAAATGACGTTTGAATATTACAAAAAAAATGTAAATAATTAATTTCTGTTTAAGGCCAGGCCTTAAAACAATAATTTACAGCCATTTAATTTGGCCACCTACGGAACATGCAAATTTAAATGTCTATATCTCTTTAACAAGGTCAAATCTTTCACCTTAGAAATTGCAAGTGCTGTGTATGTATCTTTCATCGTTGGCCAAATATGTATTTTAGCTGTGTTCGCAATAGAGTTAGTTAATCAGGCTTTGGGTTGGATAAGGTCAGCCCTTTTCTCATAGGAAAAAGTTTTTTGTATTTTGAAATCATCAATAATTCATATTTTCAGTGCTCCGGGGGCCTCACGGTGTCAACAGAAGACAGCTGATGGAGAGTTTGTGTTGAATATAAACCTTGCCAAATCTCTGGTAACATTGTGGTATTTTACAACAGACACATCAATAAGTGATGTATCCATAATGAATGAAGATGTCTTATTAAGAGTTACAGGAATTGTATCTATATAGTTTCCTTTCTATTAGTAACCTCTTGTTCATTATTTATTATTTAACAAAGGCAGTGGCAGTTACAGATGGTGTTATGAAACGCTGTAGTGGTTATACAATCTAGAGTGTCAGGCGATGCCCCAAGTTTAATGTCAGGGCTTATCCACCCCACAGTGGAGACATCTCCCAGAGACTGTGGGCAGTATTATCACTATACAGAGCAGTGGTTACGTTGCTTAGAAAGCCCTTTACAGCTTACCGCGTTTTCCTTTCTTATTTTATTCCCATATTTAAATAATGTATCATGCCTTCTTTGTTATGAACGAACTAGAGGTTATGCACTGCACAGAACATGCAGTTGGGGTGTCTCTATTCCAGCCACCCTTGCTATGATGGGCAGCCAGTGAAAAGAGGGGCAGTATATGAAAAAAATATCAAATATTCTAATATAAGCCTTGTCCTATCTGTGTACTGCCACTAGTAGGGCACTGCTGTCACTTGGTCAAGGTGCCATCAAGGTTGCATGACACCAATGGTTCTATCTTTGGTACAATGAAGTTGCACAGATTATTAAAACGGAACATTGCCTCTCAGTCAATCTTCTACATTGGAATATTGCTATAAGTATAAAACACCCGATTATTACTTACTTCAGTTGGTACAATTTTAATGGATAACCAGGTGTTTTCTTAGATAATTTATGTATCAAATGCAAAAATAGTTCTCACTTTGACTTACTGGCTTAATACAAAATTGTACGATTTTACGGAATATCCCCCCATTTCAGACGATTTCATCCTCCAGTGATTTATTGTGCAGTGCCTGGCACGGTTTTCAAATTACTGGCTAAGCATTATGGGAAATCTGGGGTGTCAAATTTACCTTTTCTTGCACCTTGCACGTTTTATTCAATATTTATGGTAAAACTAGCACTCAACCTCCAACACCTCTGTTTCCATAAACTAACTGAACATTCTCTAATACCATGTTATGTTGCTGTTTTTAATGTTTCATTTACTCAAAGACTTTAAGTTGGGTATTTTTTTTAACCCCTTCAAGACACAACTTCACAAATAAAAGGGAATCATGACGGAATGTTTCCGTCATGTGTCCTTACGGAGTTAAGCTGCCAAAGTGTTACTTAGCATAATGTTAAATATCCTGTGTAGAATCAGGAACATAAGGGATAATTCACTGGTGTGATCTAGATCATAACGATGTGTTATTACAGATTCTATTTTATTATGTAATGTAATCAAACTTAGCAACAGAGCCGCGCCCATCGTGTGCTGAAGCCGCTATTTAAAGGACTTGCTGGCAATTAACGATGATTCAAGAGAGAAATGTTTAGCATTAAATTAACAAGGAATGGAAATAGCACTTTAATTACGTGACATATCAGTCAATTTTGTGGCATAGTTAGAAAAGGCTCTAAACGGGCCTATTTGCTTTAGTTTATAGGAGTGGCACCATTAGGGGAGGAAAGTCAGTGCTTGAATGCATATGAGAAAACGGGTCTATGGGCGTCCCAATTAGGGATTTCTTGATGGGTAAATATCAGCTTAGCCCGTTTAGGCACTTAAAGTGTTAACAAATGTCCAGAAGCGATGTTCAACATAAGTCATTATGTAACAGAACAGAGGCAGCAATGCCAACTCATAAATTATAAATGCGCCAACGTTTGTTTTTAAAGCGAACTATCATTGTTGGAAATTTTTATATTTTTTTAAATTAAAGTACACAGTCCTCACAGAAAATAACTTGCTCTCATTTTAATAAGGAATAGCACTCTAACTATATATTTTGGGTGAGATTCAAAATACACAAACCTTGAACATTATTCGCTGGCTTAGAGTGTCAGCTGACCTCAACCAATGAATATTGTTCACATTTGGTACGTTAATGCAGAAGTATGAATTTGTGCCTTAGCGTATCACAACACGCCAGTTAATTCGAGAGAGCCAGATAAGTGCCAAACAATTCCTAAATGGTTTGACAGTTTACCATGGGATGGAGCCAGGGGACTTCTGGCACCATAACCACTACAGTGTGCATTAGTAGTTATAGTGCTTAAATATCACTTTAAGTCCTGATTTTAATAATGAAAATCTTTGATATTTATACTGCCACTATGTCTATGCTTGTCTTGATTTATCAAAAAATACCCTTTTGTCCATTTACACTGAAATAAATTTAAAAGCTACACGTTTATAAAAAAAAAAGGGAATAAAATACATTTATCACAGAATGTATTCGTAGGTAAACACAATCTCTGAGTAATTAGAGAATTGTTTTAGTTGTATGATTGTGGTATTGTGTGTTTGTGTGTGGAATGTTGTGTTACAGTAATATTGTCAGGACAAGGAACAAATTACATAAAAACAGATGGGAACGTGGAACACTCCCGTGAATACACAACAAAGTTTTGAGCCTGAAATAAAATGTGTTTAGAATCCAAACCAGTGCTAAAGATATAGAGAAATTAAAGATTATAGGAAACACCAACATTCAGGAACATTTTGCAGGATTTTTTTACCGTTTTGAGAACATTGACTATATCATGAATTCCGGAGAATTGGAAAAGGGGTTTCAGATGTTAATCCAAAAAAAAGCTGTGGTCTCTTTGAACTAATTTAAAAGGGTTTTTAGGGGTATATTCACTAAACAATTAATTGAAAACCAAAGCATAGATGTAAATATAGCAGTATTTACAGTTTATAATTTTAATGTTTACTTCACTAATAGGATAATTTGCAAAACTGGGAATCATTGGAAATCGGCCAGCAGAGTTTAGGTCAAAATTGAAGAATCATTAAAATTTTCCAACCAGCTGGGATCTATTCTCTAAACACTGAATTGTAGGGAACTAAAATCCAGTTTAAAAAATGTTAAGAATAGCTGATCTGAAATAATCTTCAAAATCAGTTCGACTCACAGTTTGACTTTTATAATGTAGTTTTTGCCATATAGGCTTTAATTCACTGCAATTCAGAGTTTAGTGAAGAAACCCCAGTTTTTTTTCTGGCGTGGCTATTTTGTCATTCAATTTGCAATGTGCAGTGCTCCAAAATTCCTGATTTATAAAAAAAAAAAAAGTTTGTTTTCTTTTTTGGATTTACAATCTTTGTATTCACTAATCACTTGATTTTGATAACCTGATAACCTGCATAATCGAAGTTAAAATGTTGAGTTGAATGAAATAAACAGGTGAGGAATCTGAAAGGAGAATGTGACTTTAATAAAAAAAATCAAATCACTATAACTGGCTGTTTAGTGGATCAATGTGAATGTTTTGCAAACTGATGTCACAAATGGGAAATAGATACTGGGTTTTTCTTCTGAGTATTGTTGAAAATTGACCACAGAATTTCAAATTTTACAACAAATCAGCCCCAAAATGAGTATTTTTTAGATTAAGGGCGTTCCAGTCTGTTACAGCAGTTTGGGGAAAGAATAAAAAACCCAGTAGTATACCAGGAGTAGCGTTTCATATTCACCAGGTTTTCCTAGACATATATCACTTCTATATACTGATGGGCAGCACACGAATAGCCCTCAGCTGTGATATGTAGCATTCATATGCTGCATCAATAATTCCAGTCTATTGTTGAGTTCAACCAAGGTGTGATCCCAAATGGAATGCCTTAGTTATCTGATTTTCCTGCTGTAGCACATGAATGCTACAAACTGCTGGGGAGCACTTTTCATGGGCTATCTATAGGCAGGATAGGTGATATTTATCCCAGAAATCATGGTGGATTGGGTAAACCTAAACCAGAGTCTAAACAAATTATTTCATCAACAGGGGCAAATCTAGGAACAATGTATGGGGTGGGGGCACATAAGATACCACAGTCAAAACTGTGGGAGAATTGAAGTTAGCAGGGAAGGCACATGAGGGGCCATGAACAATCTAGGGAGGTAGTTGTAGCAATGTCATAGGTCATTACACAGGTAACAGTAGCTAGCCAAAGGTTCTCTAGAACCACAAAGCACTTGCTTAAAGGGAGACTCTAGGCATCCTGGAGGTGTAGGTAATGTTAACTTTAGTGCAACGTGTTTTAACATAATTACAGTAGGTACTTTAATACAATGTCATCCGTGAGGATATTTCCCAAATAGTGACTATATTTTGTTTGATTTGTGCTTGACATTCACCAATACCTTCAATTAAAAACCTGCAAAGGTAGTATATAGAGAGGATATTGTTCAAACTTACCAGTTAAGGGAATTAATATAAAAAAAATAATTGTAAAACATGTTTCCAAAATATAGCAGAATATGATTTTATAAAGGAGATTTATTTATGTTCCGATAAAAGAAAATGGTGTCAGAGTCTAAAAGGTGAGCAATCGCCTGGGATATTGATGCAATCTGTGGAATTAGACGCGTTTCATGGTGATGGTTCTCGTTTTAAAACTTTCACTTTTAGTGACACTTCCATAAATGTCTATGTCCTCATTGCCAAGTAGGCTTATGGATTTATTTTATTTATATGGATAAAACGATCTTTATTATGCCGTGGGAATTAGAGCTGTTGTTTGTGAATACAGATTGGTAAAAGAATGCATTGTCAGCATAATTCTCCATATCCCCTCCCCCCCCCCCCTAGGGGAGGCTATTTATTAAACTGGTGTTTGTGGACAATGGACAAGGGAACAGAACATTTTACAAATAATGCCAAAAACGTATCTTCTTCAAATATACAGACAGGGTCAAATGTGACTAATTTGGAGTAAAGCCATTCATTTGTCATTTGTCCACATTATCACAATGTTAGTGACTAAACCTCACAGAAACAGCAACTGCTAGGAATATGAATAATAAAAATGAAACTAACATTGTCTTAAAGGGACCCCCACTCCTTCTAAACATCAAATAATTAGATGAAAGCAGATGTAAAAATCCCAATAATGTTAAATGGCAGCTGAGAGATTCAGCAATTTAAGGCATTCTAGGTGCCTTCAAAGTATCCCAACAAGATGTGGCTTAGATAGAACTGTAAATAAAGAAATTAGAAGCTTTTTGATGCCTCAAGTTGCTGGCAATCAAGGTTTGCCAACGTGTACTGTTACAATATACTGCCTAGAAGGTGTGAGAATCCCATTAAGTCACAAGAAAATAGCAATTTCAGAACATATATCAATGACTGACAGTAAATAGTGTTTGTTTCTACTGATCATGAGACAATGTACATCAAGTATGTTTTCCTTTGACCACAACAAATTCACCATGAACCATTAAACCCCCTAATCAGTTTATTTAATTCACTTCGTTTTGATGTATGAAATGCTGGGGGCAAACAGAATATATATATATAATGTTTTTGTTTTCCCCCCACTAACATACAGTAACATATAACACGGCTGCAAGATTCCATTTGAATTAAACGTACCTCCTTGTTCATCCAACATAACCAGAGTTCTGATCCCAGCATCTTTACTCTATATTCCCGAAATGATAGCAGGGCAGGAAACAAGACAGAAAGAAATAGTGATCAGTGACAGTGTAATCAAATCTAATTGGACAATAAAAAGAAAAAGAATGTAAATTAAGGTATAAAGGGATTATTGGACAGAAAAATACATCATAGTTAAATGCAACATTTTTTTCAAAAAAACTCACAGAATCAATTTAACTTGGTTAAGGTGAATATTAGAATTTCTAGAGTAAAATATCCTCTTCTTACCCTGGATTGGCACAAGCCCCCCTATAACAAATAACTTTGTACCATCTGAACCCATGCATAAGGGGGTAACAGCATGTGCGTAGTAGCTAACATTTAATTATGTGCACGAATACCTTTAAGAGCAGTTACATACAAAATGTCTTGTGCAAGAAAAAGATATCAATAGTAAAGTCAACCCATGACCCTTTTGAGGACTGATCTCCTGTAATGAATTACTCTCAGCCAGCCACAGACTGACTGAGGAAAATTAATGATGTAGCTGAACAACAAACGGTGGGCCATTGTTTTGCCTTTTGTAAGTTTCTGCGTCACGATGAGGCCTAGTGTTCCTAATACCACTGCAATTGAGTGTCGTTAATCTAATTACAGAGCAAGAGAAGATACGTATTTCCAGTATAGACTAACCCTGGCGTTTGGTAAATAATGGCGGTTAATACGTTTCATCCTATAAACATTTGTGATGGATTTCATGTAAGAGCACTCCATGTATTGATTGAATTTGAACCCTCATAATGGATGTTTATAAATACTTTGATGTAATCCACACTTTCAGTTCTAAGTGTCCGTGCTTTGTGTATGCGGTAAGCAGTAAGTCAATACAAGGGCAAATCTTCAGCCATTATCAGAAAGGAAAGATTAAAAATAAAATGCAAAGAAAAATATCATTATTTTGAAGGCTGGTAATTGGACTTCTGTTAATTAATGCAGTTTGATGAAGACTATTTCTTCTTGTGATCTCTTGTCCTTCAACATTATCAAAAAGTCCTTGGAAGGTGAGAAGATATCGATCGATATACCAGCTGCCTGATTTTGCAAAACAACTGGAATGCAGATGCTTACTAATTATAAATTAGAGATTACTAGTTTCAGTTAGAACAAAAATATGTCCTAGGTTATTGATAAAAACATTGGACATTGCCTTTATTATGAGAATTCAGAGAAGGTTACACTTTGGATAAATTAACCCATAGGTCCCAACATAGGCATCCCGTGAATCAGAACACAGGTGCGAGAGGTTGAAGGTAGATTTAGGTGCTAACATTACTCAATTCTACATAGACATAAATTACCCCATACGCTTGGTAACTGGCTGCCCAGTGAGTTAGTTATGTTATAAATGTCAATTTGCTTATTTGTATATAACTAATATTTCCCCCCTGTCATGCAGTCTGACAATGGGAAGTGGCCCCACATCTCTTGCCAGCAGTTATTGGATTCGAGTTGAAGTTATGGGTTGTGAATTGTGGAAAGTTATGGATAATGTTACATAAAATAAATCGTTTGTTGCCAGGAGTTCCATAAAGATGTCACACTGGTACTTGATTAAACCTGCAGATATTTACCACATGATTACTGACCCCTATAGATCATAGTTATAGTAGTAAGGTTCATTATAACAGTAGGCATAATTGAGGGTAATGTCTTCTATCTCTGCAAAAGGCAGTAATTGGCTAGAAACTATGACATGGCAGATACAGAATTACTATCGGGTAGTGTATTGGTGAACAATCCTGATGTGACGTATTAGAGAAAAACAATAAAATTCTAAATCAGATCTTTACTCCTTATGCAAAGAGCAATATGTTTGGCCTGTGAAACAAATCCAGAACGGCAGATTTTATTTTATCCCTAACATAGCGATGAGTTTTCATTAAACGAGACTAGTTGAAATGTTGGGTCAAAGATGGAAAAGTAACTGTGACATTTTACAGAGATGCTTATTAGAGTCAGCCTCAGCAAACCTCTTTCAAGATTGTTTTGTGAGAATTAAAATCATTCATAAATGGGCACATCTACAGTATACACAGTATACACAGACAGCTAAATACAGGCTGCATGGGAAAATAAACAGTCAAACTTAACAGGTACACTATTATACCTGTAGGAAACCCTTATCACCTAAACACTTATCTAGAGAGTACTTGTTCTTTAAAGACTCTATCTATCTATCTGTCTGTGTGTCTATGTCCATCCATCTAATGTATCGATTCTCCATAAGTTACTCCACTCTCCTGAACGCCATTCTGGGTTTTGCAGTTATATATCATCATATAGCATTTATTTCCACCTGAACTCCACTTTCTCTCTGTGCCATAACACAAATGCTTTTATTATTAGACATCTGTATTTGTATTTTTAAGAATGACACATTTACTGATAATTTAGATGTTTGGTCATTTAGCCAAAAAATAATACAAGGTCACCATTAAAAGAATGACAGAATAGCCAAAATGTCTCACAGATAAAATTAATTTGGTCATTACAGCAAGTAGCCACCAGCTGCTCAATGTTCAGCAGACATGTCCCCACCAATGGCATAGCGAGCCGGGACGTGGTAGAGGTATAAAACTGCTAGTGCTGCCAGCGGGCCATAGAGATTAGTGGTCAGCCAACATTTGGTAATTAAATTCAAAATGTAACGAATTTCGATTGAATCGAATGACTAGGCGACTGACGGTCGATAGAACTAACCCCCACCCAAAGAAAAACTACAAGAATGACTGAAGATCCAAAGAACTTAAAGTTCTTCCTGTGCACATCTCTGTAATAATGTATTTTGGGATGTGGATGAACCTTGTACTGTTTGTGCCTGCTGACATGCTGGGTGTAAATTTGTTCAGGCCAGATGTTCAGTAAAGACATGTAAGGAAAGTGATTATGGACAGTCATTAGCTCTTGTGCATGGTTGCCAGATTTGTTTGTTAGTGCTTATATATCACCCAAGTATTAGTTGTTTGAACCTGCAGTCACAGTTATATTTTACATAGTAGGAGCAGATCCTTCAACGTCCACACTAGCTTGGCTTAAGACGTGTGTGAACATGCCTCTTCAACCTAAATATAACCTTTACCACGTGCTTCAATTCAATTTGAAGTATAAAAATATTGTAACTGAATAAAAAACCACACACAAACAAAAAAGCAAAAAAAAAAACAAAAACAGTTATGGATATCTAAAAAAAATTAATGTGACAAAAATCTCCAATGGCATTGTCTCATAAGCAAAAGTAGAATTAAGGAGAGTTATCTCTGACTCCATTATATTAGGAAGACTTGCATATAAATTTAAAATATTGAATTCCTCAAATACTAATATAGTTTAAAGATTTGAGGCCTATAACTCCATCAGAAGAAAGAGAGCTGAGTCCCTTTTCTTCTTTTTTTTTCTAGGTCATACAATACATGTAAACGGCTTCAAGCTAATATAATAAAAAAATTGAGAAACACTTGGAATGTTCATAAAGATCTCCAAAAACAAATTAATAAAATCAACTGATATTTTTCCATACCCAGTAAAGATGGGACAATTTGGTTTTATCTACAACCAGATATTTAACTAGAGAAGATTCAGGTCATTAACCCCTTACGGACACATGACATGTGTGACATGTCATGATTCCCTTTTATTCCAGAAGTTTGGTCCTTAAGGGGTTAAAAAGGTTCCCATGCTTTCTCTACATGACAAATACAACTTAATCTTAAATGATACAGAACCAAATTTCACCCATAGATTGTGCTAGGAGAATTGCTATCAAACGTCTAAATGTCTCTAAAAGTGGAGGTTAAAAATAGTCCCTCCCACCTCCTCTCAGTCAATTCAGTTTAGTTGCCGATCAGCACAGAGCTAAGAAGCATGTGCTTTGCATATCTGTTATAAGGGGGTTCTCTGTGACGCCCTTTTGCTTGTGTACAATCTAAGAAAAAGAAATGCCTGCAAAGAGGAGTCTCTGTGTGAGAGCAGCACTAGCAGCTTGAAGAGAAGAGAGAAACAGCCAGAATGATTTATTGCAGGAGCTTTGCAAGCAGGCAATCTGAGAATGTACAGAGAGAGCAGATATGTTTTATTTACACAGTCAACATAAAACTTTTAAACAAAAACATTTGAAAACTGCAATTCTAGATCTGTCATGACAAGTTCTCCTTAATAAGCGTTCAAAATAATTAAATTCTGTTAGAAATTTTTTCCAAATTACGTATCTATAAAAGCTATCATAGACTTTAATTGTGACGTTTGTAGATAAATCATTTGGAGAGTATTTCAAACAGCATTGAATCATTTGGAGACCTTATTAAATCAAGGACAAAGTATGCACTTATATGAAGATCGGTTGCTATTTTAGGTCAAAATAATGCACAACCACCGATAAATCTGATGGGTTCACAATCTTTCTCTCATCGCTTAGTGGACATAACAATAGAGGTTATTTGCTACCTAAGGCTAGACTTAAGTTTAATCCTAAATAGAGGAGGTTTTTAATCCTGATGTGGTCTCTAAACACATGAAACTGAAATTTAACACAATATTTGACATTTGACTAGTATTAACTCAGTTGATTTAAATAGAAAACCTCAGGCAATGGTTAGTTTCATATTAAACAATTCAGCAAGGGAAGGTTATGCTATAAGAAATATAGCAGCAATTAAAATGTTCCAATCCTAAATTAAATTTATAACCATTAAAATGATGGATTGATCTTTAAAAATCTATTAGCTGTTATTTATTTCCAAAAGCAGGAAATATCTAAACGTTTCTGTGGCATATAAGAAGGTCACTAATAAAAAGCATGTTAAAACGATATAAAACGGTTGGCTGAAAAATTGATGGTTGCTTAATTGTATAATGTTAAAATAGTACTGAAAAATAACTGCGACAGCAAGAAAATAAACTTAATAAGAATATCATAGACTTAAAAAAATACATATAATAAATAAATTGTAATGAAATAAAGGGCCCATGGCAAAATATGTTAGGGGAAAAACTGTGCTTGCATTCTAATTAATTTCAAAAGATATTTATTTAAATGTTACCAGATACAAACAATACCAAATATGTTATTATCTTGTGAGAGTGACATTTATTTCCAATTGCACTGGCATGTAAATAAAAAATGTCATCACTCACTGATGCGTCCCTATGAGAAGCATTCTACTGGACACTCGCTGCACATATTGGCATATTCGCAGGAATGGTGGCACATGCACCAATTCTGCTAGGGCAGGAACAGAGCATAGCGAGAGGGGATTCACCGTAGAATAAAGTATGCTAACATTTTTTAATTGGAGGGCGTCTGGCATAGATAGGGCTAAACTGAATATCGTTTTTAATGTTGATAACACTGTAGTTGTACTACGTCGCAATTCTCTGGATGTTCTTTAATACTTGCTGCCATATGCCATAATTTGGTTTATTAGCGATAGTGACCTGTAGTTAGCAATGCAGTTATTTTTTCTAGTTAGAGAAATGTGATCATTGTATCCTGCAGTGTATCTGCTGACAACGAACCCTTTGCTGCTCATATTCTACGTTCATTTAATACTTTCAGCAGTTTGATATGTTCTTTGAACCTCTTCACTTGCCATTGGAATTTTTATTTAATCAAACTATCTTCCATTACATTTATTACTGAATAGAGTTTTATTGGTCTTGTGCGTGTTCTGGCAGATTCCTGGTGGATAGACTCTTCAAATAAAGAAAGTATCGGTACGATGATATGTATCTCTGCAAGCTTTTTGGTTCAGCCAGAACTTGAGTGGCTCAGTTACTTCTTCAACTGATTTTCTTATTTTGTGGTAATTAGTGATCCTCTCGCTGATTAGGATTTAAGACATTCATCTTCCATTTATATTGAGATGTTCACACGCACATGGGGAAAAATAGAGCCTTGGCAAAAAATGCAGTAACTGGCCAATTTGTACGAAAAATATACAAATGATATTTATGCAACATCTAACGGGAAATATACAACAATAAACATAAGGAGTTTCATTTTGGCACATTTCATTCACAAGTAATTCCCTTCTAGATTAACTGCACAATCATATATTGACATAATGTGGCAGAATGGACACTAGCTCTGCACAGTTGTCACTGCAAGGTCTGTAGGCAAACTCAGTCAAGAGTAAGGTTTGCAGAAAATGGTCTTGTCAGTCTCTCTCGAAACTCACCTACTTTAGAAAAAAATCAAGTTTAGAGGATAAAATAGTCCTTCAAATCATGCTAATGAAAAGAAATTCATAAAATGATTGATAGATTTGTAAGACTAAAAAACCAGATAGATTATAAGATTTCTTAGATCAAAAGCATTTCTCTAGAACTGAAACGGTGTATTGGGGTTACAATGAAAGGCTTTTCTAGCCTTGAAATACTGAGGTGCACATGTTAAGAGCTTGCTTATTTTTTACTTGCTGTGTAGCTTCAAAGTGCATTACTTTCTATAATTGATGGTTTTCTAAATGCTGAACTCTGTCACATGGAAAGCCTGGCTAAGAGTCTGTGTTACATAATGCTTTGAATGTGCCTACAGGTGAAACCGTGAAAGCAACAACATGACTTTGGCTCCGCAACGTGACAGATTATTATTCAGAAATAAAATTAGCGTCTTTATTGCTACAAAATGGATCCATAAATATTAATGCTTTGAGATAATGCAACAGATAAGGAATTGCAGAACTTAAGTTTATATAAAAACCGCAATAGATTTTTCATCTAATACAATTTTGCGTCAGCTGTTATTTGTTTAGAAAAATATGTTGTCCAGGGTAAATTGGATTGGCTGTCTGTCTTATAATTGTTCAGTAATCAGGACGGTTTATTACATATTACTGGATGAACTAACATAGTGACAGCAATAAATGTCTGGCTAATATATTGGGAAGAGAATGCCATCCTTCAATCTATTCAGATTGGACTTCTACATGTAAAGGTCCCCTGTATCTTCCTAGGTATTGATAAGGCACAATAATATTGAGATTTGGTCTCCAAATTACCAGATTCTGGAATGCTTCACGTTTATTAATTCATTTCAATTAGGATCTCACTCTTATTCCATCCAAGTCCAATATAGGCAGCCTAGGGTCTCCAGACTGTTATGCGCAGGGCTCTAGTGGAGGGGAATGCATAGGCACAGTGTTCATTAGCTGTTATTTAGCATATTAGTATTTAATTTTGAGATCTGAAGATGCACAGCTCCTGCAACTCCTCCTCTGCCTCCTACATGTGTTCTGACTGTGCCAAGCAGCACCAAGTTAGGACAAGCAGTATGGCAGAAAGCACTTGCAGTCACGTCAAGATGGAGGCATCCCTCATCTGGCCGAGAGACTCTGCTTCTGTCTGAGTTCCGTAATTCCTCATAGTTAGTCGATACTTTGCAAATCAGTTCCGGTGTAGGGATCTTCTACACCGGAAATGACATGGATTCCTTGTGACATGTGTGACATGTCATGATTCCCTTTTATTCCAGAAGTTTGGTCCTTAAGGGCAGGTTGCTTGGCTAGTTCCCCCAATTCCTTTTTTGTGGGGAGTGGGGAGGACTCTGGTTGCATTTGCTGAACAGAAGTTGATGAGAATGTGATATAACGAAATCTTGATCTATGATTTTCATTTTATCTGGTTGGTCTGTAGTTTGTATAACACACACTGCGATCGCCAGGTATGAACTAGCGCTATTATCCTTCCTTGGTTAATGTTCCTCTCTTCTGGCTTGATTTCTTTATTTTCACGTTCGTGCTTTTAGTGTATTTATTATAATAGATAATGCAGTGATCTCCCAGACTGGTACATGGGGTGCTGTTCTATGCTATCGGTGGCACTTGGAAGGGTTAAATGTGCAAAGAGACTGCCTACCTAAGCAGTACAATAAAATTCTAATTTATAGTTAATCCATTAGCATATGTTATGATATTTTAACTATTATTAACACAATATCCAGTCATTGCTAGTTTGGCATCATATGTGGATTTACATGCATGTAGTCACTGGGGGTATATCTTAAAACAATTTGCAAAAGCTGTAGTTCTTATGAAATGCAGCCTTTACAAGTCCTCCTGTTCCTTCCCCGGAAGAGACCTTAAGTCTGAATTATCTCTGAATTATCTCTATCTGTGCATGCGTGAACCTCCACAGTGCTGATATGTGGTCTGTGGACGTTGGTCTGAGGTTTGATCTGAGGTATGCAGGGGGCATGCTCGCTCAAGTAGAATGTGCCTGCCATTTCCGTTGGCTAAGTGGAGTTAACAGAAGCAGGCAGATTTGATTGACAGCCAGGGGATGATTAATTAATTACTTATAAAAGTGCCAAATTATGGGATAAAGCTGAAGTGCTTTATGGGCGTGGACTGCGGAGTGGGCCTTTAAATAAAAAATAACTTTAAAAAAAGAATACATTTGTGAGTGTGTAAGGAAATGTGTGTGTGTGTGTGTGTGTGTGTGTCTGTCAGTCAGTGTGTGTCAAATCAATGAGTGTGTGTCAGTGAGTATGTCAGAGTTTGTCAGTGTGTCTGTCAGTAAATGTGCATGTGTCAGTATGTGTGTCTGTGAGTGTGTGTCAAAACAGAGAGAGTATGTCTGTCAGTGAGTATGTGTGTCATTGTCCTCTGTGTGTAAGTGTGTGTATCAGTGTCCTCTGTGCGTAACTGTGTATGTCAGTTGCCAGTGTGTGCAAATGTATTCGTCAGTCCTCTGGGTGTAAATGTGTGTGTCAGTGTCCTCTATGTGTAAATGTGTGTGTGTGTCAGTGTACTGTGTGTAACTATGTGTCACTGTCCTCTGTGTGATAATGTGTGTGTGTCAGTGTATTGTGTGTAACTATGTGTCAGTGTCCTCTGTGTGTAACTATGTGTGTATTATATTTTTTATTGTGTGACCTTTATACTTTAGATTAATAGTTCACACACTGCTCCTTACATGCACAATATTCACATTAGGTCATATTTATTTTAAAAATATTCTTTACTACCTTTAATCAGGCCTGTTCTCCAATATGGTTTAGCTTAAATATCAGTGTCTACATATTTCATTTGGAATTTAAATCAATAGAAATTACTTTCTTGAGGCAGGGGTACTTAGGAGTTTTTTTTAGACCTGCAGGGATACTTCTTAGTGAAAAGTTGAGAGCGTTTGAGTTCTCTAGTTAGGCATTCAGTAGACATATTTTAGTTTGTTCCTACAGACTCCAAATCTGTAACTGTTGGCAGTCACATGTTTTAGGATTACATTAAGGTACTACTACATTTTAGTTATTTTTAACTTTTTTTGAAAATTTAAATTGTAAATATTAGATTGAATAGATTGTAAATATTATCAAAAATTATTTGTTTGAGTTTAAATGAATAGTTAAAATGAACTTGTCATGCCAGGTTCATTTTAACATATAATATTTCATAAGGCAATAATATACACATACAAGCGTACTATGGAGTATATATCTATAAATAGTTAGAATGTAGTGTGATATGAAAAAACATTATCTGGGACCCATCATATATTATGCTTTGTCTTCTCAGGACTGGGTTATGATTTATTTGCAAATGTTTTACTATACATTTTAAAGAAAAAAAGTGAATCTCATAAAAAATAAAAACCTTAACTGGAGTTCGAGGCAAATTTTCACTGTTTTATTCCAAAATGTAATTCCAGAGCAGAGATAGTTCTGGTGATTTGTTTATTTTTTAATATCATTGTCGCTGTTTTTACTTAAAACTGTGATTTTTCTCATAGCTAGTGTGGTGCAAAGCACACATCTGTGACAATCACTACTGAGAATCCATACAGAATAAGCAATGAGCACCACAGCAAGGCAGATTAATGCAGATTAGCGAGGATCAGCGCGTAGCAAGAACAGCGACAGATGACATCATAGAAAGGGAAATCTCTCAGCAGAGAAAAATAATATTATAAATAAACATGAAAAATACAAGAAGAGGAATGTATCTAATACATGATGCGAGATATATGCATCAAGAGAAGGGGTTCAAAATAGCCAACAAAAGGCCTACTATATAGGCCAGACAGAACCACAAAAATGAAAGAACAAAAAATAATAAAGATTTATTGAACACTACAAAAATGCTCTTCTAACCTGACTTATTACTAGCTACTACCGATAGTAATAGTTTCTTATATTTTGATCTACAATTATATTTTGTTTTTATTATTTTCATACGACCTGTATTTATATTTATATTTTAACTTTTAGGTGTTTATAGGGTAGCACATATTTGGGTTACATTTTTGTAGTGTTCAATAAATCTTTATTATTTTTTGTTCTTTCATTTTTATGGTTCTGTCTGGCCTATATAGTAGGCCTTTTGTTGGCTATTTTGAACCCCTTCTCTTGATGCATATATCTCGCATCATGTATTAGATACATTCCTCTTCTTGTATTTTTCATTTTCTATTAGGGGTTACCCCCCACTTCTATTGTGTATCTAATCTGGCTCTACTCACTTACTGTTCTTCTTATAAATAAACATGTTTAGTAAATATTTTGATAAAACATATCTTCCTCTTCTACTATAATTAGTTTATTATTCAATTGATATTAAGAACAGGAGACTTTGAAAGTCCATCTTTGTGGCATTTGTTTATAAAATGAAAGACATTCATTAGAATTTTACTAAAATGTAATATAAAGATTGACTTACCCCTTCAACATACTGAAGCATTCGGCGTGTGCTTTCCAATGACTGAAAAAAAATAATTGGTAAAATATTAATGTTGGCCCTAAAGTGCAACAGGTGTATGGCAACAGTGATATATACAGCAGACAATAGGAACAAATTAACCTAATTCTGTTCTGAATAAATTTATGCACTTGGGAGTTTTATTGAGAAAACAGTAAATTAGGGCAATTTTCATACTGAAAAGCAAACTTTGCAGTTATGGATTTTTTTAATTAAACATTTCTGTTCAATAGATCGGTGTATATGGATAGCATTTTACCCTATTGATGTCAGTTTGCCACAATACGCTGTTCAGTTTCTTGTGTAAGCATTAGAAGAACACTGTTTATGACAATGTAACCTCTTCAATCTCTGTCCCTGATACTCCACATTACTAGTCTTACAACAGCTAAACCTGGTAACCTCATCATACTGTCTGACAACAGCTAAACCTGGTAACCTCATCATACTGTCCGACAACAGCTAAACCTGGTAACCTCATCATACTGTCTGACAGCAGCTAAACCTGGTAACCTCATCATACTGTCTGACAACAGCTAAACCTGGTAACCTCATCATACTGTCCGACAACAGCTAAACCTGGTAACCTCATCATACTGTCTGACAGCAGCTAAACCTGGTAACCTCATCATACTGTCTGACAACAGCTAAACCTGGTAACCTCATCATACTGTCTGACAACAGCTAAACCTGGTAACCTCATCATACTGTCTGACAACAGCTAAACCTGGTAACCTCATCATACTGTCTGACAACAGCTAAACCTGGTAAACCTGGTAACCTCATCATACTGTCTGACAACAGCTAAACCTGGTAACCTCATCATACTGTCTGACAACAGCTAAACCTGGTAACCTCATCATCCTGTCGGACAACAGCTAAACCTGGTAACCTCATCATACTGTCTGACAACAGCTAAACCTGGTAACCTCATCATACTGTCTGACAGCAGCTAAACCTGGTAACCTCAACATACTGTCTGACAGCAGCTAAACCTGGTAACCTCATCATACTGTCTGACAACAGCTAAACCTGGTAACCTCAACATGTGCTGCCTAACAACAGCTAAACCTGGAAAATTCCTTATCATACTGTTCGACAACAGCTAAACCTGGTAAATCTTCATCACTTGTTCGACAGCAGCTTAACCTTGTAACCTCATCATACTGTTCGACAACAGCTAAACCTGGTAACCTCATCATACTGTCAGACAACAGCTAAACCTGGTAACCTCATCATACTGTCTGACAACAGCTAAACCTGGTAACCTCATCATCCTGTCTGACAACAGCTAAACCTGGTAACCTCATCATACTGTCTGACAACAGCTAAACCTGGTAACCTCAACATACTGCCTAACAACAGCTAAACCTGGTAACCTCATCATACTGTCTGACAACAGCTAAACCTGGTAACCTCATCATCCTGTCTGACAGCAGCTTAACCTGGTAACCTCATCATACTGTCTGACAACAGCTAAACCTGGTAACCTCATCATACTGTCTGACAGCAGCTAAACCTGGTAACCTCATCATACTGTCTGACAACAGCTAAACCTGGTAACCTCATCATACTGTCTGACAACAGCTAAACCTGGTAACCTCATCATCCTGTCGGACAACAGCTAAACCTGGTAACCTCATCATACTGTCTGACAACAGCTAAACCTGGTAACCTCATCATCCTGTCTGACAGCAGCTAAACCTGGTAACCTCATCATACTGTCTGACAACAGCTAAACCTGGTAACCTCATCATACTGTCTGACAACAGCCAAACCTGGTAACCTCATCATACTGTCTGACAACAGCTAAACCTGGTAACCTCATCATCCTGTCGGACAACAGCTAAACTTGATAACCTCATCATACTGTCTGACAACAGCTAAACCTGGTAACCTCATCATTCTGTCGGACAACAGCTAAACTTGGTAACCTCATCATACTGTCTGACAACAGCTAAACCTGGTAACCTCATCATACTGTGGCGGATCCTGGGGGGGACAACGGGGCAATTGCCCCCTCCCCCGAGAAAACCAACGGTCTCCCTCTCCCCTGCCAGCATATGCAGGCGCTAGCCCTGCAATGTGCTTTTATGGACCGGAGAGGGAGATCAGACATCTCCCTCCCCGGTCCGCAGGCACTGTGCTGGCAGCCGGCGGGGGGAGGGAGTGAGAGAGGACCTGGGAGCTCAGCCTGCAGCTCCTTCCAGGGATTCCCCACCGGACCACAAGGGATGGAGAAATGTCCCCCCTTCTTCCAGTAAAGGTAAGAAGGGAGGGGGGACATAAAGTACATTTATTTTAATTAAATACATTTTGAAAAAAGCATATTATAAAAAAGTCCCCCCTAGCCTTATCACACACACTCACACCCTACACACACACATTGCCCCTCCATACACACACTGCTCCCCGTACACACATACATTGTCCCCCATACACATACACTGCCCCCATACACACACTGCCCACCATACACACACTGCCCCCCATACATACACTGCCCCCATATACACACACTGCCCCAGACACACATACACTGCCCCCCACACCCATACACTGCCCCCACACACACACTGCCCCCCACACACACACTGCCCCACACACACACACTGCCCCCATACACACACTGCCCCCACAACACATTGCCCTACAAATACACTGCCCCCATACACACATTGCCCTACACATACACTGCCCCCATACACACATACTGCCCCCCATACACACATTGCCCTACAAATACACTGCCCCCCATACACACATACACTGCAACTGTCACACACACATACTGACCCACACATACACTGCCCCCCTAACAAACACTGCACCCCTGACATACACTGCCATCCTCACTCACACACTGCAACCTTCACACACACACTGCTCACACACTGTCCTCCTCACACACACACACACACACACTGCACACCTCACACATTGCACCACTCACACACACCACTGCTCCTATGCTGTATGACAGCCCCATTTCCCAGCAGACCACAGATAAGTTGTCAAACTGTTCTTAAACGGTTTGACTACTTACTCTGGGAGGGGGTCCCGGCACTATTGGCACCATAACCACTACACTGAGCTGTAGTGGTTATTGTGTCTGGATTATTTATTTAAATAATCTTCAAGTGCCCCTCCTGAGATCAGGCTCTGGATCCGCCACTGGTCTGACAAAAGCTAAACCTGGTAACCTCATCATAATGTCTGACAACAGCTAAACCTGGTAACCTCATCATACTGTCTGACAACAGGTAAACCTGGTAACCTCATCATACTGTCCGACAACAGCTAAACCTGGTAACCTCAACATACTGTCTGACAATAGCTAAATGTGGTAACCTCATCATCCTGTTTGACAACAGGTAAACCCGGTAACCTCATCATACTGTCGGACAATAGCTAAACCTGGTAACCTCATCATACTGTCTGACAACAGCTTAACCTGGTAACCTCATCATACTGTTTGACAACAGCTAAACCTGGTAACCTCATCATACTGTCTGACAACAGCCAAACCTGGTAACCTCATCATACTGTCTGACAACAGCTAAACCTGGTAACCTCATCATACTGTCTGACAGCAGCTTAACCTGGTAACCTCATCATACTGTCTGACAACAGCTAAACCTGGTAACCTCATCATACTGTCTGACAGCAGCTTAACCTGGTAACCTCATCATACTGTCTGACAGCAGCTAAACCTGGTAACCTCATCATACTGTCTGACAACAGCTAAACCTGGTAACCTCATCATACTGTCTGACAACAGCTAAACCTGGTAACCTCATCATACTGTCTGACAACAGCTAAACCCGGTAACCTCATCATACTGTCTGACAACAGCTAAACCTGGTAACCTCATCATACTGTCTGACAACAGCTAAACCTGGTAACCTCATCATACTGTCTGACAACAGCTAAACCTGGTAACCTCATCATACTGTCTGACAGCAGCTAAACCTGGTAACCTCATCATACTGTCTGACAACAGCTAAACCTGGTAACCTCATCATACTGTCTGACAACAGCTAAACCTGGTAACCTCATCATACTGTCTGTCTGACAACAGCTAAACCTGGTAACCTCATCATACTGTCTGACAACAGCTAAACCTGGTAACCTCATCATACTGTCTGACAACAGCTAAACCTGGTAACCTCATCATACTGTCTGACAACAGCTAAACCTGGTAACCTCATCATACTGTCGGACAATAGCTAAACCTGGTAACCTCATCATACTGTCGGACAATAGCTAAACCTGGTAACCTCATCATACTGTCTGATAACAGCTAAACTTGGTAACCTCATCATACTGTCTGAAAACTAGTGACTTCATCATACTGTCTGACAACAGCTAAACCTGGTAACCTCACCAAACTGTTTGACAACAGGTAAACCCGGTAACCTAATCATCCGGTCAGACAACAGCTAAACCTTGTAACACTATCATCCTGTCGGACAACTTAACCTGGTAACCTCAACATACTGTCTGACAATAGCTAAACCTGGTAACCTCATCATACTGTTTGACAACAGCTAAACCTGGTAACCTCATCATACTGTCTGACAACAGCTAAACCTGGTAACCTCATCATACTGTCTGACAACAGCTAAACCTGGTAACCTCATCATCCTGTCTGACAGCAGCTAAACCTGGTAACCTCATCATACTGTCTGACAACAGCTAAACCTGGTAACCTCATCATACTGTCTGACAACAGCTAAACCTGGTAACCTCATCATTCTGTCTGACAACAGGTAAACCTGGTAACCTCATCATACTGTCCGACAACAGCTAAACCTGGTAACCTCATCATACTGTCTGACAACAGCTAAACCTGGTAACCTCATCATCCTGTCTGACAACAGCTAAACCTGGTAACCTCATCATACTGTCTGACAACAGCTAAACCTGGTAACCTCATCATACTGTCTGACAGCAGCTAAACCTGGTAACCTCATCATACTGTCTGACAGCAGCTAAACCTGGTAACCTCATCATACTGTCTGACAACAGCTAAACCTGGTAACCTCATCATACTGTCTGACAACAGCTAAACCTGGTAACCTCATCATACTGTCTGACAACAGCTAAACCTGGTAACCTCATCATACTGTCTGACAGCAGCTAAACCTGGTAACCTCATCATACTGTCTGACAGCAGCTAAACCTGGTAACCTCATCATACTGTCTGACAACAGCTAAACCTGGTAACCTCATCATACTGTCTGACAACAGCTAAACCTGGTAACCTCATCATTCTGTCTGACAACAGGTAAACCTGGTAACCTCATCATACTGTCCGACAACAGCTAAACCTGGTAACCTCATCATACTGTCTGACAACAGCTAAACCTGGTAACCTCATCATACTGTCTGACAACAGCTAAACCTGGTAACCTCATCATACTGTCTGACAACAGCTAAACCTGGTAACCTCATCATACTGTCTGACAGCAGCTAAACCTGGTAACCTCATCATACTGTCTGACAACAGCTAAACCTGGTAACCTCATCATACTGTCTGACAACAGCTAAACCTGGTAACCTCATCATTCTGTCTGACAACAGGTAAACCTGGTAACCTCATCATACTGTCCGACAACAGCTAAACCTGGTAACCTCATCATACTGTTCGACAGCAAAGCAAACCTGGTAACTTATCATACTGTCTGACAACAACAGCTAAACTCTGGTAACCTTACTATACTGTCTGACAACAGCTTAACCTGGAAAATTCCTATCATACTGTTCGACAACAGCAAACCTGGTAACCTCTACTATACTGTCTGGACAAATAAAGCAACCTGGTAACCTCTATCATACTGTCTGACAGCAGCTGTGTTCCTGCAATCCTATCATACTGTCTGACAACAGCTAAGGGCCTGGTAACCTCATCATACTGTCTGACAACAGCTAAACCTGGTAACCTCATCATACTGTCTGACAACAGCTAAACCTGGTAACCTCATCATACTGTCTGACAGCAGCTAAACCTGGTAACCTCATCATACTGTCTGACAACAGCTAAACCTGGTAACCTCATCATACTGCCTGACAACAGCTAAACCTGGTAACCTCATCATACTGTCTGACAACAGCTAAACCTGGTAACCTCATCATCCTGTCTGACAGCAGCTTAACCTGGTAACCTCATCATACTGTCTGACAACAGCTAAACCTGGTAACCTCATCATACTGTCTGACAGCAGCTAAACCTGGTAACCTCATCATACTGTCTGACAACAGCTAAACCTGGTAACCTCATCATACTGTCTGACAACAGCTAAACCTGGTAACCTCATCATACTGTCTGACAGCAGCTAAACCTGGTAACCTCATCATACTGTCTGACAACAGCTAAACCTGGTAACCTCAACATACTGTCTGACAACAGCTAAACCTGGTAACCTCAACATACTGCCTAACAACAGCTAAACCTGGTAACCTCATCATACTGTCTGACAACAGCTAAACCTGGTAACCTCATCATACTGTCTGACAGCAGCTTAACCTGGTAACCTCATCATACTGTCTGACAACAGCTAAACCTGGTAACCTCATCATACTGTCTGACAGCAGCTAAAACTCTGGTAACCTCATCGCTACCGTCTTTCGGATGCAACAGCTAAACTCTGGTAAATTCCTAATATCCTGGGTTCGACAACAGCTAAACCTGGTAACCTCATCATACTGTCTGACAACAGCTAAACCTGGTAACCTCATCATCCTGTCTGACAGCAGCTTAACCTGGTAACCTCATCATACTGTCTGACAACAGCTAAACCTGGTAACCTCATCATACTGTCTGACAGCAGCTAAACCTGGTAACCTCATCATACTGTCTGACAACAGCTAAACCTGGTAACCTCATCATACTGTCTGACAACAGCTAAACCTGGTAACCTCATCATCCTGTCGGACAACAGCTAAACCTGGTAACCTCATCATACTGTCTGACAACAGCTAAACCTGGTAACCTCATCATCCTGTCTGACAGCAGCTAAACCTGGTAACCTCATCATACTGTCTGACAACAGCTAAACCTGGTAACCTCATCATACTGTCTGACAACAGCCAAACCTGGTAACCTCATCATACTGTCTGACAACAGCTAAACCTGGTAACCTCATCATCCTGTCGGACAACAGCTAAACTTGATAACCTCATCATACTGTCTGACAACAGCTAAACCTGGTAACCTCATCATTCTGTCGGACAACAGCTAAACTTGGTAACCTCATCATACTGTCTGACAACAGCTAAACCTGGTAACCTCATCATACTGTGGCGGATCCTGGGGGGGACAACGGGGCAATTGCCCCCTCCCCCGAGAAAACCAACGGTCTCCCTCTCCCCTGCCAGCATATGCAGGCGCTAGCCCTGCAATGTGCTTTTATGGACCGGAGAGGGAGATCAGACATCTCCCTCCCCGGTCCGCAGGCACTGTGCTGGCAGCCGGCGGGGGGAGGGAGTGAGAGAGGACCTGGGAGCTCAGCCTGCAGCTCCTTCCAGGGATTCCCCACCGGACCACAAGGGATGGAGAAATGTCCCCCCTTCTTCCAGTAAAGGTAAGAAGGGAGGGGGGACATAAAGTACATTTATTTTAATTAAATACATTTTGAAAAAAGCATATTATAAAAAAGTCCCCCCTAGCCTTATCACACACACTCACACCCTACACACACACATTGCCCCTCCATACACACACTGCTCCCCGTACACACATACATTGTCCCCCATACACATACACTGCCCCCATACACACACTGCCCACCATACACACACTGCCCCCCATACATACACTGCCCCCATATACACACACTGCCCCAGACACACATACACTGCCCCCCACACCCATACACTGCCCCCACACACACACTGCCCCCCCACACACACACACTGCCCCCACACACACACACTGCCCCCATACACACACACTGCCCCCCATACACACATTGCCCTACAAATACACTGCCCCCATACACACATTGCCCTACACATACACTGCCCCCATACACACATACTGCCCCCCATACACACATTGCCCTACAAATACACTGCCCCCCATACACACATACACTGCAACTGTCACACACACATACTGACCCACACATACACTGCCCCCCTAACAAACACTGCACCCCTGACATACACTGCCATCCTCACTCACACACTGCAACCTTCACACACACACTGCTCACACACTGTCCTCCTCACACACACACACACACACACTGCACACCTCACACATTGCACCACTCACACACACCACTGCTCCTATGCTGTATGACAGCCCCATTTCCCAGCAGACCACAGATAAGTTGTCAAACTGTTCTTAAACGGTTTGACTACTTACTCTGGGAGGGGGTCCCGGCACTATTGGCACCATAACCACTACACTGAGCTGTAGTGGTTATTGTGTCTGGATTATTTATTTAAATAATCTTCAAGTGCCCCTCCTGAGATCAGGCTCTGGATCCGCCACTGGTCTGACAAAAGCTAAACCTGGTAACCTCATCATAATGTCTGACAACAGCTAAACCTGGTAACCTCATCATACTGTCTGACAACAGGTAAACCTGGTAACCTCATCATACTGTCCGACAACAGCTAAACCTGGTAACCTCAACATACTGTCTGACAATAGCTAAATGTGGTAACCTCATCATCCTGTTTGACAACAGGTAAACCCGGTAACCTCATCATACTGTCGGACAATAGCTAAACCTGGTAACCTCATCATACTGTCTGACAACAGCTTAACCTGGTAACCTCATCATACTGTTTGACAACAGCTAAACCTGGTAACCTCATCATACTGTCTGACAACAGCCAAACCTGGTAACCTCATCATACTGTCTGACAACAGCTAAACCTGGTAACCTCATCATACTGTCTGACAGCAGCTTAACCTGGTAACCTCATCATACTGTCTGACAACAGCTAAACCTGGTAACCTCATCATACTGTCTGACAGCAGCTAAACCTGGTAACCTCATCATACTGTCTGACAACAGCTAAACCTGGTAACCTCATCATACTGTCTGACAACAGCTAAACCTGGTAACCTCATCATACTGTCTGACAACAGCTAAACCTGGTAACCTCATCATACTGTCTGACAACAGCTAAACCTGGTAACCTCATCATACTGTCTGACAACAGCTAAACCTGGTAACCTCATCATACTGTCTGACAACAGCTAAACCTGGTAACCTCATCATACTGTCTGACAACAGCTAAACCTGGTAACCTCATCATACTGTCTGACAGCAGCTAAACCTGGTAACCTCATCATACTGTCTGACACAGCTAAACCTGGTAACCTCATCATACTGTCTGACAACAGCTAAACCTGGTAACCTCATCATACTGTCTGACAACAGCTAAACCTGGTAACCTCATCATACTGTCTGACAGCAGCTAAACCTGGTAACCTCATCATACTGTCTGACAGCAGCTAAACCTGGTAACCTCATCATACTGTCTGACAACAGCTAAACCTGGTAACCTCATCATACTGTCTGACAACAGCTAAACCTGGTAACCTCATCATACTGTCTGACAACAGCTAAACCTGGTAACCTCATCATACTGTCTGACAACAGCTAAACCTGGTAACCTCATCATACTGTCTGACAACAGCTAAACCTGGTAACCTCATCATACTGTCTGACAACAGCTAAACCTGGTAACCTCATCATACTGTCTGACAACAGCTAAACCTGGTAACCTCATCATACTGTCTGACAACAGCTAAACCTGGTAACCTCATCATACTGTCTGACAACAGCTAAACCTGGTAACCTCATCATACTGTCTGACAACAGCTAAACCTGGTAACCTCATCATACTGTCTGACAACAGCTAAACCTGGTAACCTCATCATACTGTCTGACAACAGCTAAACCTGGTAACCTCATCATACTGTCTGACAACAGCTAAACCCGGTAACCTCATCATACTGTCTGACAACAGCTAAACCTGGTAACCTCATCATACTGTCTGACAACAGCTAAACCTGGTAACCTCATCATACTGTCTGACAACAGCTAAACCTGGTAACCTCATCATACTGTCGGACAATAGCTAAACCTGGTAACCTCATCATACTGTCGGACAATAGCTAAACCTGGTAACCTCATCATACTGTCTGATAACAGCTAAACTTGGTAACCTCATCATACTGTCTGAAAACTAGTGACTTCATCATACTGTCTGACAACAGCTAAACCTGGTAACCTCACCAAACTGTTTGACAACAGGTAAACCCGGTAACCTAATCATCCGGTCAGACAACAGCTAAACCTTGTAACACTATCATCCTGTCGGACAACTTAACCTGGTAACCTCAACATACTGTCTGACAATAGCTAAACCTGGTAACCTCATCATACTGTTTGACAACAGCTAAACCTGGTAACCTCATCATACTGTCTGACAGCAGCTAAACCTGGTAACCTCATCATACTGTTTGACAACAGCTAAACCTGGTAACCTCATCATACTGTCTGACAACAGCTAAACCTGGTAACCTCATCATACTGTCTGACAACAGCTAAACCTGGTAACCTCATCATACTGTCTGACAACAGGTAAACCTGGTAAACTTATCATACTGTCTGACAACAGCTAAACCTGGTAACCTCATCATACTGTCAGACAACAGCTAAACCTGGTAACCTCATCATACTGTCTGACAACAGCTAAACCTGGTAACCTCATCATCCTGTCTGACAACAGCTAAACCTGGTAACCTCATCATATTGTCTGACAACGGCTAAACCTGGTAACCTCATCATACTGTCTGACAACAGCTATACCTGGTAACCTCATCATGCTGTCTGACAACAGCTAAACCTGGTAACCTCATCATGCTGTCTGACAACAGGTAAACCTGGTAACCTCATCATGCTGTCTGACAACAGCTAAACCTGGTAACCTCATCATGCTGTCTGACAGCAGGTAAACCCGGTAACCTCATCATACTGTCTGACAACAGCTAAACCTGGTAACCGCATCATACTGTCTGACAACAGCCAAACCTGGTAACCTCATCATACTGTCTGACAGCAGCTAAACCTGGTAACCTCATCATACTGTCCGATAACAGCCAAACCTGGTAACCTCATCATACTGTCTGACAACAGCTATACCTGGTAACCTCATCATACTGTCTGACAACAGCTAATTTAATTGGCTTTTTAAATTTAGGTTAGGCACCAGAATGACATAGAAAGGGCATAACCACACAGAGATTATGTACATAATGGTGGTTTACATGATACCCCAATGAAGAATCCAAGAGAACCACTCTAACTAAAGTAATAATTATAACAGGATACAAAGATAATGTGAAACTTCATCTATCTATCTTTTCATCCATCTGTAACATTATGTATTATACTGTATAATTATATAATATCCAGGCATATTTATCTCACCTCATCAGCCAGTTGGTCTGCACGCCTCTGCATTTCCTCCAACTCATTGCGCATATCAGCGTCGTCGGCCATTGTGGCTTGTTGTGTGTTTTGGGATTAGGGGATTTACAGTGTTTAAGGATCCTCGGATCTGTAATGTATCAAACATAACACATACAAATTTAGACGTCTCTACAGATGTGCACTGAACAGTAAATAACCATTACATTACCCATTCGTGTTTCCTCACAATAAAGAACAAAAACAAACGTGTGAATAATATGGATTTCTCTTTTCCTGATCCTGATTAGAGGATATTATTGACATTTAAGAAAACGCAGTGTCTCACAATGCCCGTGTCAATAATTAAAATTCATAACTCCTTACACAGACATGCATTTCAACATCAAAAATTTAGCTTACTTACACATACTGATTTATAAATGCATATATTGTAGTTTAAAGAAACATTATTGTGTGTATTATTGCTGTTGAGCTCTGTTACACTCAGACACACAGACAATATGGAGCTCCTAGAAAAGAGGGACTGAGCGATTTGGGCCCATGAACGGAGATGCTTAGGAGGTGTAACAGATCCCAGTACTCCAGCTGAGTACATCCGTGAAAAATCTCCCAAGTTCCAAACGCAGTAGTGGTTAAAAGTGTGAATATGGCTCCCAATCCACCAAACATGAGCCTAGACTTCATGAAGGGGTAAGATGATCCGTTTAATCCAGGCTCAATGGCCTGCTTTTATGCAGTACAAGGACACAGAAAACACGCCCATGACACTCCCACACAAAACAAGGTAAACCCTCCCCTGTGCCTGGGAGATAAGTGAGTCAGGTACTGTACAAACTCAATTATCTACAGGCACAGAAAACCATACAATTTACAAACACCCCAAAAGTACCTTCAAAACACATGAAAATCCCACAAAAGTTACATCGCTTGAGAGCCCTGATCTGGGTGACCAACAAATCAAAAAATCACCTAGATCGCTTCAAGGGTTCGAGATTTACATGGAAGTCAATTATTTGATTGACCATGCACATGGCCCTATGCCCAAAAAAGTTCCATAAAATTAGGGTTAGCGGTTGGTCAACTTTGGTAACATAAAAACCAAGTTTAAATGGATTCCATAACTGAGGGAGAGAATGGTTCCTGGGAAGGCAAAATAGGGTTTTTGTCACATAGCTCCCCCCCAGTTCCATGGGATGGCATACCTGCCTAGGTTGGCTTGGGGATGTCCGGTCAAGTTGGTTATTTTTCTAGCTCTGGAAAGTGCTGAACCAGGGACACCCAGGGCTAGCCACTAATGGCGGTTCGGGAGATTTAATTCCCAAACAGGGTCTTTGTATATGACCCATAGTCAGTGGGCAGGAGGCTAGCATCCACATTCCTCCAGGAGCCCAAGGCGTTCATCACAGGAGGTATGCATAGATATGATCTGATCCCTTGGCTTGTAAGGAGTGAATGAGTGGGGGGATATGTGACAACGGCGAATTGTGTCTGTGACGGAACTCCCTGTACTCCGACCGAGTACCTTCCATTGATGGATGCTTCCTAGCTTGCGCCGAGGACCACAAGCATCGTACCGGACACCACAACCACCGCAAACACCACAACTGCTGTAGCTTAACTGGAGTCTCGTCGTCTTCCTTCCACCCTGGATCAGCTTCTGTCCTCCAGGACCATGTGGGAAAGACCTCTCCTCCAGGAGAGCGTATCAGGAACAAGCTCTTAAAAGAGCTAAGTGATTAAAGCTCAGGGGAGTATGCAGAGCATAGCAATCCCCAGTGTGAGTATAGCTGTCCCCTCCAATCACGAGACAAGACTACATGTTGAGGGTCAAGAAGATCTGTTTACTTGGCACCAAAGGGCCTTCTTTTATGCAGGTTTTACAGATACAGTACCGCCCACAGGGGTTTGTAAAATAACCAATAAAGCACGTAACATATAATAAAACCACACCCATTCACTCCCAGAAAATCCTCCCCAGGAAAAATATACTTTTTACACATACACTGTAACTTTAAAAATATACATCTTCACAAAACACACATTTTCAGAACCAGCATACTTTAAATATAAACATAACCAAAATTCAGCTAAATCCGTTCAGTACTTAAAAAGTTAGCCGGAAGTCCTTTATGACCGACCGCAAGCACATTTTCCTGCCCAAAACAGTTCCATAGATTTGGGCTGTGCAGTCGGTCTAGTTTACACAGAAAAATGACTGTATCCGAAGTGCCAAAAAATAAAGCTGCAGAACTGCTCCAATAGAATTTAAAAATAGCAGCAAGAGTCTTTTAACCCCTTAAGGACACATGACATATGTGACATGTCATGATTCCCTTTTATTCCAGAAGTTTGGTCCTTAAGGGGTTAAAATCCAACCTACTAAAAAAGTCTTTAACAGGCAATATCTTCCAGGGGCCATAGTCTTAAAGGTGCATTGTTCACCAAAGTCACAATGTGCCCACAGATGGTTCTTAAAGGGCCGTACACAGTCCAATAAAGTTCATAAGCCCAAATGCTGGTTTAAAAGGGTACAATCTCCCAGGGGCCATAGTCGCAGGGGAGGAGGCTGGCAAGCAAGCCTCTCCAGGACCAAGTGGCGAAGGGCACTTCATCACAATGCCATCCAATGAAAACGCAAAGGCAAGGTAAGGTTGGAAAACAATGGCAAAGAATGGGTTAGATACTGATGTAGAAGGAGTTAATAATTTTGCTGTTTTCATGTACAGGTGTGTATCATGTACACTAATTAAATCCTCATGCAGAATCTGTATCTTTACACAAACACCATAAAAAGGATTATTTTGTAAATATTTGAACAGGAAATAAAATGGCTCCAAAATTTGTAGACACCTGCAGAAAAAGTAAACATGTCCGGACAAAGGAGCAGAAAAAAAAAATCATATGCGAAGCTCCCCTGACTTAGACATCCTTGGTTAATAAGGCAGTTAGACTACAAATCCCATTATCCTGGTGTCCTCAAAAATGATGATTGAAGCTACGTACATCAGATATATAATATCATGTTAAAACACATGAATACATGTCTGCTCTACCATCATCTGCTAAACAGGAGGTTAAAGATAGAGTCCCAACAGTGCTTCAAATCCCATAATTTAAACTAAATAAACTACCTTTCCTTCTGCTAGACTGTCTGTGATAATATACATATAAGTAATAATAATATTATTTATATATAATGTAAATAATACTTGGCACTCCACCAGCAAAAAAATAAAGTTGACAACGGCCTGGTTGCAATCCCGCAATAAGCAAGTTTACTGAGCACTGACAGGTCTTCATGTCAGTCAAATTGTGCTTTATATTGTCTTCAAAAAATCAACTGTGCTACAAAGTGACCTTTCAACCCATTCGGGTCTTTATCAAGATCATATATATAACAATATATAAACAATATTTGAGCTATAGCTTATGAACTTTGTCTTTTTTTCCATATTTTATTTACGGTTGTTATTATTATTATATAAATAGATGTAATATTAATTTGTAAGCCTTTCATGGCAAGGGATTAGATATTCTGGCAAGTTATGGTCATGAATGGATTTGAGTATTAAATATTCAATAGATTAGGAGATTCTTTTCACACCGAACTGTAATTCGGCCCAACGTGGTTCCTTTCGGGTGTTTGGTCAAAGTAACTGGATTCCGAGTTTAAATGTACCGAACTATGGACTAAACAAACCACAAAATGCTAAACATGATTAGTGGATGGGGGGTCAATATTGTGAATACCATTTTGGCTTTATTTATGTTAAATAAATCATGGCACGGTGTAATATGTCATGTGTTATTGTTAATCAGAGGTTGTATTTATCTAATTTTAAGACCAGCTAAGGAACAGATGATTGTTATTATGTCCTTATATGTAAAACCATAGAATTTAAAAATAGTGTACTTTTATATATTTACTGTTCCTCATACTTTACCCTCTATTGATTACACATGATCTGTAAAAAAAAAAAATGCTCCTATCAGTGTACTGCTAAACACATAAATATTACGATACTATGTATATATTTTACAGCACACTGACTGGCCCTCTTTCGCACCTTATTGGTTTGTTCTGATTCGATTTCCAAAATCAACTGACATTTAATGTGGATAAGTGCAAGATAATGCATCTTGGACGTAAAAACCCAAGGGCAGAGTACAGAATATTTGATAGAGTTCTAACCTCAACATATGAGGAAAGGGATTTAGGGGTGATTATTTCAGATGACTTAAGTAGGCAGACAATGTAATAGAGCAGCAGGAAATGCTAGCAGAATGCTTGGTTGTATAGGGAGAGGTATTAGCAGTAGAAAGAAGGAAGTGCTCATGCCATTGTACAGAACACTGGTGAGACCTCACTTGGAGTATTGTATGCTGTACTAGAGAGAGTTCAGAGAAGGGCTACTAAACTGGTTCATGGATTGCAGGATAAAACTTACAAGGAAAGGTTAAAGGATCTTAACATGTATAGCTTGGAGGTAAAACAAGACAGGGGGGATATGATAGAAACATTTAAATACATAAAGGGAATTAACACAGTAAAGGAAGAGACTATATTTAAAAGAAGAAAAACTACCACAACAAGAGGGCATAGTCTTAAATTAGAGGGCCAAAGGTTTAAAAATAATATCAGGAAGTATTACTTTACTGAGAGGGTAGTGGATGCATGGAATAGCCTTCCAGCTGAAGTGGTAGAGGTTAACACAGTGAAGGAGTTTAAGCATGCGTGGGATAGACATAAGGCTATCCTAACTATAAGATAAGGCCAGGGACTAATGAAAGTATTTAGAAAATTGGGCAGACTAGATGGGCCGAATGGGTACATTTTTGGCTCAGCCAAATGTTGTAGAATGTGACGGTTCTTATCAGCCATCACATTCTATAACATTTGGCGGACCCTAAAAATTTACTTTCTTCAGAAAAAAAATATTCTACAGAACTGAGATTTATCACTGTGCACAAGTCTCATAATATAATGTTATATGTATAAAGTCTTGCTACCGTTACCATTATTAAAAATCATATATTTTGGTCTAAATCTTGCAATTGAATTTTCAATTTAAAGCGGGTGTCTACTGAATAAACCAGTTAGTGTTACCAACTTCTTACATCATATTTTATTTCATAATCCAAAAGTAATCAACTAGACAGAATTAATCCATAAGGAAGACTCATGTCCAATTGTGCTCAATTTGCTCGAAATCATTAAATTGTGTTCGATTGCTTAAAATCATGAAATTCTTAATATCAGCTTTTACCTGTTTATATTTGGCCAATATTTTTAAACACTCAACCTCATGACCAAAAAGACAAAAAAAAAAAAAAAACATTGAGAAAATGGATTTATAGTTTTGAGCCATCTGAAATTTTGTAGCTCTTGTTTCTCAGCCTACTACACAGCATGGAAAAGATTAAAAAAGAATGAAAGGGAAGGATTTAGCTAAACTCACACATGCAGGCACTGTTTATATGGACCAATCAGCTAAATGACTGTTCCATGTGACTTGTTGGATAATATTTTAAGCACTTTAGTAGTCACATGATCTGTAGATTAAACCAGAGATACTGCAAAACCCTTTAGTTTTGTAGCCTTTGAAGGCAGAAGCCTGTTCTCTTGATGTTTGGATATAATAGTGACTGCAGATTACCGATGTCAATTAACTTGTTTCATGTAATCATTGCTATGTTATACAAATACTAGCCTGCCATGATTGGATAGCACATACATGGATGCCAAATTGGTCAAGTATTGAGCCCGAACCTGAGCGGGGTTTTTGTTGGTGGCAGGCCAATGACAAAATTGGTAAAACGGGTGCTGGGAATGACTGTTAAGAGAACTGCAGCTGTAAGTCTGTTTATTTTTTTTATTAATCAATAAAATGAAACATATAAAACACATCTCAAAAACAGCTAGAGCCGGGCATAGATCTGTATATTTGTATTCAAAACATATCTTGGGGGAAGCGCAGTTCAACACCCTTGATTTAATTTGACAAACGCTCACTAGAACATCATGTTATCTCACTACTCTCCAAAAAGTTCAAAAGTTAATGTGAGCAATCACCCACAATATGGTTCCATGCCCTTTTGCTTTCATGACATACATTCTAATTTTGGGAGGTGGTCCATTGAATTGGGCCACGAAATGTGACCATTTTATCCGACATACATCTATGTGCTTATTAACGTAGGTTCAAGCTATAGTAAACCAACAATTAATCAGGAGCTAAGCATTTGTATAAAACAAGGAATCAGCTCAACATATATTATACTTTCAATTTTCCTTACGGCATAGAATAACTGGCTTCCAGCTCATTGTTAGATCAAAGACAAAAATTGATTACTCTCTGTTGGTTTTATTATCTGTGTAATCCAGTAACTACTAACATGATTGCTTCCTCACATAAATCCCAAAATGAACAGTTTATTACACTATTAATAAAGAGGGAAAATAATAACTTTTTTTGTTGCAGACATGGATAACGTTAATTTCAATTAATTGCTATCTGGTTTCTCTGAGGGCTTTTTCCAATAACCAGTTCCAAAGGAATCAGAATTTTAATTAAAATTCTACGGTACGGCAAATAGAAATAATGTATTATATTGACATGTACATGGAACATTCCCAGATTATTCATGCCTAAATATGAAACATTTTAATATTTCTTCACAATATCCTAGCAAACTTGCATTTCCACTCTGCCACTAAAAGAATGGCTAAATATACAGTTTGAAATCTTCTACAGAACGTCTACATTCTACACTTTCTGTTTCCCTGGCCCTTACGCCCGCTGTTGATACTGTGAATATGTCAAACTCACACTGAATTGAGTGTGTACATGGATATATACTAACTTAGAGATGTGGTCCAGGTAGTTGCAGACACTTTAATTAGATATGTGGTGCAGTCGGACGCAGACAAGAAAATTACCCTAATCTCTACTTTTGGCCCAACTTCACCCTGCTATTACAAGGTTATTGATGCTGATCATCTCCCCAGTTTCCGAGTAATTTCCACGGCGATAATGGCATAGTTTATTAAGGTGAAGATTTTAGACCAATATCAATCAATCAATTAGCTTTTAGTCAAAAACCACCAATGGGCAAGCTATACTAGTGGAATCCATTTTTATTAAACATAAATGTACCCATGATAGCAATGACATACTAAAAGTTTATTTTTTTTTTAAATACGACTTTGTATACACTGACTGTATTTCAAACTCACTCCAATTATGCCATTGAAGCTAAGAACCATTTTGTAGTTTTCAATTAACTAGAGAAAATGAAAGATAGTATTTTCAATGAATTGAAAAAAACGAAATAGTTAAAAATGTATTACTAATATTAAACTATAATACGTGGGTTCTGACAAATACCATAGTAATATATGAGTGCAACCATTCCCTTCAAAAACAGGCAGCGTATGAGCAATTGTGTCTGATTTATAGACACAAAAAACACCTATTCACTTACAAATCATAAATAAATAGCACTTCGAGCACAACATATATTTGACCACATTCATTCAATGCAGGTATGATGAAGTGATACATTTAGAACACTCAGAATAAATAATGCTTAGGTTTTTACAGGCCTTCAAACTCAGCACTTATTCCAGTTTTTGTCTTGATACATACGGTCAGGTTTTGATCCAGGCTATGTAAAGCCTCCTTCTGACTTAGACGCACTGCGTAAAGAGAGCACCATCCTCCTAGACACTTGCGTCGAAAACCAAGTACACTCACTAAAACCGACGCAGCAAGCAGCAATTCAGCCACAGTCAGCCGGTCATCACTCCCATATTGACACAAATACGACAATCCAACAACAGTTGAGGCAATTTCGACACAGCATCACTTTTATAAGGTTGCGCTTGCATCATTCTGATGACCTTTGCAGCTTTTTAAAGGCTTTGGTGTTGGCATCCTAATTTGCTCTTTACGCATGCATAGCAATAATGCAAATGTAATGCAAGGGTCTAAGCCTATATAAACTACTGCCACCTTCAGAAAAGTGCCTCTTTGTGGTTTTACGGCCCTTTGGCGTGTTAACCTGTATCAGTCCCTGAATCTGATTTTGTCCTTTCCAGTGTTCCTGTCTACTAGATTGAGCATCGTCCCTGTCTCTGCTTTGTCTTAGTCCAGTGCTCTCTTGTTTCAGAACCTATTTGTAATTTTAGCCCAGTCCGTATTAGGATAGTTTAACACGTTTGATACTTAAACTACTACTCTAAGGTACCGTGTCATGGTTACTTTGCAGACTCATTGCTTGCTGAGAATCCTTCCATATCCTGCCAGTTTATTGCTGATTGTGTCCCTGCTACTGATCCATGCCAAATCATGCCTGACCAGCTCTGAAAGGACAAACCCAGGAGTCTTGTTAAGGAAGTAGACGGAGTAATACCCCCAGGAGTCTCAATCAGAAACACCATCTTTAACTTCCCATTATTCTGACCTTCTCAGACATAGCAGATGATCTATGTGACCTAGATTCTAACTCCAGCTGGCCTTCCAACCTTTGCTGCTGTTTTCTCACATAATATACTTTGGCTTATAATTCCAGCCTACCCATGCTTTTCGTTGTACAGATATATCACAATACTTGGGGTGTGATGTCTAATGTTTTTCATATAGGGTATAGCCCAGTCACTATATTTAGCTGTATGTAAAATGTGAGCAATTTGAAATATGCGCGCAAGATTTTATTCCATATTAGTAAACTTATAAAAGAAAACAAATCTCCTTTCTTTGCTATTTTTCGGTCCCCCTGACGCTACTTTTGTAGTGAAGGCTGACCTGTATAGGAACTAGTATCATACCTCCCAAACGTCCCTATTTAGAAGGGACAGTCCCTCCTGGTGTATATAGAATAGAATTACACATTTAGCACTGTATCACAACAAGCATCACCTATCTGGTAAATAAGTACCACTGGCCGTTTTAAAGGATTAAAACAGATTGTTATGACGGCTTTGTGTACCATAAAGCTATTACCATTGCCTATAAATTATTAATATAGTACAGTATAAATAGCACATAATCTTTCCTTTGATTTTAAGTTTAAAATACTGTCACAATTAAAAATTAATATGTACATTTACTTTACCATTGAGTAAATACAACGTCATTTACAGAAAATTCGACATTCTACAGGGTTGCACCTGTTTAGGTGAACAGATATTATATAGCGGCTTGTGTTTTTCAGCAGAACCCTGCGAATGAAAAATGACCATTTCTGATGACATTGTTTTTCAATAAATTCTAGTAAATTTAATTAAGTTGGCTTGAAATGTAGAGGGCTACAGTGAATTTAAAAATAAATTCTCTTTTAAATGAATTTTGAATAGGCATGATGTCATAAAAATGCACAATAAAAATAATGAAAATATATTTAAATCATTCAGTCTATTTTCTACTCTAAGTGTTTTCTATTATAATGTTTAACTGAGTGGTTTCATGTCTCGATAACCTTAACTGGCCACTGGAAATGCCAACACAGATTCTGTATTAATTGCATTGCAATTATAGTGTATTTGTGTACTACAGACAGTTTATATATATACATACAGAAATGGATACTGTATGTAGGAGGAGACGTTGAGACACAGAGACATAGGAACGCAGGAGTGTCAGTGGTCTCCACGTCCTAGACAGTACGTCCATCAATTTCAGAATTCCCAGCAATACTGAAATTTAGGATTCCACCTGTAACGGAGCTCCCTGTACTCCGACCGAGTACCCTCCGTTGATGGATGCTCCTAGCGCTCCCTGAGGACTCCAAACACTGCAGCAGACACCACAACCACCGCAGACTCCACAACCGCCATAGCTTAACTGGAGTCTCGCCGTCTTCCTTCCACCCTGGATCAGCTTCTGTCCTCCAGGAGAGCGTAACAGGAACAGCTCTTAAAAGAGCTAAGTGATTCAAGCTCAGGGGAGCATGCAGAGCATAGCAATCCCCAGTGTGATTATAACAGCTCCCTCCAATAACAAGACAAGGCTACGTTTAGAGGGATCAAGAAGAACTATCAAAACCTTTATTCCCTTGGGACCAGCCAATACAGTCACCACAATAACATTGTTGTGAAACCTCAATAAAATCACAAACAGTCAAACCATATCAAGAAACACACAGTGACTTATCACAACACAATGGCACATTTTTAAAGGGGTGGGGGGAGACAATATTTAACAGTAAATATCTCACCTGCCTGCAGAATTAGCAATATGCAAATCTACCCGAATATGCAAATGAACCAGTCTTGCAATTCAGGTAGTGCATATTGCTGTTGCTACCAACAGAGGGCACTAGACAAGCTCCATAGCCAAACCCACCTAGTTGGTAGCAAACCTCAGCAATACAAGAGATCAGGCAATACATTACACAGTACATACACACACACTATAAACAATTACATTACACACACCCTGCACCTATAATGGGTACAGGGTGACTAAAACATAAGATAAATAAAGCAGCCTACATAAATAGTCTGTCTGAAGGTAGACTAGGGGCTTTAAAGCCAGATACATGAAAGAGTCATAGTCACAGGGGAGGAGGCTGGCAAGTAGGCCTCTCCAGGAACAAGTGGCAAAGGGCACTTCGTCACACCACCTTTAAGGAAATAAGTCATTATCTGAAGTCTTCTTGGGAATGATATTTTTTATGACAAAAAGTACACATCTTGATTGCATATGATTATAATTAATGGATATGATATTCTTTAAAGGATCAGTCCAAGCACCAAAATAACTTAAGCGTAGCAAAGTGGTTTTGGTGTATAGATCATGCCCCTGTTGTCTCACTGCTCAATTCTCGGCCATTTAAGAATTAAATCTCTTAGTTTATGCAGCCCTAGCCATAGCTCCCTTGACTGAGAGTCACATAGCCTTCCCACAAACTTCCTGTAAAGAGAGATCTAATATTTAAACGTTTTTTTATTACACTGTCTGTTTAATTTACAATTTATTATCTCCTTCTCTGTTAATTGTCTGCCCTGTGTGTGCTTAAAGTTCTGTTAATGGAACAGGAAATAAGAATTTGTAAACACACTGTGCTGTAAGATCTGATTGAGGATGAAACCATTTTTTCATGCAGGCTCTGTCAATCATAGCCAGGGGAAGTGTGGCTAGAGCTGCATAAACAGAAACAAAAGTGATTTAACTCCTAAATGGCAGAGAATTGAACAGTGAGACTGCACGGGCACAATATATACACTATATAAGCAAACATTGTTTTGGTGCTTACAGTATCCCTTTAAACTTTATATTTCATGTATTAAAAAGATACAAATAAAACCATCTTTTTAAAAAAAAATTATATTTCTTTATTGAAAATGTTATTACAATTACATATCACACAATTATCAAATTGGGCAGGTGTGCATATAAATAACAGTCTCACATTGACAAAAACACAAAAAATTAATCCTAGAAATTATTACGATATGAAAATCTGCTATATTCTGTCCATTAAACATTCAACCGAACCCAATTCCCTCGGCGCCCCTCCCTCTCTATTCCCAACTTGCCTATTCGTATAATATCGCTATTTTCCTATCATATCTTCCTGTCAATCTTATTCCTATGGCAGTAAATAATGAAATAAAACCATCTTTAGTGAAAACAACTCACAAATGTCTCCAGACTTGGGATGATAGAAGGCTGATTTCCCATACTTATTACTGAATCCCCCCACTGGGCTTTTTTTACCAGTTCATTTATTTAATGTATTTTTTATTTTGCCATTTTTTTATACTATATTTCTAGAATCTAGAATCCTTTCCTCAACTAAAACATGTAAAATATGTTTTACTACTTGATCAATGTCAGAATTTATATATTGTTTTGCAGAGAACTTTGGCTTCAAATTGATATGAAATTAATTTGGGGACAATTTCCGATTTTTTAATAAAAAAACAACTTCCATCTATTTGCGACACTTTTTGATGACACACATAAATCAGGACCAGTGCCTTTAATATTAAGATTAAGAAATGTTGGCCACATGACATTTAGACTGATGTTCTCTATGGAACATGACCTTTATACGTTGAAGCCGACTATAAATCGAGGAATTTTATGCTAATATAATGCTTGGTATTTATTTTGTGTGCATGCACAAAGTCTAATCATTTCTAATTAGAATAAAAAACCATCACTATCTTTATATTGTGTTACTAATGTGGTAATCACACATTAAATGTTTGCAAAAATCAAGAATTTAAATCTGTAATTATCACAATAAAATAACAGAAAATGAAAATAATCTTTAAAAAACTTCTACATGCTGTAAATTAATTTTATAAAAATGAAATAATACAAATTTTATTGACCTAGAACACCACACTAGGAGGTTTATCGACTGAGTTTGAACAACTTTTATGTCATATTTTAGAAAGTACAATCTCCTCTGGTGACATCACACATTTTAGGTGGACCCATTACAATACACAGACACATATTTTATTCTACACTTGCAACTTTCAAGACTCCCCTGGGTACATTTAAAGCAGGGGTAGGAAACCTTTGGCACTCCAGATATCGTTAACTACATCACCCGTAATGATCTTACAGCCAAAATGATGGAAAAGCAGTGCCTACCTGTTCTCCAATATTCCTAGTACGAATAAACAGCCAAGCCTTCTGATCAAAATGCGTTTTGACATATCATGAGTTACAATGTATAGCTCAACAATGTGATCTATACATGCTTTATACACCAGAAGCTAACCAGCTTACCGTAATTGCAAGTCAACCAATAAAATAAATGAAACACTTCTAAAGAAATGACAGAAGGCCCAAATTTACAAGCTTTGGGAGACTGCCAAAACAACGGCTGAATCCTAAAAAACCATAATGAAGCTGTAATTAAACAGGTAGAAACTGGGATACAACTTGCCACAATACACAGACGTGGAGAATTAACTCACACACATAGAACAACGACACCTTGTGTCAAATTAGCAAATAATATATCGAGGGCCAAATACATATCTCTATCACCTATAAGTGCTAGAGATATAATCTTGCATACCCTAACTGATACAACTGTTCTCCAAAAGGCTGTTAAGACAGTGAATAAAGAAAGCATGGCTCTTTGGTACAGAGGTGATAACTGAGAGGGCACCAGATATAGAAATGGAGCATTAATTAAGATGAAAGTATAGACAAGGAGCAGGGAGAAATGTAGACATGTATTTATGACACTCTGATTTCATATCAGGGATTTGTGAAGTATTGTTAAGAGATGAGCGAAGTATAGATAGAATAGGGTTTGGTATGCTAGTAGAGGTGCCAGAATAGAGGTTGAGGTAATTGTTGATTGTTAAAGAGACACTCCACACACCTAATGCATTTAGCTTTCTGAAATGCTTTACGTGTGAAAAGTGTGTCCTATATTTTTATTTTACGAAAAGTGCAGATTTCAATAGAAATTTACACTTTTATAAATTAACCTTGTTACACCCCCTGGCTGTCAATCAAACAACCTGCCCTGTTACTTCCTGGTTGTTTTGCTCAGTGGAGATAAACTCAAGAGGAAGCAATTGCCCAGAGCACCTGCCTTGCAAAGACTTTCCATGTAGCATTGGGAAGTCTGTGATTGGACAGCCACAGAAAGTCTTGGTTGGGTAAGAAGGGGAGGGCTTGCAAGTGCTGCAGACAAGCTGTTTTTATTACCCCAATTTAAAAAGTCATATTAAATGTATGCATGATAGTATTTAACGTGACTACCATAATAAGGGTATTTACTGATAAATTTGCGGGTAGAATAGGTTTTATATATCTTTTAACCTCCCCTGTGGACAATAGAAGACATGTTTCTCAGAGAGCATTGCTCCTCTACCAACCCTTAGAAGGTGATATCACATGAACGTAGTCACCGTGGTCTCAACTCTAAGGTCTTCCTTCAATCGTAAACAAGTAAAAACTTCAGTCAATACAACAGCAAACACAGAAAGAACCATACATCGTTTGAGTTCTTTCCTACAAAGCACAAGCCTAATTCTCTGTAAGTAAAAAACAAAACATTGTGCTCCTGTAAAACAACTCCAACAACTTAGTTTAGTTTACAAAACTCATGTGGCTACAGTGTTCTCCAAATATAGTTTTGGTTTAGGCATGAAAATTTCCCCCTAATTTCATAATATTGGAAAGTGCTGTAGAATTATATAACTATATAAATACTACTACTACTACTACTACTACTACTAATAATAATAATAATAACTGGAGGCCATTGCTCATGAGCAATGAGCTAAAATTTCTTAGAAATGCTGCTAGAAGCGTCTGGCTATGCATCTCATTTGCAACAGGTCACAACAGCAAAATAGTGCTCTACTAAGTACTAAAGATGCTCGCCATGAATGGGGTTGAATAATTTTGAGACTAGAGAAGTCATTATAAGTTGCATTTTCAGTTGAAGTTGGGGAAACCACTTGAATCATTTACTGTGTTGAGCTTTTTCAATTGCTTTTGTTCGATTTGTTGTTTGCAAACAGCTGAAAGTCTGTAAATGTTCACAATTAACCTGAATTTCAATGGTGATTGAATAATTTGGATTGCAACTGTATTAGTGACATTTAGTACCACTAGCTGTGGTTAAAATTATTTGTGGGTCCTAGTTGTGTGATACATAATTGGTTAAGTTAAGCTGTTAATTCTCTTCAGGGTGTTCTGCATATGTAGTATAGTTCTGCGCGTGAGGTTTGATGTAGAGCAGTAAGAGGATTGTGAGTTTAAAGGTGGTGGGTGGAAAGGGAGATAAGGAGGGGAGGAAGGTAGAGAATCTGCTTTGTAAGGGATGTAACAGGGTGAGAAGACAGGTGCCCGCGATGATGCCCCCCTCTAAAGAAAAAAGTGGGTATAGAAAGAAAAAAGGCAAGGATTGGTGGAATGAATGGAAGGTACCTTGTTGGTATTGGTTGGTTGGTCTGCATGATAATCATTTCAAGAAATTGTTTATTAGTACTGTAGTGATTACTGTGGAAAGGATGTGCCTCCATCCAGCCAAGGGTCTCAAATTTAATGGAAGGACTTTGGAGTGTCATACATTTATGAGGTTAGTTTGTACATGTCTATGTTTTCTCATATGTTTTTTGATATTCTCTGATCTTCTATAGTGAGAGGATGTATCAGAATAAACACATTTGTAAAATGGATATATTCTCCGCATGTCTCCGCATGTCACTGCAAAACACTTATCTTGTTTATATTTTATTTATAATATATTTGGGTGGGTGTTCTCTGTATCATGTAAGACAGACTTTGCGGTTTCTTTGGCAGTTTTCTGTTTAGTTTATGTGTGCATTTTCTTTTTCAGTTGTCATATAATATGTATCTGGCGTTCGGTTACACTAAAGATGTAGCTACCATCCAGGCAAAATAATCGCCCCCCTTATTTTCTGGACCTTAGGCCGTGACAAGCTGAATTGTTCTGATATTGTATCCACTTTGCTTTCAGTCGTTAGTTTTCCAAAGGAATAAGAAAGGTATAAATATTTATATTTATATACTAGTAGCAAATAGAACCATGCATTCCAAACACGAACTCTCAATAAATCATTATATAAAACTTTCCAGTAAACCATTATGTTTACATGATAATGTAAGAATGACAAGACTTTGATGACCGCTTTGGACCAAAAAAATGACACAGCAGAAGCTGGAGGGAAAAGAAAAAAAAGTGCCTATTTTTAGTGCGACTTGCAAACATGGCTTACGAAGATGCAGAACAACTGATGCGCAAACTTTGTATTTGTATCCGGCGTTAAACTTTTCACTCCTTAAGATATTTCATGATTGACATGCGCATGATACGAAGTGACAAGTGCTGGCTCAGAGAGACTGGATATTTTTGCAGTTAAACCAGACTAATACGTAATAGAAGCAAATCATAAATCAACGAAGCAAGCTTATCACAATTGTTAATTTTCCTAAATTACCAAGAAAGAAAACGCATGCCAAAGTATGAAAATCAGATCATATGTCTAATAACCGTGCCATACTTATATAATTGAAAAAAACGCATTAATATTCATAAACTGATTTGTCACATCTTTTTTATGCACTAATTCATAACTGGGTCACTTCTGTGCCAATAATAATGGTAAGATGAAAATATATAGAAAAATCTGCTAGTTCATTGGAAATTGATCACGTTACTTCTATACAGTTATAATTTAATAGAACAATGTCAGAATAAATTAATAAAAATCCATCACACCGCCTATTAAAGGTGAAATAAAGGGCGAAGTGTCGGCCAAAAGATAATCATATGATATTTTGTGCATAAAGTAGAAAAAAAAAAAGTAAAACTAATGCAGAAAAAAATCAAAACAGCAAAATAAATATAATTAGAAATAAGGTGATACTCAAAAAATTAGAATATCGTGAAAAACATTTATTTCAGTAATGCAACGTAAAAGGGGGAACTAATATATGAGATAGACGCATTACATGCAAAGCAAGATAGTTCAAGCCATGATTTGTCATAAGTGCGATGACAAAATACCATAACTACTACAGCTTAATATACTAGTTATGGTGATATGAGTGTAGCGGACCACAGGTAACCCGACCGGTTACCTTCGCTAATTCCCTTCCTTCGGCCATTCAGGAGTCACCTAGAGTATGAGGAGGACCCATTCCCCCCCAGTAACTGGACGACACACAGTCCTGGAGGTACAACACAATTTTATTGGCCACACACGGCTTTTATGCATAACCCAATGCAAAAGGTCTACCACAGAACCACACAGGGTCACATCCCAGGATCCTCCCCCTCCTTGAGGTCCTAGCGCGGGAAGGGACTCCATTCCCTTTGTCCCCAAAGCCTGCCACTAAATCTACAGGGTTTCCCACACCAACCGCCAGAGGTCTTCTTCCCAGGAGCCTCTGTGTCTGGGAATCAAGGTGTGGAAAAAGGGACCGTCCCTTTTTCTCCCAGGCACAGGAAAGCCCACCCGCAGGAAAAGAGACAGTCTCTTTGTCCCTCGGGCACAGAAAAGCTTGCCAAACCAGCCAGTGCCTCTTTCCCCAAAAGCTTACACACCAATCTCAGGGACCTGCACAACGGCTCCTCTTTCGACTAACCTCCGTTCGCGAGGTCCCGGTGTGGAACCCAGACAGGGGAAGTGTCTCCTTTCGGAGTATGAATGCTCCCCCTGGCCACCGTTCATCGGTACGAATGGTAGACACCCAGGAGAGCACTCATGAATTACTTCACTTGCGGTTTCAAACCTATGTTGCGAGTACAAACTTTCTGATTGATTGGTGCAAACGTTCTAATGGGGAGCAGGGGAGGTCCTTGTTCGGGCCGGGAAACAACCCATTAACGCTTTGGGTACTCTCCTCTAGTAAAAATTAGGGATCTCCTCAGCACCCATGCCTGGTGCCTCGTCTAAAGTTGCATGGATAATGTGTAAATTATGACAATGTAGCCACAACTGTCTCAGCTTATAATTTATATGATGCAATGTCTGCACTATCCAATCGTCACCAGAGGGGCCAGACTTGTATTTAGGTGACACTCTGAGCTCAATCATTGCAATGCTTAGATCTCTAACTAAATGCATAATTCCACATAATCACAAACCTACATGGTATAGAAAGAAATATGTTCTCAAAGAATTCACCCACACTGAGGGGAAAAAATTGACAAATACGTTCTAATAGTGTACATATACAGTGTATTCTAATATCAGTGTAAAGGCTTTGGGGGTCCAAACGCATACTTACACGTTTAATGCCACAGTGTGCTAAGATATCAAGGATTAATTAAAGTGATTTCTAAGTGAAAGTCAAATTTTAGGCTAAAATAGTCAAATTGTATATCTTTATATACTGTCCTGCTTTCCGTTTACAACTCTGTTTAAAAAAATGTTTTTCAAATGTTAAATGTAGAAATATGCAGGCATATAACAAAAAAATGCTGTACTACTCCTTTTCTCACACTAAATAAAGAATTTATTAAAATAGATAAATTAATAAATAAAATAGACAAACTAAAAATATAGCTCAGTTGGAAAATTCTTCCAATTGGGTGAATTTGGCCTAAGATTTGAGTCTCTTTAAATCAATTCTGAATTCATAATTATTCCAACTTAAGCGAATAAGTTAGGCCAACATTCAGTGACCTTGCTATGTTTTTGCATCCTGCTCCTTGTTTGTGAAGGGCGATCATCTTTGCACACCTTTGTGGACCATTCTTTGACTTAGCCATATTTCTAACATGCAGTCAAACGTGACACTCAACAAACCTCTAGCCAGCTCAGGTATTTTAAGTGTTCCAGCTCAAGCAAACCTGGTGCAACTAATACATTCCATGATTAGTAGCATCAGTGTGCTTGAGACAAAACCTGCTTTTGCACATTTGTGCTGTTGTGAGGGATTCTATTCAGTGGGTTGAATAAGTTCAGTGGGTTGGAGAAGTCATTATAAGTTCCATTTTCAGTTGATTTTAGGGAAACCAGTTGAAGCATTTGCTGTGGTGAGCTATTTCAAATGCTTTTATTTGATTTGTTTATTGCAAACAGCTGAGAGTCTGTGCATTTTGACAATACATCTGTTTTTTAATGGGTGTTGAATCATTTTGATTACAACTGTATATAATTCCCACTTTACCACAGTGGTGCAAACCCACATCTACCTTCCCAGTCCTTCAAGGTATGAAATGAAGTCCTTTCAAATTGGATTCTTTTATCTCTTTAACCTTCACCAAAGAGAACGTATGATTAAGTGCTGCCTAAGTCATTAATCATGTCAAGTCAATGTTCTTCTCCTCACGTGATGCTGCCATCCTGTTTTTAGAGGATATTTTATCACTTTACAGACACCTTTCCCCAAGAATGATTAAAGGTCATGTTTGCTTGGTTGCTGTATACAGAGCACAGCAGCCACATCTAACAATATTGTTGGTCTTCTCATTTGTATCCTCTACCCTCTGTCTCTTAAGAAGGGGCAGGCTGATTGTGTAGCTATTTTTACACTTCAGATCTGATACTTAAGAGACCACTGTGTTTTAATGACTAGAGAAATCTTGGTATCTTTCTAGGATAACACGCTAGACAACATTGACAAAACACAACTGATCTGTATTACAAAGATGGGTGTCTTCAACCAATGTTCTCTATTTATGGAAAAGATTACACCGGAGACATTTTTTAGGATAGTTTAAAGGGTAACTGTCCCTTGTCTAAAATAAAATATCGAAAATCACCTATAATTTGTGTTAACCTTTTCCGTGAGATGCACTGTTTTCTTTTATATTAAAGATTTAACAAATGACATCACAACCCAGTTCAGAGAAGGCAAACCTGTGACAAATAGTGCAAATAAAAAATAGAAATAAAAATATTGTTTCATTTCTCCTCTTCTCTATATGCTTTCTCTGTGCTGACTGCCCGGTGCGAGGGACAGAGCTTATAACAATGGCTGACAACAAGACACAAGATGGAGGCATCAAGTTGCGGGATAAAGAGTTATGGATTTCTGCATTTAATTAAATTCTTCACACCTCACAAATACATACTAGTTAAACATTGTTTGGTTCAGCATTTGAAATTCAGTTTGAATTCCCAACAATTCACACCTTAATGAATAACCATGATTTGTGTGAAACCTAGCACGAGAACCACAAATATATTCAGAAGTTTACACTATTTCAGTTTTTAAATTATTTATTTATCCTTTACAGGAATATTGGTTGAGATAAAATATTTTAGAGATTATGCATCATCCATTATTCAGTATTTCATAGAAGATCTGACATATTGTCACATACAGTAGGGTCAAATATAGCTCTCTATTTTGATAATTTTTTTGTGTACACTATTAGTGATGGGTGGGATCAACTATCCCTCCGAAGAAATGCAGAGGTGCTGAGTGAAACCCAGTCGAAGAAATTTGCTTCTATGCTAGTTGAAGACTGGAGCTTTAATAAATGGAAACCTATTTGAGGAACGAGAAAGCAAACTTTTAGGTGTGAAACGCATTAAGCAATCTTAGCATCTGTATTGTATTTGATACATTTTTTCACTGTGGCTCAGATAGATAGTTTTAGGATGTCTTAGGATCTACTAAATAAAATAAAAAATCAGAAGGAATAAACAATAACTATTATAGAAAATTTAAGTTGAACATATTAAATATATATCCCACACACGGCAATGGACGTTTTTTTCTTGGGATACCTAACATTACTCGTATAACAGAATCGGATCTGACTAGTGAGCCACCACTGCGGCAGTGTAATGTAAGAGTTACCTTGTAAGCATTTTTCAAGCAGAGATCCAAAAACAGAACTAATTTCTACGAGCTCTGCAGTTTTCTTTTCTTTAAAGTGCAATTAAGAGCAGTTATTTATATAATGATAAATATACACAAAAAGAACCATATAAGGATTTATGTAACAACTAAAAGAAATCTAAAGAAAATAATATAGTCTAAATATGATGCAGAGAGACCCATTAAACGTTATATACATACGAATAAAATAAATGTATCTCGTAACTTATCTTATTATACTGTACATTGAAACAAGTCAACAGTATGTTAGTATGTTAACACTTGTCATTTTTGCATTTCAACACATACAACAGTCAAATAATTACAGGTCTGTATTAATGTATTCTCATTCTTGAAGGATGGTACCATTACATACTAGACACCACTTCCCTTCAAGACAGTAAGGATAAGACACAAAGAAGCTACAAAGTAAAATAAATCCCAAATCAGTAAAACATGTTAAAGTGACACTATAGTCACCAGAACAACTACAGCTTATTGTGTATAATCAGTCCCTTCAGGCTTTTTACAGTAAACATTGTATTTTCAGACAAAATGCAGTGTTTACATTACAGCCTATGGACACCTCTACTTGCCACTCTTCAGATGGCTACTAGAGGTGCTTCCTGGGCCAGTGCTAGATAAGGACTTTTACATTGTAGGGTAAGGAATACATTTGTGTTCCTTTAATTATTTAACTTATTGTTCTTTGGTTCAATGTATGTTATATTGAACATTTTTTGATATACAAGAAAAGACAAGACATTTATTGCTAAAAATAAATATTCTACAACTTCTTCCAACGTGACTTGGAATGTGATCAGAAAATACCAGTTTTCTAACCAAGTTAAAGTAGATGCGATTCAATGTAAAATAATTCAACTACAAGGCAAATGCTACTTTTCCGGGAGGTATTATATTAGCTAAACCATTCTTCGCCCCATTATCTCATCTAACAAGATGTATTTATTAAGAAATAGATTAACATTCAGTTATTCACTATAGTATGAATAGTAGGTAACATAGTGAATTCTGAACAAAATTCCACATTTTAGACCTTATTAGGCAGATAGGAAGTCAGTTAAAATTTTCTGTTTAACTGTTTTAGTCCAAAATTTGAAATTCAGGTTGAATTCCCAACAAGTCACACCTTAAAGAATAGGCATTATTTGTGTGAAACATACAATGAGAATCACAAAAAAATTCAAACATTTACACAATTTCATAAAAAATAATAAGTGGAGCGCAAACTGCAGGAAAACCTGCTAATATAGCCCTTGTAAGACAAAGAAAGAAGATAATGTATGACATGTAAAAAAAATTCACAGGTACAGAATAATAATGCAGTATATCAAGAGTACATAAAAACAAAATATTTAATTACAATATACAGTTAAAATGAATAATTACTGTTTACGAGATGGCCGTAGGTGAGTTTTATGCGGGCAGAGAGGCTCCACTTCTCACAAACGATTTGAGTCTGGGGTCAGAACGGAATCAGCAATGTTGTTACTTCCAGTTTTTTCCTTTGGTGTCCTGCCAGGCTGGACACCAAAGGAACCAATTTTTTATTTTATTCCTTCTTAAGTGTGTTTGTGTCTGGAATCACGACACTTAAGTGTGTAGCAGCTTATTGATTAATCTGCACAGTGCTGCATTATTTTGATTGCATTATAAGGGCATCATTTATAGAAGTTTTTATCCATTTTTTACTTTTGTCCCCTGAATGACTTTTTAGCACTTTTTATTATCTCTGATTTTGATTTACACAATTTCAGTTTTCAATTATTTATTCAAGCTTTCGAGGAATATTGGTTGAGATAAAATGTTTTAGAGATTATATAACATCCATTGTTCTGCATTTCATAGAGGGTCTAACATATTGTCACATACAAAAGGGTCAAATGGTCTCTCTGTTTATTGGTATTTGGGAATTTAGTTGCCTAAATATGTCAACAGAATGTATGAAGTACAGTTGCAAGAAAAAGTATGTGAACCCTTTGGAATGATATGGATTTCTGCACAAATTGGTCATAAAATGTGATCTGATCATCATCTAAGTCACAACAATAGACAATCACAGTCTGCTTAAACTAATAACACACAAAGAATGAAATGTTGCCATGTTTTTATTGAACACACCATGTAAACATTCACAGTGCAGGTGGAAAAAGTATGTGAACCCCTAGACTAATGACATCTCCAAGAGCTAACTGGAGTGAGATGTCAGCCAACTGGAGTCCAATCAATGAGATGAGATTGGAGGTGTTGGTTACAGCTGCCCTGCCCTATAAAAAACACACACCAGTTCTGGGTTTGCTTTTCACAAGAAGCATTGCCTGATGTGAATGATGCCTCACACAAAAGAGCTCTCAGAAGACCTACGATTAAGAATTGTTGACTTGCATAAAGCTGGAAAGGGTTATAAAAGTATCTCCAAAAGCCTTGCTGTTCATCAGTCCACAGTAAGACAAATTGTCTATAAATGGAGAAAGTTCAGCACTGCTGCTACTCTCCCTAGGAGTGGCCGTCCTGTAAAGATGACTGCAAGAGCACAGCCCAGACTGCTCAATGAGGTGAAGAATAATCCTAGCGTGTCAGCTAAAGACTTACAAAAGTCACTGGCAAATGCTAACATCCCTGTTAGCGAATCTACAATACGTAAAACACTAAACAAGAATGGATTTCATGGGAGGATACCACAGAGGAAGCCACTGCTGTCCAAACAAAACATTGCTGCACGTTTACAGTTTGCACAAGAACACCTGGATGTTCCACAGCAGTACTGGCAAAATATTCTGTGGACAGATGAAACCAAAGTTGAGTTGTTTGGAAAAAAGGCACAGCACACCAACATCAAAACCTCATCCCAACTGTGAAGTATGGGGGTGGGGGCATCATGGTTTGGGGCTGCTTTGCTGCGTCAGGGCCTGGACGGATTGCTATCATCGAAGGAAAAATGAATTCCCAAGTTTATCAAGACATTTTGCAGGAGAACTTAAGGCCATCTGTCTACCAGCTGAAGCTCAACAGAAGATGGGTGTTGCAACAGGACAATGACCCAAAGCATAGAAGTAAATCAACAACAGAATGGCTTAAACAGAAGAAAATACGCCTTCTGAAGTGGCCCAGTCAGAGTCCTGACCTCAACCCGATTGAGATGCTGTGGCATGACCTCAAGAAAGCGATTCACACCAGACATCCCAAGAATATTGCTGAACTGAAACAGTTCTGTAAAGAGGAATGGTCAAGAATTACTCCTGACCGTTGTGCACGTCTGATCTGCAACTACAGGAAATGTTTGGTTGAAGTTATTGCTGCCAAAGGAGGTTCAACCAGTTATTAAATCCAAGGGTTCACATACTTTTTCCACCTGCACTGTGAATGTTTACATGGTGTGTTCAATAAAAACATGGCAACATTTCATTCTTTGTGTGTTATTAGTTTAAGCAGACTGTGATTGTCTATTGTTGTGACTTAGATGATGATCAGATCACATTCTATGACCAATTTGTGTAGAAATCCATATCATTCCAAAGGGTTCAAATACTTTTTCTTGCAACTGTATATGTGTGTGCATAATGCCGACATATAGTATGTACATACAATAAGTGTGTTAACATCAACCATCTGTATATACAAGACATGCTTTTCAGCTTGCGCTCAGAGTATACCCCCCTTTCCCGTCACAGATTCTAGAATCTATAGCTCTATACTTTGACCATGTTCAGTATCAGTGATGAGTGGAATTTACTACCCCTCCACAGAAATGCAGGGATGCTGAGTGAAACCCTGTCAAAGAAAACTTCCACACTGGTTGAAGTCTGGAGCTTAAATAAATGTGACTCTAATTGATGAATGTGAAAGCACGCCTTTTAGGTGTGAAACGCGTTAGCCAATCTTAGCTTTTTATATTGTGATTTGTCCCAATTTTCACTTTGGCTGTTTTTGTTGGTGGCATACTTTACTTGCATAGATTTGCAATAAAGATATGGAAGTGGTTTTATCATGAAGAAGTGGTTTTATCAGAGTCTATACCAGGGCTGCCAAACAGGTAGATCCTCAGATGTTGTAGAACTACAACTTACATAGTTACATAGTTATGTAGCTGAAAAGAGACTTGCGTCCATCAAGTTCAGCCTTCCTCATATATGTTTTTGCTGTTGATCCAAAAGAAGGCAATTTTGCAACAAACGAGGAAAAAATTCCTTCTTGACCCCAAAATAGCAGTCAAATGTCTCCTTCGATCAAGCAGCTAATTAGAAATTAACCTCTGTATGTTATGTTTTTGCAAGTATTTATCCAATTGCAGTTTAATCATCTTTATGGACTCTGATGAAACCACCTCTTCAGGCAGAGAATTCAGGCAGAGAATTCCATATCCTTATTGCTCTTACTGTAAAAAAACAAAAAACATTTTCTTTGCCTTAGATGTATGTTCTATGTTCTATGTAGATGAAATCTCCTTTCTTCCAGCCTAAATGTGTAACCTTGTGTCATATGTATAGCCCTGTTTGTGGCAACTTCCATGATGCTTTGTCATTCTAAATGCATGCAAAGCATCATGGGAGTTGTAGTTTTAATCCCTACCTTTTGTAAATGGCAGGATCCTTCAGCCATATATATGCACCTTGGGTCAGACAGTCTCTCTGATCTGTTACTCCAAGCATATTAACCACTACAGTGCCCTCTTACCTGGGTTCCCTCTGAGTGCCAATGGCCATCTAATGGCCAGTGATGCAAATCTGACATCTGCAGAACTGCAGAAGCCAGATGCTTATTTTGCAAGCCGCATCATACAATATCTCTGTATGTACAGACTCCAAGCACCATAATCCCTTTAAATTACTGAAGTGGTCATGGTGGTTGCTCAACCTTTTAATTTTTTCAATGGAGTGGAAGTACGTATAGAAACTGTAGGTGATGGCACTGGCCTTGGCATGATTTTACTCGAGTCTCACAGCTGCATATATCTTTAGGTAAACAGAAGCAATTGAATCATTTACAACATGGGTCCTCAAACTCTGCCCCCTCCTCCCCCGATGTTGCTGATGTTGCTGAACTACAACTCCCATGATTCTCTGGCTATGTAATTCAAAGAATCATGGGCATTGTAGTTCTGCAACATCTGGGGGGCCGGAGTTTGAGGACCCCTGATTTACAATAATGATCCAAATTCTTAATTACCTAGGTATAATAAAACAAAACTGTAGGAACTAAACACCATTTTCTGCAGTCATATAGTGACTTTGGACCATTCATTGAGAAACAAATGTGAATAAAAAAACATGTATATTATTTATAAAACAACATGTGCATTAAAGCAAAACTGAACTCTGTAAACCATAATGACTGTCATCTATGACGTTCTCAGTCTCAGTTTAATTTACTTAATGCTAAAACGATCCACTTGACTTATTTTAATGCCCAGAAATACGTGTATTAGTAAAACAGTTTATACATTATGTAAATTCTAAAGATTGATTTCACTATAATTAATTGTGCATAATCTATCTATCTACCTGTCTGTCTGTCTATCATCTATCTGTCTATCTATCAGTCATCTCCCTGTCTGTCTGTCTATCTACCTATCTGTCTGTCTATCATCTGTCTATCTATCTATCTATCTATCATCTCCCTGTCTGTCTATCTATCTATCATCTGTCTATCTATCTATCTACCTATCTCTCGCTCTCTCTCTCTCTCTCTATCCATCCATTATCTTTATTTTTGTAAATTATTTTATTGATAAGTTAAGAAGACACCAAGGTAGGAATTAGGGGTAAGGAATGAACAACAGATAAAAATGTCAATATCAAGCATTTACAAACTGGAGGAACACAAAGGGAATTTGAAAAGTATCCTCAAACAATACCAGAAATAAATGGCCAAATGTGACTGTACCTGCTTTCTCACAAAATGCAGTGATAAAGTAAAAGGGGTGGGGGAGGATTTATTCTAATAAGTAAAGTCTGGTACATGTGGTACGAGCATCTAAGAGAGAAAAGGGAAAGAAAAAGGGAGCGAAATAAGTGAAATGAGAATTCTGGAAAATAACTTGTCTTGTGAATCAGAAAAAACCCCACGATCTATTGTTTTAAAGAAATGCATCCAAAGCTTCCTTTAGAGAAGATAAAACTCCGTAATTAAAGGCCTGGGCTGTGTGTTATTCTGAATATAAAGCTAAGATAATGCAGTTAAAATAATGCAGTACATTCGGGGAGTCAAACACATGAGAAAACTGACCTTCCCTAATCTCCCTTATTTGCAGAACGCATTGCTGAATTGTGTTTATAACAAGATATATTCATTAGCGTCTTGTATCTTTAAAAGGTCCTGAACTTTCTATAAATGGACGCTATATGTTTAATCCCATTATGAAATGTCCATGTTTTCATATGCTAACATTATTACTGTTCTGAGCTGTTTTCTGGTTACCCGTAACATTGCTGTAACATTAATTTGTCTCTACAGCCAGAAGTTAAAGTTTAGTTTGGACATGTATACATAGAAGAGGATAATTTACAGCAATTGATTTATGTTTGTGTTTTTGGTAAAAAAAAATTATATTTTTATGTATGTTTTTTAATTGTCAACTGGAAAATGTTGCAGTTCTATAATATGGTGTAATGACCCTTTGAAAATTCTGCAAAATGACAGATCCATTGTTAAAGTAATAATATAGGCAATAAAAAATATTTAGCTTAATGAAGCAGTTTTGGTGTATAGATCATGCCCCTGCAGTCTCCATGCTGAAAACTCTGCCATTTAGGAGTCAAAGCACTTTGTTTGCACAGCTTAGCCACACATTCCTGCATGTGACTTCCACAGCCTTCCTAAATGCTTCCTGTAAAGAGAGATCTAATGTTTACACTTCCTTTACTGCATATTCTGTTTATTTTAGAATTGATTTCTTACCTCCTACTCTGTACACAGTAGCTTACTTTGTATGATTAAAGTTCTATTTACAAAACAGAAGATAAGAACTTCTAAAGCAAGTTAACATCTGATTGAAAATAAAACTTTTTTCATGCAGGCTGTGTCAATCACAGCCAGGAGAGGTGTGGATAGGCTACATGTACAGAAACAGAAGTGAGTTAACTCCTAAATGGCAGAGAATTGAGCAGTGAGATTGAAGGAGCATGCTCTTTATACTAATACTGTTTCATTAAGGTGAGGTTATTGTGGTGCCTATAGTATCACTTTAAGGTAATAGAGGCTATAAGATTGTGTACAAGCGACAAGGGAATTACATTGAAATATAATGTTAGGCTAGTGTTTTAGCATTACACTATAGGGATAGTGTGGAACCGAGGAGAGTTATGGTTAGGGAGTGTTTAGAGTTAGAGGTAAATTAGAGAAAGCTAGGCTTATAGTCAGACAGGTATCTTGTTTGTGCACATTTGAGTTTGTGCTACCCATTTTTTATTTTTGTATCTGTTGAACCTTATTTTTTCTGCAATTTGCACACTTTTGCCATGTTCTGCGGAGTGTTTCGTTTGTTTCCTGTCCTTTTTTTGTTGTGTGGTATACCAACTGGATTTCTATATATGATTAAAGGAACTTTAATGGGTACCTACCTTTCAAGGTTATGTACACTTTAACTCTCAGTACTCCGAGGCAACCTAACCACACTAACCCTATGTCCTACCTAAATCTGCCTCCCCTAACTCAAAGTACTAACTATAAATGACACAATGTAAAACCAACAATACTGTAAAGAATGGCAGCCCTTTCCAACTCAATATTTTAATGTAAACATTTGAAAAGTTAAAATATTTTACTCCAAATTTTTATGTTTAAGGGGACATTGTTGACTGGAGTTGATTGCCTCGTATTTCATGCATATAGGAGATAATGCAAAAAACATGCAATTCATTTTTCAACTAGTATGTTAAAAGATACCCCTGAATGTATTTAATTTGCAGGAAAATCTGATGGTCTGCAGAGACCAAGTTGTGGCTTTGTTTTAAACCCGATCATTACACTGTCCGTGCACTTTTTTCTCTCCCTTTCCCTCTCTCTCTACCCATTGAGATGATTTCTAAGAGTTTCTTTAGCTTATTGTGTTTAAAAACATCTGAAATATATAGCAAATTTCGAAAACCCGTTAAAACCAAACAAGTACAATATATTTACAGATGCATGGCTTTCAATAATCTTCTAAGTTTGTCAGCAAGTGCCTAATCTGCATATCAGGTGACGGCTTTGAACATGGGTTTATTGCTAGTAAAAACACCTGAGTCCGTCTGCATTAATAACTTTGAGAAGATCAGTCAAAAAGTAATTGTCAACCAGAAATCAATATGAACTACTAATGATGATGACCGAGAGAACTGTGCTATTATTCTATTCCTTAACTGTGTCTTAGTAAATCATTCTCTTTTGTAGGGATTCACATACTTAGTGAGATTGGAAAGCTCTCACCGACAAACATGGAAAACCTCTGAGATAGCTGACCCTGGAAGCAGTAAGTACATCCGTCCACATGTTCTTGGCGAATTCTCAATGAGTCTTTACCAGACATGCACATAAGAAGTACATATGTTTAAGTACTCAAGCAACTATATTCATAATGAATTATCTAAATGAATCTAGCAATAAGTCCTGATATTTTATGATCATTACAAACAACTGGAAAATCAAGGTCACATTCTGACTATTAAGCAGGATACTCCACTTTGATGCAAATAATCTGTCTGGGCACAGGATGTATGCAGCCTGGTGTACACCTATGGTGCATGAAAGCCCCCCCCCAAATATCCACTTCCTTGTTGCTTTATGTCTGACTTGTAGGATGCCAATAAGAGCTAAGAAGCATCTTTCACTCTCTTCCCAATCCCTTTTTCTAATATATATATAAAAAGGACCCAGTACAAATTTCTAGACTGGATAGGCGTCCCTAGCAGGCGTGAGCCTATAGGCAGCTGCCTACTCTGCCAATTGTCAAACCCATCACCGATGAGCTATTTTCGCACATGAACATCATTAATAGCCAAACTGAAAATGTGAATTTGATTACTGATTCAGATAGGTATAAACTGCAATACTGCGTTGCATCACCTTGTCAGATGAGGTCGTGTTTCAGTGATTAGGCCACATTCTAGAATTCCTATTTTCCTGTGATTCTATGTCTAAATATTGTTTTGAATTTCCATTGCTGACCAAAGGTCTATCTTAAAGACCCTACTAACTATGAGATTTACCGATTGGCTTCTGTCTTCTGTGTTGCAGAACAATCAGGGCTCTCATCCTCTGGGGATTGTGCATATCATGATGAAGACCTTTATAAAAAACATTCTGTTATATCTGCAGTCCAGCGTCCTGGATTCCTGTTAACAACTGATTAGTCAAGGTGCTTCCTGCCTCATTATTACAGTTACTACTAAACTATTGTATCAATTATATTTTTTGTAAAGCATTTTGATATTGGACAGATTCATATTTTAAAAAAGTAGTTGAGAAAAAATAAATAAAAGAACAACTGACAATATTTTATATCAGAGAAATCTGTCTCTTAAGTAAAATGGTGGTATTCATGTTTGCATGGAGTAGCTCTGTGATGAAGGTACTGCCTTATTTATCTGTTTCTGGCTTCACCCACATCTATTGTCTTCCAGGTCCAAGGGGCTTTGTGTTGCATTACATAGGCTGTTGAAAGTGTTATACATCGCACCAGTGATCTAAAGACCCAGCTAAGATCAGTCACTTTGCAGTCATGCTGCAAGATAATGATTAGCTGCTAAATACCTGTATCCTGTTATCAACCCAAGCAGCCCTTCCATCTGCTCCATTGCAAGATCACAGGGTTTCCATTTTCATTTCCTGGTTTAGCAGTTTTTGTTATCCCTGAGATGTTTTTCCTGAAGTGCTCATCCATACCTTTGACCTTCTTACTTCCATGATCCCATGTTCCCCAGACCCTTGACTACTCTTGCTATAACACCGTAAGATTTATCCTGCCTTTTGTCTTTGACCATCTGGTCCTGCTGACCATTGGTAATACACACTTATTAACATCCCATCCATCTCAGTGCACTGTATCTCTGTTCCTCCTGCGTTAGCTGACATGATCAATGCCACACAACTCCAGCAAGTATTCCACCAAATTAGTTTTTTTCCCAGTTTCTACTCGGATAGCCGCACTGGTATTTTTAGACAGATTTTAGATTTTGAGTAGATTGTAACTCACTTTATGTACTGTGTGTAGCATAATTGACTGTTTATGTTCTGATTTGCCATTTCATACAATGCTCTTCGAATGACTTTGCCACTGGTCATTAAATATGTAGGATGTTGCTCGTCTGACATCTTAATATGATGAGTAAATCAACAAGAGCCTCATCCGCAACCATATACATACTATAGTGCTTGATAGTCGCTTTCAGTGAGGTAATGCAATTTGAATCTGAAAATTGAATATGGGCTTTATTGATTTGCTGCCTATGCAAAATTATTTTTATTTGAACAGAATGCAGGAAAGAACAGTGACTAAGAGTAACTAAAACATTTTGATTTCCTAAGCCTTTCTTATGCATAAATAAAACACTTTGTTGTATACCTATACAGAGCAGATACTATATTTTATTTTACTAGATTGGTATATAGAGTGCTAAAATACTCTGAAACTCTGAACAGCGTGTAAACCAAACAAACAAGTATTTATTGCTAGAATAAAATACATTTATAGGATCAAAAGGTTCCAAGGGCCTTATATGAACTACTATTACAGACTAAACTGTTCCATAATGTATCGTATAAACCATCTGGGTAGAACTGAGTTGATTATATCACTCGTTTGAACAAATATCTTGATCTCTAAAATGGTTTGTTCTCATTCCTCCTCCTTCTCCACCCACATACACAAACTATAAATACATTTTATTTCACCATTTTATTGTTATTTAAAAAAAAAAAAAAATAACAGCCCAGTTAAGCAGATGCCCAATGAAACATCTGGAACACAATTCTATAGCTGAATCAACATTTTCTAGAGATATGATATCCAAACTCATTATTTCACAGAATTTTATATTTTCTAAAAGTGAATCCCCTAATATCAAGGTTTAGGAGATAATAAAATCAACATATGTGTTCTGTCATTCATTATTAGGATTCTGAAATTTCCCCACAGAACTGGAACTAATTTGTATTTCCCATCATGCATCTGACTTCCTCTTATGGAATGGCTCCTCGTTTTGTGTCATTTCTATATCTTCGTAACTATGACTTACTTTATAACTGATGTAAACGTGTGGAAATTGTCTGCTCAGTTGGTTCAAATGGGTTGAACTCTGTTATTATGTAGTTTTTTTTTTTTTTTACACATACCTATATATTATTATTAGTATTATTATGATATTTATATAGCGCCGTCAAATTCTGCAGCCATTTACAATGGGTGGACGAACAGACATGTAGTTTTAACCAAACAAGTTGGACACACAGGAACAGAGGGGTTGAGGGCCCTGCTCAATGAGCTTACATGCTAGAGGGAGTGGGGTAAAGTGACACAAAAAGGTAAATAAGTGTGTATATATATATATATATACACATCGTACAGAGCTATGGAATTTGCTGGCGCTATATAGATAATAAAATAATAATACTAATAATATATATATATATCTCCTTATATAATATAGGGAAAAATATCCAACAGTAATTAGGCATCGGCAAATTAGGATCGTTGTAAATGTAATATGCCTTTATGGTTTAGATTAAGTTCAAACGCATAATAGAATAATTTTTTGACCGGAGCATGCCAAATATTCCTGACACAGAGTTATCTTAATTCACTAAGCATTAAGAAATTCCCAAGGGGAGCTGACCTATTGATCTTAACATGGAGACACACAAAACAATCTAAGATACATCGTTTCCATTTCATTTTCACATATGCCTATACTAAGCTGTAACTGCCTTACCAACTGATCAGTTGTATGTTGTATATATTTACGCTTTACCTCCTTAATTCTAATTCTTATAAGTGCTCTGCTTACTTCCATTTACACAAATGGAATCATGTTTCAACACACTCATGCTTGTTGGGTTTCCTTCCTTAAATTAATTGCAAATTGTAATATGCATTGTTAAAGATGTCCCTTTCATGTCAATTATTTATCTTGGAATTATATATTTTAATACCCTACAATTCTCTAATCCACAGAATGAACAAAACACAAGCTGAATGCCATTTTTGAGTCAAAATAAAAAAAAAATTCTTTATATGTCAAAATTGGAAATCATTTGAAACTGGGTATTTCAACTCCTTTTGGATGAATTACAGAAAAAACGGGATGTGTGAAAGTCTATACCTGACTTGAGTAATTTTTTTCAATCTAAATCACTATGTAACTAGGTAACTATTTAACTATGAATGTGTCATTATGTCAAATCCATCCACACTGAATCATGTTAAAAACACAATTTTCACCAGCAGCATAAAAATGTCATTTATGGGGCTCCACAATTATTTTATAAAGCAGAACATAACATTGCTGTTTAGCATCCTAATAATTATGCATCATATGATGCTAATATATTCTATCAAATCTTTTAAAACAGTTTTTTTTTCATGTAAATAAAATGTGTCGACAGCCATAATCAACTAATTTCAGGCCATTTTCTCTGTTGGCTGTGGCTGTTTGCTTTGATATGTGAACACGTCTAAACTGCAGACGCCTGTCTTTCTATACCAACGTAAATTCTCCATTGAGAATCACATAGGATGTAGGTGTCTGCGTCTAAAGGGTCTGTGCTAAAATCAGATCATTTTTATTAGATTATTTTTGTCTTGTGATGCTCGGAGATGGGTTTGCAACAGCTGATGCCAAATTCCTTTGGAAGAGCACCCTCTTCATCTAATCTTATTCTAGAGGTGCAGTAATGGGGTGGGGTTTACCGAGTCTCTTCGCTGCCCTGAAAATATCACAGTCATTGCAGTTACATTGTAAATGTCTCGCTTACTAGCCACAAAGGTGCTCTACAGTCTTATTGTATATGCGTAGGCACGCAGGAAGCCGGATTCTACTGGGTTAAATGCACAAACCACTTTAATGTCTTAATATGAAGGTAATGAACACCTTGTAGTTTGATTACAAGTTGGGTTCTGCAACCAATTAAAGGCACTTAGTTGGATAATTACTGCCATGAATGGGGTACAGGGATACTATATTTACCCCCAGTAGAGGACTGTCACATTTATCAATTAAAGCTTTCTATTTATAGGAACTAGTTTCACAAAAACAAACCCAACAAAGAAAATGACTTGCCCTGCAGCCTTTCTTGCCATTCTTGTCAACACCCTTTCAATACTAAACCCTGGCTTTATAAACAAACCTGCAGGCACTGGCACTGAGTGTGTACCGCTCCCACTACAGTTAATTTGGTACAAGCATCCTGCCTCCCTCCCCACTGGAGCAGTAATGCAGAAATCCCTCCCCCTTCCTTTCTCGATAGTGGGTAACAAAACCAGCAGTAATTACTAATACCCCATCACGTAAATCTGTCAGCTTCAAAGGCTGCCTTTTGACGCAACTACGCAGGACTGTCTGGGCGTGCAGCAAAATTGCAAAATTGCCAGCCATTCAAGCTCCAACATATTTTTATTAACATTAACAGCAATATCAAAGTGAGTCTGCATGTGTGCGTATGTGTGTATGTATGGGTGCACACACACACACACACATACATGCACACACACACACACACACACATACACACACACACATACACACATACATACATACATACAAACACACACATACACACGATTGTCAAGGAATATAAATACACAAATAGCAGAAATTTTAATAGGACCTCTGTCTATATGCATTTCTAGGTTTGTGTGGCTCCATCATCTTATCATGCTAAATCAGCTAAACAATTTCCTTTTGCCAGTATGAGTGAGAACCAAAGCTTTCATCTACAATACCCTATCAGCCTCCCAGCTAAAAACAAATACATCTAACTAAAGCATGCAGTACTGGCTATCTACGGAACATGCTGTATAGTAGCAAAAACTAGCTATATAGCATGCAGTATGGGGGAGGACAGATAAATATAGCATGCAGTATGGGGGAGGACAGATAGCTATATAGCCTGCAGTATGGGGGAGGACAGATAGCTATATAGCATGCAGTATGGGGGAGGACAGATAGCTATATAGCCTGCAGTATGGGGGAGGACAGATAGCTATACAGCATGCAGTATGGGGGAGGACAGATAGCTATATAGCATGCAGTATGGGGGATGACTGATAGCTATATAGCATGCAGTATGGGGGAGGACAGATAGCTATATAGCATACAGTATGGGGGAGGAAAGATAGCTATATAGCATGCAGTATGGGGGAGGACAGATTGCTATATAGCATGCAGTATGGGGGAGGACAGATAGCTATATAGCCTGCAGTATGGGGGAGGACAGATAGCTATATAGCCTGCAGTATGGGGGAGGACAGATAGCTATACAGCATGCAGTATGGGGGAGGACAGATAGCTATATAGCATGCAGTATGGGGGATGACTGATAGCTATATAGCATGCAGTATGGGGGAGGACAGATAGCTATATAGCATACAGTATGGGGGAGGACAGATAGCTATATAGCATGCAGTATGGGGGAGGATAGATAGCTATATAACATACAGTATGGGGGAGGATAGATAGCTATATAGCATACAGTATGGGGGAGGACAGATCGCTATATAGCATGCAGTATGGGGGAGGACAGATAGCCATATAGCATGCATTATGGGGGAGGACAGATAACCATATAGCATGTAGTATGGGGAAGGAAAGATAGCTATATAGTATGTGGTATGAGGGAGGACAGATAGCTATATAGCATGCAGTATGGGGGAGGACAGATAGCCATATAGCATGCATTATGGGGGAGGACAGATAACCATATAGCATGTAGTATGGGGAAGGAAAGATAGCTATATAGTATGTGGTATGAGGGAGGACAGATAGCTATATAGCATGCAGTATGGGGAAGGACAGATAGCTATATAGCATGCAGTATGGGGGAGGGCAGATAGCTAAATAGCATGGAGTATGGGGGAGGAGATAGCTATATAGCATGCAGTATGGGGGAGGCCAGATAGCTATGTAGCATGCAGTATGGGGGAGGACAGAGATCTATATAGCATGCAGTATGGGGGGACAGATAGCTATATAGCATGTAGTTAGGTGGAGAACAGATAGCTATATAGCATGCAGTATGGGGGAGTACAGATAGCTATATAGCATGTAGTATGGGGGAGTACAGATAGCTATAAAGCTTGCAGTATGGGGGAGGACAGATAGCTATACAGCATGCAGTATGGGGGGATAGATAGCTATATAGCATGTAGTATGGGGGGAGGACAGATAACTATATAGCATGAAGTCTGAGGGAGGATAGATAGCTATATAGCATGCGGTATGAGGGAGGACAGATAGCTATATAGCATGTGGTATGGGGGAGGACAGATAGCTATATAGAATGCAGTATAGGGGAGGACAGATAGCTATATAGAATGCAGTAAGGGGGAGGACAGATAGCTATATAGCATGCAGTATGAGGGAGGACAGATAGCTTTATAGCATGTAGTATGGGGGAGGACAGATAGCTATATAGCATATAGGAGCAGAGCTATATCAGTATATGAGCGCTAAGCTCGATTACTATATAAGAGCAGAGCTATAATAGTATATGGGGGCACGGCTCTATTAGTATATGGGGCAGAGCTCTCTTAGTATATTGGAGTAGAGCTCTCTTAGTATATTGGAGCAGAGCTTTATAGCCTGTAGTATATGGGAGCAGAACTATATTAGTATATAAGGGCAGAGCTCGATTACTATATTAGTATATGGGTGTAGAGCTATATTAGTATATGGGAGCAGAGCTATACAGCCTGTAGTATACCTCCAGGCTATAATCCGCACAATGCAGCAGGCTGCTCCCTAGTATTTGCTGCAGGAGCAGGATCTCTGCAGAGGAGAACGCTGTCCACCGTCTGCGGTGCTGAATCCGCCCACCCAGTATAGAACGTTTACCCAGTAACATTGTATCATAGAATGGAGCGTTCAACCAGTAACTTAGAATGGAACGTTCACTCAGTAACATTGTATCATAAAATGGAACGTTCACTCAGTAACATTGTGTCATAGAATGGAACGTTCGCCAAGTAAACATTGAATGTTAGAATGGAACGTTCACCAAGTAAACATTGAATCATAGATGGAACGTTCTGTGTTCGGTGCGGGCTAGCCTTCCTCTGGGGACACACTGCATCAAACCGTGCAGGAGATTCTCAAACCACCGCCTGCGACCCTACCTTCGCATGGAAATCTGGGCACTGATAACTATCATTAATTACCGTTCTCATCAACCAGCAAGAGCAGAGCCATCAACAAATAGCGCTCCCTTCCCTGAATTCGAGGGAAAGGCGTATAAACAAGTAAAAAATAATAATACAAAATAATAATAGAGACAAAAATCAGGAAGGAGAAGAAAAATCAGACATATAACCATAATGACACCTGGTGGGTTTTTCCTTACCGTGAGTGGCGTGTAACCAGCTCCAGCCGAGGCAATTATCTAAGGCGACTACCACTATTAGAAAACCTTATTTTTAAGGCTGTTGCTGCAGGAGGCAAGAACCACCGTTCCTGACCTCCTCGAGTCTCCTTCTTCAATGAAAAGAGCTCTGCCCTCATCAAAGATGGCTGTCCTTCTTGACGTCAGCAGCTTATAATAAACATTTATCATAGGGCTGGGGGGTGTGGTCAGTGGAGAGGCTGGAGGTGGGGGGGGGGGGGGGGGGGGGGGGGGGGGGGGGGGGGGGGGGGGGGGGAGAGGAGAGGGGGTTGGGGTGCAGCTTGAGTCATCGTCTGCTGTATAATGCTGCAATCCTTCGCATTTTAAAATGGGTTATGATTCCCAACACCTTTCTGTAAAGAAAAAAATAAAAATAAAAAGAAGAATAAAACATATAGCAATTAAACAAAGCATTCAATTAACCTAATGCATTGCTATATTTTTTTCTTTTTTTTTTAGTGGAATTATTTTGGTTAGAAGTCAGCTAATGCAGCACTGATTTATTTTCGCCAAAGGGGTGGTCCAAAGGGATATCCCTCTCTGGCGTCTGCTCCATATATGGGGAATCTACGTGGGCAGCTGAGGAAGACGAGCTTTTTAAGTGAATTCTGTCCCCTGGTGGGTGTGACATGCTGGAGAAAACGTGATGAGAACTCTGAAGCAGAATTCATGATCTGTCTGTCATTGGATGCAATGCTGGCACACACATAGAGGCACACACACATACAGACACACACACACACAGGAACACACTCACACAGAAAAACACACAGGCGCACACACACATACAGACATATAAACACACAGAAACATACACACACAGACACACACTCACACAGAAAAACACACATACATATATACATACACACAGAAATAAGCAGAAACACACACACAAAAGCACACACAGGCACACACACACATAGGCATACACACAGTGATAATTTCTTATTTTTTTGTGTGATTAGGTCTCATCTTATCATAGGCACAAAATATTAATTATCTTTTATTGTGCTTCTGCAACAAGTAAACACTACACACTTGCTCCTAATACTCAACACAAATGTTTCCATTTGTTGATGCTAATTGGCCATTGACAAATCAGTAGGAGGGGCCTGCTTTGGACAAGGATGGTAAATGGTATGGGCCATGAATTGTCTTCACTGTGACCAATGACAGCTATTAACAAATTAGCAGTATACATATTAGCAACAAGATTTACAAACTGGGAGGGGAGGATGGTGGTTTAATTGCATAGATGTGGGGAAGATAGAAGATAAGGGATGAGGAAGGGAGGATTGCGGTGAATAGCTTGAAAGGAAGGAAGGAAGGACAGGGGAGGCTGACATAATTCCACCAGCAGAGGATAAAATTCCATCAATAGACTATATAATACGGGTAGGATATACAATTCCACCAGCAGAGTATACAATTCCACCAATAGACTCTATAATACAGGTAGAGTATACGATTCCACCAACAGACCATATAATATGGGTAGAGTATATGATTCCACCAATAGACTATATAATATGGGTAGAATATACAATTCCACCAGCATAGTATACAATTCCACAAATAGACTATATAATACAGGTAGAGTATATGATTCCACCAATAGACTATATAATATGGGTAGAGTATATGATTCCACCAATAGACTAAATAATATGGGGAGAGTATATGATTCCACCAATAGACTATATAATATGGGTAGAGTATTCAATTCTACCAATAGACTATATAATATGGGTAGAGTATTCAATTCCACCAATAGACTATATAATATGGGTAGAGTATACGATTCCACCAATAGACTATATAATATGGGTAGAGTATACGATTCCACCAATAGACTATATAATATGGGTAGAGTATACGATTCCACCAATAGACTATATAATATGGGTAGAGTATACGATTCCACCAATAGACTATATAATATGGGGAGAGTATTCAATTCCACCAATAGACTATATATTATGGGTAGAGTATACGATTCCACCAATAGACTATATAACATGGGTAGAGTATACAATTCCACCAGTAGACTGTATAATATGGGTAGAGTATACAATTCCACCAATAGACTATATATTATGGGTAGAGTATACGATTCCACCAACAGACTATATAATTGTCACAATCTCCATCGTGACATGTGTAATTTGGATTTACCTTCCTGGTGGCTTTGGCGGGATTTGGCTGGATATAAAAGCCTGCCTCACCCTGAGAGGGGTGTCAGTTCATTGACTCTGGTTCCCTTGTTTGGTTCCTGTCTCTCCGTATCTGTGTTCCAGTATTTCCAGGAGGAAAGCCAAGGTCAGAAGCCGGAATCAGACAGGAAATACTGGAACGCAGATACGGAGAGACAGGAACCAAACAAGGGAACCAGGGTGAGGCAGGATTTTATGGGTAGAGTGCAAAACACTGAGAATCCATTGCGGACATAAACAACTCCCAGGAGTCCAAGACAGTACTTCTCTCCCGCAGCTTCTGGTGTGCCCACTCCTTAATCCGCCAGGTACACAGGTTAATAGCGAAGCGGACTTTGATAAGGTCGGTGGCGTAGGTTTTAAGTTTCAGGGCAAACAGTAGCTCACAATCCTTCTTGAACATCGGGAAAGCAGAACGGGAACCATCGAACCTGTCAGGCATAATGACATAGGGTTCTGGGTATGTATGTTCCGGGATTGGATGTACTGCTCCTTTAAATGCCAATGAACATCTCTGCAAATCCATGACATTCTGGGACAGGTTGGAGACTTGCTCAGCCAGGGAGGTGAGTAATTTGTATAACTCTGCAGACTCCATAGTGTCAATTCATTATGTCAGGAGTTTTCCCTGATGGGGAGTCCAGCTCGCAGAGTTATACGCTCACCCTTGCATCAAGGAAAGCAACTCCAAAGCCTACTTCAGGTTCTCGCAGAATCCGGTTGCCTAGAGAAGAGGAATTATTTTATGAATACAAGAATCCCATCTTGCTACAGTCTAAACCTACCTCCAGGGACCTGCTTTGTCATCATAACGTTACCCATGTGGAACTTGGCACTCTAGAGGACAAGGAGGAAACCATGGAGATCAGCTTCATCCGCACTAGAACAAGACTGCCATCTACAGAAAGAGAACGAAGGAGGGCTTGTTGTCTCTGTTTCTATTGTGGAGAAGAAGGGCACTTTATCTTCCACTGCCCTATTCGCCCAACTCGGCCTAAGCCTCTTCAAGTAGGTATTTCTCACCTTCATCCTGTTATCCCGGCAACACAGCCAGAAAAATGTCAAGGGTACTGTCGGATGTTTCCACGTTCAGTGATGCAGAAGAGTACCCAGACTGCAATGGCTACTGATGCCAGTGTCTCTCAAGAACATATAATCGGTGATCATGCGAATTCTCCACCTCTTGTTCCAGAAGAGTCTTTGCTACCACCTGACAAGGCAAAGCTCTTACCTGAACCACAAAAAAATGGAAACTTGGAATTCAGGTCCGCTATAGGTGCTGTGGCTTCCCAGACATTCGAAGAAGGCAGTACCTATGGCATGGATGCTTATGGGAATATCTACCCTCTGCTAGATGACATATTTGATTTCTCACCTGATGATGGTGATGTTGACCTGGTGGACTCTGATTCTAATGGCACTATAATGTGTAAGCAGGATCTTGAGAAGCTTGACAAAGCATTGCAAGCAGCAAACGCCTCCTCTAAGAAAATCGCTAAAGATAATGTCTCCTCTAAGTCTAAGAAAAAGAGGAGATAGAGTTCCTGTTCAGGCCCTGGGGGCGACTTTGAGGAGGGGGTAATGTCACAATCTCCATCGTGACATGTGTAATTTGGATTTACCTTCCTGGTGGCTTTCTAAACCAGAGTCTCTGTGCTGCCTTGGAAGTGAGGAAGTATTAGCCTGAGCGGCAATTGGCAGCTGTGGTTGGCTGAGAGTATCAGCTGACTGCTTTTAGCCTATCAGAGCTCCAACTGTTGTTATGAATGGGTAAGACTACAAGAAAGTGTGTGATCTCTGCCTTAGCTACACCTCTTGACGGGGCTGGATTATGGGTGGCCAGGGACCCTTATTTAGTGTTAAACTGCTCTAAAATGGTTTAGCACTGAAAGGAGGGACAGCGAGTCCCAGGAAACTCGGGGCACTAAAACCAATTCAAAGAGATGAAATGGTTATAATGACTACAGTTTCCTTTTAACCCAATCATACTTTTAACCCATGTGACTCAGCCAGTTGCAATAGTCATATTCCAATCACTACAGTAGAAGTAACAAAGAATCCAGCACTCACAGAGACCCAAACAAACAAACCAACAATGTTTCAGCCTTGTTAAGGGCTTTTCCTAAAACGAACAGACTCATGTATCACAGCAGTTCACAGTTTAAGACTACCATAACTTTGCCCTGTGCTGTGATGCAACCATGTGAAGACGTAGACAAACCACCTTATTACATGCACAGCGTTGCGTAGAAACAACTGAGAAAAACTGAGTACCTTATAAAAATATACAAATAAGTAGTTAAGAGCAAATGGCAATGAACAAATGATAAAAAAAATATGTAAGCAATGAACGTCCTTTGTCTGGCAGTGCGCTCAAGGAGCAGAGAGTGGTCACGTAATCGTGCAAACAAAAACAGTGCTACAACGTCACCATGCAATAATAAAAAAAGTTACCATAGTGACCAGTATAATATGTATCTCCAAGGACATAATTGTCAGACTACTTCACAAAAGAATCATTGTTTCATAAAGTGATACATAATGTAATCTCTACCAATGCGATACAAAGTCACAGATAATGAATACAAGATTAATAAAATAGAAACTTCAAATTAGGATAAAGCGTTGTGAGACTATTTAAAGAACACTATGGTGTTAGGAAAAGAAATGTGGGCTTGTGTGGCAAAACGCCATGCTGCGCTAATCATGTGGTCTCTCTGAGCCCATCTGACTGACATAGTGGAGCTGTACTCCATTAGTTCAGGTTAACGCCTCTGGGGGCAGCCACTAGAGTCAGGTTTACCCTTTCTGCAGAATGGCAATTATTTCAGATGTGTGGCACATGGGACATCGACAACCTCAATGACATAAAGTGGTCTGGGTGTCTAAAGTGTTAATTTAAGAGTTGTTTCCTCTGTTTGTTTCATTAAAGGGAAACTATAGTCACCA